CAGAAACATTTTGCTTTTTCATAATAATAAAAAAGGTTTCCTAATCTTGTTATGTCACTGAGTGCTCCACCCTTTTGTACTGTGCCATGATTAGGATTTCAAGGAACTTGGCTTTGCCATGAAAGGAGGCAAGCAAGTTATGTAAGGCATCAGAGTCTGGTTTCTTGGTTAGGGATCACAGAGCAACGCTTGCTCCCATGACAACCATGTAACCAGACACCTAGTGGCAGGGAGCTGGACAAAAGCTTCTTCAGAAATCTTTGGGGTGCGGCTCAAAGATGGAGCTCCGAGGTCAGCTGAGTACATTGATGCACTCCCTTTTGTGTTTTGTTTTCCTAGCAGCAGCATTGATGCTTGCTAAATTCAAAGCATGATAAAGCCTGTATACAGAGAAGAGCCTTTTCTGTCTCAAAATAAGGAAAAGGGGTGGAGGTAAAGAATTCACCGCAACCATGCATATACTGAGGCAGTAGCATGTCTGGGACCATGCAAGGACTTTCTTTCAATCAGGAAACTGGTCCACCTAGCTCAGTATTGTCTACACTGACTGGCAGTAGGGATTTCAGACTGGAGTTTCTCCCAGCCGTACCTAGAGATGCCGGGAACTGGACCTGGGACCTCCTGTATGCAAAGCTGATACTTTACCACTCAGCTGCTTCCCTAGTAGGCACCAAGTTCAGTCCTCTAACATCTTGCCATCATTTGCGTTGGGATTTGAGAGAATCTGGTCTCAGAAAAAGATGTCAGCAAAAAGAATTCAACCTGTTTGCTTTAAAATACAAGACAAGAACATTTCGTTTCAACTCTCCCATGTGTGTGGCTTTCCATGGTGGCCTTGTTCTCACTGAGGTTGTCGGCTTCTGTCTAAGCTGTACCCCTTTGTGCTAATGGTGAAGCCTCCAATGACTGAACATTGTTCAGTATAATAATAATAATAATAATAATAATAATTCCTAAACAAGGCTGCCTTCAGATGTCTTCTGAAAGTCAGATAGTTGTTTATTTCCTTGACATCTAATGGGAGGGCATCCCACAAGGCGGGCGCCACTACCGAGAAGGCCCTCTGCCTGGTTCCCGGTAACCTCACTTCTCGCAGTGAGGGAAACCCCCAGAAGGCCCTCATTTTGGACCTCAGTGTCTGGGCAGAACAATGGGGGTGGAGACGCTTCTTCAGGTATACTGGGCCGAGGCCATTTAGGGCTTTAAAGGTCAGCACCAGCACTTTGAATTGTGCTTGGAAATGTACTGGGAGCCAATGTAGGTCTTTCAGGGCCGGTGTTATATAGTCTTGACAGCCACTCCCAGTCACCAGTCTAGCTGGCGCATTCTGGATTAATTGTAGCTTCCAGGTCACCTTCAAAGGTAGCCCCACATAGAGCGCATTGCAGCAGTCTAAGCAGGAGATAACTAGAGCATGCACCACTCTGGCGAGACAGTCTGCGGGCAGGTAGGGTCTCAGCCTGCATACCAAATGGAGCTGATAGACAGCTGCCCTGGACACAGAATTGACCTGCACCTCCATGGACAGCTTTGACTCCAAAATGATTCCCATGCTGCACACCTGGTCCTTCAGGAGCACAGTTACCCCATTCAGGACCAGAGAGTCCCCGACACCAGCCCGCCCCCTGTCCCCAAAAAACAGCGGACTCAGTTTCCCCCAGAGCAAACAACACCCACCTGGTCAGCAGCAAGGCTGCCTACATGTTAGCAATGTGCACATCTATATACCAGAACACTAATCAAAGGGCAGGCAGATTAGTCCAATCAGAAAAGGAGGAAGAAAAAGGAAACAAAACTGACAGTCCTTCACTGCCACCCAGTGGTAAAAAAAAATACAGCACAATTTCAAAGAGTTGCTTGCAAACAATAATGGAAGTTAATGGGGTTGTGTGGGCTCATTGAAATGAATGGGCATTACTCACTCAGAGCCATCATTTTCAAAGGGCTTCCTTTGATTTCAGGCTAGTTTCTCTTTGTACCTCATCCACACTGAAGCGATCCTCAAGCTGACCAAAGCTGCTTCAGCGCAGAGGGCTTGGTGTCACTTTACAGAAGGTTGGACTGGCCCCCTTGGTGATTGCTAGGCCAATATCTGTGTTCTCTTGCACCCATTGTTTGTTTTGATTTTTCATTATCTGAAGGGTAACTGATTCACCGTTTCCTTTCCTCTACAGCTGGTCAGTGTCTTGTCACTGCCTGCCACCCCAGCTAAGGAAGGCATGTGTCAGAGAGTTAACTCTTTATCGACAAGTGAAGCACTTATAACAGCTTCCATAGTGCTCTGGATACACACATGCATGCATGCTTCTAGCCTCTAGCCAGCTGTCCACAAGTCTAGGCCCTGCAGAGCAGCTGCAGCAACAGTAGGGCCCTGCCCCTCTTCCAGCTTAGATACTCTCCTCTGACAGGTCACACCCATGACCTGAGACTTCTCCTGCATGGAAGTCACTGCTGCTCTTCTCTCTTCAAGCTCCTCCTGGTTCTAGGAGACAGCAGGGCAGGAGAAGGTAGGGAGTTGACTGGCCCTTCTCTTGCCTGAATAGCTTCTTCCTTCCTCCACCACATCCCGTGTGGCTTCCTCCATCTCAGTCTGCCCTGACTCTTCCTCCTCCCTCTGGCTTGGCTCCTGCCTTGTGGGTGGCACCAAGCCCCATAAATCACTGGGCCCCTCTCCTGGGTCACACTCCTGGCCCCCTGACACCCCCACATGTCATATTTTTCCATGTATAGGATGCCCACATGTATAAGACACCCCCTACTTTTGGGGACCCCAAATTTAGAAAATGGGCCTATGCACTATCCGTGTATAAGACGCCCCCAGATTTTTAACCTTATTTTAAAGTAAAAAAAAAAATACACTCTTTGGAATGTACTCTTTGGAGCCCTGCCAATATTCCACTAGAGCTGTCTGGCCAGTGTCCAGTACAGGAGGCAATGCACTGTCTCCACACTGAATGAGCTGCTCCCATGAGGGGTTTTAGCCAGGTAGTGGGGGGACCTGTGGGCCTCCAGACATTACTGGACTCAACTCCCATCAGGCCATGAGGATGGCACATGGTCAGAGGTGATGATGGGAGTTGGAGTCCAGCATCCTGTGGAGGGCTGCATATCATCTGGAGGACCACTGGTGCCCAACTCCTGATCTAAACTAACCTAAAAAGCATCTAGTCTAAACAAAAAAAGACTAGTGTGTAGGAGAAAAGAAGAGGGGAGGCATGCAGGGATGGGGTGAAGTCACAAGAGGGCTCTGCAGCCCAACAGCTGAGGGTCAAGGCAGACTTCAAAGCTAAGCTCACATTATTCTGTTGCTCCAATGATAAGCTGGGCTTCCTGTTTCTGAACCAAGACAAGAAGTATTGGGAACTTCAGCACCACTTGATGCAAGTGGAGTGCTGTGGGCCTGTGCCACAGCTCAGCCAGGTTTTTACTGCTGAGTTTTTACTTTACTGCTAGGTTTTTACTTTACTACAATTCTTCCACCCTGAGAGTATGGCAACAGAAAAGAGAGCGTGCAGAGCTCTGAACAGACAGGCTGCTGCCTGCCATTCAGTGGGGTGAAGAGACCTACTTCAGGTGGCACCACAAGGGATGGAATAGGTGAAGGCAGGAACTAGTGTCTCTCTCTGGTGAAACAAGGGGTCCAAGACTTGGAGCATTTTTAAAAATAGAAGTCAGTCTCTAGCCCTCCTAGAATGAAAGTTATCTAGCAAAATGTCTTTCTAAATGTGAAATGAGTCACAGACCCTCCAGATACCCCTATTTTCCAGGGATAGTCCCGGATTTACAGAAACCTTCCCAGTTTCTGATTCAATCCAGGAATGTACTGCTTTTCCTTAGGACGTCCCTATTTTCATTGGAGAAATATTGGAGAAATATAAAACTTTTCAGATTGCATCACCTACTCAGTCTTCTTCTCTGTTTAGTGATGTCACTCTCCTAAAATTGTGAATGTTCCTTTGGCTGTTGTTCCTCCACTTGCTTTCAGAGAGACTGAGGGCATTCCCATGGCTGATATGGCTGTAATATGACTGATATGTAAACAATTGTTTAAAACAACTCAGAAATAAGGCGAGTCCTTCCTTTCCTTGGACTGGCACAGTTTTAAGGTGGAGCACCCAGAGCAGTCACACTAGGCGCCACATTGCAGGGGGTGCTAAAACAATGCTGGAGAATGGAGCAGGCGAGGTGGGGAGCCGGATCTTAGTACTACACAGGGCCCCACTGAAATCTGAGAGTCCAAAGTCCACAACTGATCACCAACTGTAACAATGAAGACTTTACATTTGGGTCCTTCCTTGTTATGCTGAGTTAATTTCTTACTTCTTGCCCTCCCTAAATATCCTGATCCTGTTATCTATAAAGCAAACCTTACTCCCGTTTCTTGGAGGAGGGAACCTAGATGGCTTGAAAGGGAATCTGCTTCTCCACTACACAGAGGCATAGGAAGGGGGGAGCGGTGGGGGCGGTCCACCCCAGGTGTCATGACTGAGGGAGGTGGCAAAATGGCAGGCGCGTGGCGCCCAGCGGCAACAGCTCTTCTGACCCGGCAGCAGAGAGGAGCCCTCCTCAGCAGTGGCAAAATGCACCCGGCAACGCTATTGCCGAGTCATGTCTGACTCAGCTGCGGAGAACAAGAGAAGAGTGAGCAGCAGCTTCTCTGCCCCTCTCCTACCCTGAACCGTGGCGCATGGGAGGGCACGCCCTGCCCCCCCCCCAGGAGCACACACACCCTGGGCAGTGTGGGCATATGCCCTGGCGCTGCCACTACGCACCAACAACTTTACATTTGTGCTTTTCCCCAGGGTGTGTGATGGACAGATACGCCTACTCCTTCAAGGTTTCCAATCACATACACAGCTGAACTGGAAAGCTCTGCTTATCAGATTATGTTTGGATCACCGCCACAAACAACAGCAGAGACTCTAAGACACAGTAGCTGTTCCCACACTGCTACCATGGCTCTCTTCAGCTGGCTGCTGGTTAACTCCTTGCTAATGTATGATTTCTGGAAGAATATCTGTCCAAAATGATTTCCCCACTGGACCATGGCCTCTGCCATTTACTGGAAACTTGCTGCAGATCAATATGCGGAATCCCTTGAAGAGATTCGAAAAGGTAAGGTTCCTTTTTCTCCACCACCACCACCACCACCACAGTGATCTAATAAAAGAGCTGATGGAGAACAAAGGAAGGTTGACTACCATTTGCAGGAGTAAGTGCAATTGGAAGAAAGGGCACAGCAGGAGGGTGTGCCTGGAGCTCACTTTTTTGCATGAGACTAAATATTTGCTTTCCACTGGGCATGGGGAAAGTCACTTGGAAGCTATAGCAGGTGGCATTTTACTACCTGCTAAGTTACATATCAATTTGACTCAAGGAAATAACTGAGCATCTGTCTGCAATGAAAGTGTGTACAGTGGTACCTCTGGTTACATACACTTCAGGTTACATACGCTTCAGGTTACATACACTTCAGGTTACAGACTCCGCTAACCCAGAAATAGTACCTCGGGTTAAGAACTTTGCTTCAGGATGAGAACAGAAATTGCGCAGCAGTGGCGCAGCAGCAGCAGGAGGCCCCAATAGCTAAAGTGGTGCTTCAGGTTAAGAACAGTTTCAGGTTAAGAATGGACCTCCGGAACGAATTAAGTACTTAACCCGAGGTACCACTGTATGTGTTTTGTAAGGTTTTTCTTTTTTATTTTTTTAATGTATTTTTATTAAATATTTTCTTGGGTTACAAAAGTATGTGCAATGTTTCTCTCTTTTTTTCCTTCAAGTAACATTTTTTACAGATTTTTGACAGAAGATGGGTACAGTTTGTGGGGGAATGGCTTCATGAGCCAATTTAGGACATATACCAGTTCTAAATAGTCCCATTGTGGGCTGAAGGTTTCCCACCACTGAGACAGTGGAAGGCATATCCCTCTTATATTTATTTACAATTCAAGGTCATGTTCCTTCCTGTCTTTGGGTTTTTTAAAAAAACAAAACAAAAACACCAACAACACAAAATTACAAGTTTATTCTCAGAAGGATTTGTTGGTTTCACCACTCTATAGACTTAGGTCATTCTGTAATCAAGAGCTGTGATAAGTATCAGCTGACTCTGACCCTCACCCCCAAAGAACACTCTTTTGTATAACACACCAGCTTGTTAATGCTGGATCTGGATTAGTGATAGGCAGTGGCAAGGGGGAAGTGGCTGTCATAGCTGATGTTTATCATGACATTTCTATCCCACCTTTCTTCCAAGGAGCCCAAGGTGGAGTACATGGTTCCACTCAAGGTTATGTTGAGAGATAGTGACTGGGCCCATGGTTGCTTTGTGAGCTTCATGACTGAGTGAGGATTTGAATTCTGGTCTCCAAAGTCCTAGGTTGTTTTGGGTTGGGGGTTACCTGATTTTTTGTCTGTGTTTTATCTGAGGGAGGCCTTTTAACCTGTATTTTGGGTATTCTGAGCATCACCAGTTCAGTATTTTGGGCATTCTGAGCATCACCAGCTTTTCTTCCATAAAATGAGTATTTTGTGGTACCCACAGCCATTTCTGGCATTACTGAATGTGCTCCCAGGCCTCAAAAAGGTTGGGAACCTTTCGTTAAAGCTATTGATGCCTACAAGGCACGCTGGCTACACACAACCTCAAGGTTCAGCGTCAGTTGGTTATTTAGTACCAGTTTCAGGGATTGGTGGAAGGATTGCTATCAAGCTTTGCTTGTGGGTTGCAAAAGAACCTGGCTTGCCACTGTGGAAAAGAGGTTGGTGGACGAAGATGAATCTCTGGTCTCCTTCCTGTGTTTTCTTCAAAGATGCTGGAGGAGGAGAGCTTAAGTGACTACAACATACACACACATAATGACTATGGGATTTTATTTCTAGTGGTAACTAAGACTGTTGGTCCTCAGAGAAATGCCAAAGGGAAATGGACACTGTCATTGGCAAGGGTGCATGCCTGAAATATGAAGAACGGGAGAACATTCCCAAACCAATACAGTCATCCATGAAATCCAGTGTTTTTCAAGCATAGTGCCCCTGGGAATACCCCAAACACCCATCCAAGACACAGAGGTTTGGGGGTACGCAATTCCCAGGGTAAGTTCTGCAACATTTGAATGTGAACCATGTTGGCGTTCCCTGTGCACGCAGATGGCAGGCATTATGAGTTATGTGTAGCTGTTTGATTATTTAAACCATTTATCTAAACACAGAGGTGGCACATCTTATTTTCCACCTGAGGATATATGGAAAGGTGCTGCCCTGTGTGCCCCCTGCCCCTTGCCACCTCTGCCAAACCTCACTTACTGGGGCCATGCAGCTACAGCTTCTGGCTTCCGGTGAGCTCCCGCAAAGGCCTCTGCAGGCCTCATGCCACCTCCCTGAGACCTGGTAAACAGGATTGCTGTTACATCTCCCTGGAACCTGGAAGCTGCCACAGCTGCTTCTCCTCACTTCTCTGGCTGTGGTGGGTGACACACCTGCATAGGAATCCTTTGGATTCTGCCGCCTGAGGCACCTCACTCAGTCTGCCTCATGGATGGGATGGCCCTGATCTAACAGAAAGCAACTGTAGGAGGCTGGGATCCTACACCCAGCAGTGATGGTGGGGAAGGGGCTATTTTTTCCCCTCTCAAGGATCACCGAGTGTGTAGATTCAGACACTTTGCTTATCTACAAGTTCTGGGTAAAAATCAGATCCAATAAAAATATAGCACATCTTCTTGATCTGGTTTTTCACCATGGCAGTCCTGAAAAGCAAAAGATCCATTATTTTTATGGTTTAGGCAACAGAGATAGCTGTGTTCTGCAATTTGGTGGTGGGTGGTGAAAAGAGTCTGCAGTTTCAAGGGGATCCATTCTCTCTCTCTCTCTCCCTCTCTCTCTCTCTCTCTCTCTCTCTCTCTGTGTGTGTGTGTGTGTGTGTTTCTTTGCATCTGTTTCTCATTTGCTCCGGCTTCCCTCCTGCACTTTCATTCATTCTGCTTCCAATTTGAGCCTTGAAAAGCACATTAGAGCTGAAAGAAGTAGGAAAGCGTATTGCACTTTGGACTTTATCACTCCCCTCTAAGGACTCAGCCATACAGCTTCACATAAAACATTTTAAGTTTGTTGTAAAATGCAATATACAAATGTGGCACTAGATGGCGAGAGTGAGCTATGGCAAATTCAATATATTTTTCAAAACGTTTTTTAAATAAGCACTTTCACAACATTTTTAATATGTGTGTGGATTCCACCTATGTATCCTTCAAGAGGAGGAAAGAAAAGTAACTCACCATTTCATTTCCCCTTATCTCATGATGAACAGGGCAAAAAGAGGGGAGCTCAGAGGCTTTGTGGGTGCCAGGGAAAGACCACATGGGCACCATTGCCAACCACAACATTAATGCTTCCTTCTGTAGTTCTCTTGTGTTTCCTGTGTTTCTCTTTTCTTTTTCTTTTTGCAGGGAACCACAGTGCTAACCAATATTGCTTCTGCCCTTAATGATGAGTCTCAGTGGAAGTACCCATTTGAGTTCAATCCCCTCCAACTTCCTGAACAAAAAAGGAGAGTTTATAAAACAGGAAGCCTTTCTCAGTAGGTAAATTATTTCTGTCTTTCTAACTTCTAATCATTTCTTCAGCAATGGCAGAAAAATGTGTCCCAACGATCACATAATTCACCTATGGGACACCCTGTACCTGCATCTATGAAAGACCTAGAACATGTTTATTTACAGGATTTTCACATTGTCCATTAACAATAAATCGCTCCCACAGGAGGCAGTGATATCCATCAACTTGACTGGCTTCAAAAGAGGATTAGACAAATTCATGGAGGCGAGAGGTATGAATGACTGCTAGCCATAATGGCTATGCTCTCCCTTCACTGCTGGAGGCAGCAATGCTTCTGAATACCAGTTGCTGAAAAACACAGGTGGGAAGAGAAGAAGAAGAAGAGTTTGGATTTGATATCCCACTTTATCAGTACCCGAAGGAGTCTCAAAGCGGCTAACATTCTCCTTTCTCTTCCTCCCCCATAACAAACACTCTGTGACGTGAGTGAGGTGAGGCCGAGAGACTTCAGAGAAGTGTGACTGGCCCAAGGTCACCCAGCAGCTGCATGTGGAGGAGCGGAGACGCGAACCCGGTTTGCCAGATTACGAGTCTACCGCTCTTAACCACTACACCACACTGGTTTAGTGCTCTTGTGCTCATTTCCTGCTTGTGGGTTTACCACAGGCATCTGGCTGACCACTGTAAGAACAGGATGCTGGACTAGATGGGACACTGACCTAATCCAGCAGGCTCTTCTTATTGTTCTTCAGTTATCTGGGCAATGTATATTTGAACATGTGCACACACACCCCATAAAAAGGTAAAAATACACTATGAACGGGGGGGACCCCACTTCAAGGAAACCAATGTTATGTTTTTATTGTACACCACATATACTACAGTATTAAATGGGATATAAATTATTAAAATAAAATAAAAAATTGAATCAAGTATGCAATAGAGGAAACAGAATGTCTGAGGACTAAAAAGTGGACAAGCATGAGTTTTCATTTCTTCAGGGGAATGAACGTGTCAGTTGGCACATGGCAGCCAAACAAAACTGCACTCCCAAGCCAGTCCTGTTTTGTTTTTGTTGCTTGTTTATTTGTGCTATATTTTTCCACATGCACCTTGGTTTGACAAGGCTTCCAAGGTGGCTCACAAAAAATACAAAATAAAGAATTATTTTAAAATGCTACAATTGATATCACAATTAAATCAAAATTCTTTCCATTTATTTCTTATTCACTTGTAGATTTATGAAGTGCTTCATAACCCAAAGTCCTCAAAATGGCTGACAATTTGATAAAAATAAGATAAAAAGATAAAAGGTTACAGTTTCAGTAAAACTGAAATTAAAAGCAATAAAACCAATTCCACAATTGTGCAAACAATATTCCATAAAATGAGTGGGTCACACTTCAGTAACAGTCTTCTTTTTCTTTTTTTTTAATTCCTTCCAGTAGCACCTTAGAGACCAACTAAGTTTGTTATTAGTATGAGCTTTTGTGTGCATCCACATGAAAGCTCATACCAATAACAAACTTAGTTGGTCTCTAAGGTGCTACTGGAAGGGGGGGAAATTATTTTGTTTTGACTACGGCAGACCAACACGGCTACCTACCTGCAACTTAAATAAAAAATGTATTCAGTAACTGATAAATATGCTAGGCACTTGTCTAATTTCAGTTGGTAAATGGTTCCAGCAGGATGGGTCTGCAACACTAAAAATCTTGTTTCTAGTACAAACTACGGTAAGTATCCATCCGGGGCATATGGTATTCTCCACAGTGCCCCATCTGAGCAGTGCAGTTGCCAGGCAGGGATATATGAGGGGGGGGGAGTGGCCCTTTAGGTAACCTGGTCCCAAGTTATTTAGGGATTTAAATTCTAAATTCTAAATTATTCCTTATAAGCAAGGGTCATCACAGTTCAGAATCGCAACATAAGCAGAGTAGATGGAAACACTAAATTAAAAAGTGCAAATAAAAATAGGTGACAAGGGATGATCGGGGTGCTGTAGCAACCGATTTCCTCCATCATTAGAGGGTTGGGCTAGAATGAACTTTGTGTCTCTTTCCAATTCTGGGATTCCACTCCAGAAGATGGGCAGAGCAGAATGCAGTAATTTCTCAGAACAGACTCTACATCACAAGTTTTCCATAAGAGCTTTGCTTGTCCTCACTTCCTTTCTCTAGAACAGGGTTTCTTAACCCTGACTGCACCATTGAAACTTCTATTGCCCTGCCCAATGACTTGGGATTTGGAGTGAAGTCATGCTGTCTGGAGTGGCCGTAGCCTCAGTTTGAGAATTTAGGTTTGGACAAATTTTATTTGGAAAATACTTAATATTAATAAAGCTCATATAATTTCAATACTGTTCTCATGAGTCTGAGGTTCCCCCCCCAAAAAAAAACACAAAAAAACCCCACACAAATGCATATATAAGCCTGTATCTGGCATTTTTATGCAAAGGCTATTCTGACTTTTGGACTATATTCTGCTCCCTTGCACACAAAAAGGGATAGGCTATGTAGGAGCAAGTACATCTCATGATACTATACCTCATTCTCTTTGACTCTGAGTAATGTTTATCCATGTGACATAGTTCTTCCATTTCAAGCTGTGGTTGTGAAAGTCTCCTGCCACATGTTGCAAGTATTTCTTAAGAAAAAAACACCGCAAAAAGCAGAAAATCTCTTGGCTGATTTGCGTTAGAAGAAAGGGAAATGCCCAGAGTTTTTGTAAAACACACATGCTGCTTACATTCTTTCCACAGGATATATAGAGCAGTTCACTCTACTATCACCTCTATGGAAATGATTAACTTCTGGATACTGCACTTTGCTAAGGAATATATTTATTGCATAACTGAGGAAAAGAGGGGGAGTACTTGAGTGTGAAAAGAGACTTCCCAATCTGCATTTTATTTGTAAGCCAGGTGGGGTGAGGCTTTTGTTTCCTATAAAAATACAAAGGAACGAGAATGTACATAAGTTATCTGATGGATCAGCAATTATCAGGCAAAAGGGTTTTTTTTAGGAGCAGGGGGGAAATTCACAAGTTGCATGAACAACAGTCTTCTGCTCTGTCCAGAGTAGGTGACAGCATGGGTTTTTTCCAGTAGAGGGGTGGGCAAAACTTTTATCATTCACCCACTCCATTTTGCAGCTGATCATGACCAAAGATTTTTTTATTTCAGTATGATTCAGTTTATTTTATTTTTATTTATGGAAAAGAAAATAATTACAAACTGAACATCCCCCCTCCCTTTCCCCAACCCAAAGGCAAAGTTTAGATGTAAACAATAATAGTAAAGTTAATGCAAGCACTGAACTGCATAGAAACTGAAAGCTGCTAGTACAGTATCAATAGGTAGGAGACTGTTAACACAATCATATATTATGGAATGCAGCAGATGCATTCTGTTCTGGAGATACTTCGTTTGTGTGCTGTATGAATGGCCGCCTGTCTGCCATGAGGGAATCAAGTGTTTTGCCCTCTAGCCAAGTTTTGCCTCAGTTTTTCAGAGTGCTATGTCCCAAATTATGTTATACCATTTTTGTGTATTTAAACCCTTTGCTTCTTTCCAATTTCTAGCTTTCCATATTCTTGCTGTCATTAATAAGTAACCAATGAAATGAGTTACCCAAGCAGGTCCTACTCAGAGTAGACCTAAATTAGCCATGTCTATTAGTTTCAGTGTGTCTGCTCTGAGTAGGATTAGTGCACAACAGCACTCTCCCCACTTGGGAGAGAAACTAGAATTCGGAGAGAGACTGACTTCAAGACTGGAAGTAGAACAGAGGTGGAAAACCTCAGACACAGCAGCTAAATATGGCCTTCCAAACCTCTATTTGGCTCTCAGAACTCTCTGCAGGCCACATGCCTCTCCCTCCACACTCCATTCATGCCTTGCTGCACATCTTCCATGAGTGGTTTTGCTTGGCTGGAATGGGTCTCCTCTGCTTTTCTGAATGGAGGGCAATATGGTGTGTGTGTGTGTGTGTGTGTGTGTGTGTGTGCGCGCGCGCGCGCAGAAATTGGCGTACCATGCAAAGGTAACATTTATATTCATTGCTTACTTTTGGCTCAGGCTGGCTTGTTAACAATAATATGTGATGTAGCTTTCAGGTGTATGATAACCGTTGTGGCTGTATTGGCAGCTATTGTTACATCTTAACCCTCTGGTTAACGAAGTCTGATGAAGGCATTCAAGAAACCATCAGCATTCAAAACTATTTTAGACATGTTTTGCAACAGGGAATTTCATTACTGCCAGCAGTTTCTGAGCTCTGGGTGCAGTACTATGCCTAAGATTTCAGATTAAAACTGCCACTGCTGGAAGGAAAGGAGGACCTTTTTCTGCCTCCCCATTTCCAGCTACTCTCTGGCTGGAGAAGGAACCCTCATAAGAATATTGGGGGGGGGAGGGGAAGTAGGGCTTTGTTTTTTGCAGTCTTTACATGAGGACTAGACCATGTGAAAAATGAACATAAGATTTTAGCTGCAGTTCATTCATTTTCAGCTTTGTATTCTTGTTATAAAAAGTGTGCCTATTACAATCCCATCTACTTAAAGTTTAAAAAGGAACAGACCTGGAAATTTTGATCACGAGTCTCCTGTACCATGTCCATTTCAGCCACTTGAGAACCAGTTAAAACCATGAACCTCTTTAAAAGACTGAATACATGAGGTCAGGCTCACTGGCTACCTCTCTTTTGGTCATGGCGGCTGGAAAACAGTGCCAAAACTTGCCAACAACCTATGGTTGGTTCCCCACCACTGCTGCCATTTCTCCTGGGTGATGGAAGAAATAAGCCTTTTGTGGATGCCAGCAAATTGGATTTATTGCATACCTCACACATGTAAAGTTTTCTTTTCACTCTACATGCTGGAGGATGCACAACTACAACCAAAGCTTTTGAGTTCCCCCTTGGCAGAAGGGCACATTTCACATCGTCCATGCCTAGGGCTGTCCAGATGCTATTTCCACTCTTTCTACAAATTGGGCAAGATCAGGAAGGGTCCTTGTGCTTGGATGCTTCATTTCCATCCTCCTCCTATGCATCACACTATATGCTGAAGGTCACACCCAAACTGGGATGTCCCACAATCATTTTATCACTGGATATGCCTTCCACATACAGCCTGGGGCGTGGGGTGGGAACAAGTGAACTCAAGTGTATCTCCAAGCAACGTGATTTCTTATCCATTCATATGTCACTGAAAACCAAGCAATCTTTCAGTGTTCTGTCACTCTAGCAACCAAGTCCTCCTCCTGATTACATTTTGCTTAGCTGCAGTGAAATAAGTAGGCCTTCCTGCTAGGTGGGTGAGTTTTATTGAAATGGAATGACACTAAAATATGTTTCAGTTCTCAGTCATTCAGATTTATTCAACCTTCTATGGAATGAGAATTTAAAAATGTGATTAGTTACCAAAAATCATGATAGAAAAGATATTTCCAGTCAGTTCTCTGCAAGCAAAACAGAACACTAGAAAATCAGCATAGATGGATTTCCTGTGCATGCCACTTTATATTCTTTTTCCTCCCAGTAGCATGCTTACCATCAATCTCAACTGGCATGTCTTCATAAGTGAATGAGAAGGCTAAAGTAACTGATACCTTAAAACCCAAGGCATCCAAAGATGGTTGAATCCCAACAAAGAATTTAAAATGCATTATTAAGCAAGTGCAGCTGGCTCATAGTCAACACAATAAAGTATGAAGAATGCTGTAAACTCCACCAGTGAACACACTTTGTGTATCACTGCATGTAGAATCCCCCAGGTATCTATGCATCACTTCTGAAGTTTGCCAGACAGCATATCCACAGACGACTGCTGTAAAATAAGACACACAAATGTATGATACTACATTCAAGTCATTCCAGTAGGACTCTCAGCCTGGGAACAATTCTGCTGGAGAACAAATCAAAGTGCTGAAGTATGTTCTCAGTATTAAAACTTTGGCACGGTACCCCTTTTCAAAGGACATCTCTTCTCAGTATTCTGAAAACAGGCAATGTTTCATAAGCACTAAACAAGAGGAGAGTCTCCTGTACCCTTAATTAAACATGGATTTCCCTGGGGGCATCTCTGTCGTGAATAAAGAAAACCATGCAGTGGTTGGCTATCCTTGGCAGATATACCCCACATGTCTGAATTATAGTGACTGAAGATGGTAGCACACACATTCTCACACACAATTAGAGGCATCTATTTGATTCTCAACTACTCTGAAGATGAGGCGTCTTTTTAAAAAAAGAAAGGCTACAAACTAAGTTCAATTCTAATACCAGAAATAATCTGGCCAGCAAACTTTCTGCAGCAGTCCTCCCCTAAACCTGTTGACTGTCGGAGTCTGCTCCATTAATCTTCCTCATTTTGGTGCCGATATTTCAAATGCACAACTAGCATGACAATGCCAGTGAGGATGCAGGCCGAACCACAAACGAGATAAGCAATGCCCAAGAAAGGATTCTTTCCCCCCATCCAGGAAAGTGTGCTGAAAATGACCTTCTTGCCACCATTGAAAGAGAGGACAGGGTAATTGTAGGTGACATTGAGCTGGTACGTGCCACGGGGCAACCCCACTGAGAAATTCCCCTGGCGGATGCGGGCGTACAGCTTGCGGAAGGTGGGCAGGGCGGCGATGCGCATCCACACAATAAAGTCCTCATTGACAAAGCCCGTGTTGTTTGGGCCCGTGTTGTTGCCCAAGTCGTAGACTGGGTAGGGCCAGTTGGGAGGCTTGGTGGTGTTCTTGAAGGCCAGAGCCAGGCTCCCATTGACCAATTCGGGGTTCCGGAACTTGATGTTAGTGTCGGTCCACCAGGAGATGCCTCTCTTGTCCAGGGGCACAGAGACCATGGAGCCATTACGAAGCACTTGGTAGAGGGCGAAGGTGTCATTGAAGAGGCTGTTGGCGATGTTCCCGCAGGGTGCGATGGGAAGCTTGTGGTTCTTTTGGTAAGGCTGGCACTCTGTGACGGGGTTGGTCAGCGCCCAGGAGTCCCCGCTGAGCTGCGCGTTGTCGCGGGAAATGCTGTAGCGCCGGTTGTTTTGGTAGTAGTTGGAGAGCTGGTAGTAGAGACAGACGGGCGCAGGGTAATCCATGGGCAGCTCAAAGCGCAGCACGCAGGTGCAAGGTGCATGGCGGGTGGGGCTGCTGGTGGCGTTGGCGCAGCGAGAGCAACTGGAGCCTGGCGCGCCGGTGTAGTCGAGCTCCAGCTCGTGGATGTCCTCCGAGGAGAAGTGGAGCCCCAAGCCCAGGGCCAAGAAGGCCGCGCCCAAGCAGAAGAAGAGCGGCAGCACCGTGCCGGCCGACAGCAGAGGCTGCCAGGCCGGGAGTCGCTGCTGAGTGAAGGCCGTGTTGTCCGGCTTGTTTTGCGCCGTCGAGCCGCCGTCCGCCGGGGCGTGGCCGCCGCTCACGTCGTACGAGCCCGAGGCCATGCGGTCGTCGGGGTGGTCGACCTCAGCAGAAGCGGCAGGCAGGCTCGGCGGGAGCCTGACCTGCTTGTGAGGGGAGTAATTGCGCGCCAGCCTCTCCCGCGGCCACCCGGCGATGGGCTGGCAGGGAGGAACGCGCGCTCGGCCCTTCGCCGGCCAGTCAGTCCGTCTCTTCCGCTAGTCCAGGCAGCAGCGGGTGGCCTCGGTCTGCCTGCGACACCGCCCCGCAGGTGAGCGGGGCCACGCCCCCAGGGACGCACAGGTGAGGGGGGCGCGCGACCGCGCGTACTCCGAGCTACCACCCAAACGCCTTTGCGCGTGCCCTTGCTAAAGCGCGCGAGACGGCCCTTCAGCCTACCCAAGCCCAGGTAGCGGGGCTTGGTGGACCCCGGGTTCCGTTCCCGCGCTTTTCTCTTCTTCTCAAGCTCCGCCCCTGGCGTCGGGCCAAGGGAGAGACGTCGCGCGGGCGCCTTCTTACGCACCTGTGGTGATCTGGCCCGCTGGAAAGTCTAGGCGGGGCGGCGGCGGCGGCAGGTACTGCTTCTCCAGCCCAACCCTGCCAACTTCCACCTTCGTGGCCCCGCCCCGTCGCGACTGAGATGCTGACGCTGCTCAGGTAAGAAGGCGCGCTTTCGGCTGCGCTCCTGCACCTTGTTGGGACTCAGGAGGCACGGCGGTCACGCGCGGTCCGTCCCCGCCCCCCCCCCCCCGCGAAGAGGAATATTTATATTTATTTTGAAGAATTTCAACTTAAGGAGAGCATATTGATATTTTGAATAAACGAACACTTAAAATAGCTCACACCTAAGCTAAAAAGGTGTGAGCTAAAAAGCTTCTGAATATACTTTCCATATGTTTATAAACCACCTTTCTTCATCATGAAACCTAAGTTGGCATGCATATGCTTTACAGACACTGACCAGACCCAAACCTGCTTAGGTTTACCTAAATGGTGACTTCACCTGCCTTCAGACCAGCCAGTAGAGGGACCTGTGGCCTTCTTCATGCAAGGTTGACACCCAAAGAGAAATGCTACCTGTAGCAGACAGAAGGCAGTGTTCCCATGTTGCCACCCACAAAGCTTTTTGCCATGACTGAATCTGCTTGGTGAATAAGTTGCTGCTACTGAGCGTTATTCATTTCTAAAGCATTGCTTTTGCAATATAGGAAGCAGTCTCAAGTCAAACCATTGACCCATCTCGTTCCATATTATCAGTGTCAAGGATGAGCAGACTTCAGACTTATTGGATCTTCTTTGGGGTATTTCTACTAGAACTCAAATTCTGCTAACCAGAGCCATGTGCAAAAGACACAACAAGAATGAAAGAACAGTGTGCCTTTGAGTCTCAGGATTGCTTTTCGGTACTAGAACTGAATTTAGCTCACAGTACTTTTACACAAAAGTCTACTCTTGGTTTCTCATGTCAGCAACCTGATTCAGGTGGAGAAAAGTTGTTTTGTTGTTGCTATCATTTAGCAATTGCAATCCCTTGCCAATCTCCTGCAAATCAGCCAGAGATCAGCCAGTAGGTTTCAGCCAGGAGCTCTTTCTCAGCCTTGCATGGAGATACAGTGGTACCTCGGGTTAAGAGCTTAATTCATTCTGGAGGTCTGTTCTTAACCTGAAACTGTTCTTAACTTGAGGTACCACTTTAGCTAATGGGGCCTCCCACTGCTGCCACGCGATTTCTGTTCTCATCCTGAAGCAAAGTTCTTAACCTGAGGTACTATTTCTGGGTTAGCAGAGTCTGTTACCTGAAGCGTCTGTAACCCAAGGTACCACTGTACTCGGGTTTGGATGTGGGGCCCTTTGCAGACACAGATGCAAAGCACACACTCTACCGCTGAGCAACATCTTCACTGTTTACCCTTGTCTACCCAGCCAGTTGGATATGTGAGTCTTGCAGGGTTCTCTCTCCCAAAGTTGGTGTCATGTGTAAATTTTGCTACAGATGGAGAAGCCATGTCTCGCAAAGAAAACAGAATATTTAGGGTTGGGTCTGTTGTCATGTTTCCTGTTGCTGATCTTTAAAAACTTCCTCTTTGAGTTAATGCCCTTGGAAACTTTGCAACAGAATAGGTTATATGCAGTTTTGCTTGGGTGAGTTGAGAGTTCAGTAAACAGAAAGCTAGATTCCTGTTTTTAACTCTTGTCAGGGAATTACCTTTTTAAAAGAATGAAATGGAGAACTCGTGTCACTGTAACTTTTGTATGAACTTACAGAATCACTTCAAAAACCCATTGTGTGAATGGAGAACAGTTTGCTGGAATTGGCTCGTGTTACTTGACCCGTTCCTACACCTTTTATGCCCAGATAGAACAGAAAGTTTTCAGTCCTGTACAGTATGTGCCTGTTTGGAAATGCCCCCTTAGCTTGGAATAACTCACATTGAAGCCAGTGAGGTGTAGTGGTTAGTGTGTTAGACTAGGACCTGGCAGACCAGGGTTCAAATCCCCATTCAGCCATTAAGCTCACTGGGTGACTTTGAGCCTTGGGCCTGTTCGTTTCTCAGCCTAACCTACCTCAAAGGTAGGAAGAAAAAATGGAAGCAGGTGAACCATGTGCAGCCATGTGATTCCTGTAGAGGGCAGCATTCCTACAACAAAAGTTCTGGTCTTGTTTGTAGTGAGGAGCTGTTGTGGCAGTGGTGGACTTCGGGCTCTCAAATTTCAGCACGCCCTGTGTGACACAAAAATCCATCTCTTGTGCTCTATTCTACAGCATTGTTTTCACATACCCTGCAGGGTAGCACCCAGTGTTACCACACTAGTCGTACCACCCTAAAACCACTTTTGGTTGCAGGAGGGCTAGCAGCATTTCCCCTCCTTGCTTTTCATTTTAAAGTGGTGTGCCTTTTGCTTTTCTATAAAAGTGGAGGAAGAATATCACTCCAGACTACATCATGCCAGTTCTAAATTCCAGGAGCATTAGATCATTTTGAGTTAATTACCACAGGAGGTGAATGAAAGGTCACTAAACAATGAAATCATTTGGGGCTTTTCCTATCAACAGATTGCTTGCAAGCATAATTACAAAATTGCATTGTTTCCTCAGAAGAATGTGCATTTACACAGGGAAAGGCTGTAGCACCATAGCTATATGGTTTATAGAATTTCCTACAGAATCTGCAAGGTCTAGTGGTTATTCTCAAGCAAATGCGTTTAGCATCAGGACAGCAGAAGCAAGCTCCATTCTATTCTTGTAGTCATGAAGGTACTAAGTGAGCCATCATGGCGTAAGGGTTAGAGTGTGGGCCTAGGGCCTAGGACCTAGGAGACATGGGGTTAAAATCCCCATTCAGCTGTGAAGCTCACTGTGTGTCCTTGGGCCCAGTCACTTTCTCTCAGCCTAACCTATCTCATAGGGTTACTGTGAGGGTAAAAGTGTGGGTTATTAGCCAATATTAGTCCTGTTCAGAGAAGACCCATGGAAGTTGATGGACTTGACTAACTTAAAATACATTGATTTCAATGGCAAGTCCATCAACTTCCATGGGTCTTCTCTGACAATGGAGGAGTGCGACTTTGTGGGAGAAGTCAAACTGTTGGAAGGTTGCAGCATGGTTGTAGAGGCAAATATGAGAGAGACATGTTTTATTGCAGGCAGATGAAGGCATCCATTTGTGCTGCTTCAGATGCACCATGGCATTTCAAATCTAGGGTGTATAGGGCCAGGTTTGAAAGTCCAGTCACTATGCCTGAGCTCGGGTTGTTATCAGAGAATTCACTAGTTCTTTCTCCATTTTCTCTCTTCTTTTCACTTCCCGCAGTCAGTAAATAAGAATATTCTCTCATTCATGTTATCTGCTATATACCCTACATACCATTTGCTCTTTCCTTTGGGTTTTCAAAAAAAAAAAAGTTTTTTCTATATTCTAAAATTAGACAGTTAAATTTAATAGTGGTTTTGGGAAAGTCCCTTTCATCATTGTCACTTGCTCTGCCAAGAGCTGAAAGTGATACTTACTTGCCTTGGGCAGTTTAGCATTGCCTGGAAAGCACCCTAGAACCACCACTTCACTTTGGGTCAGTTTAAAAACATAAGCAGAGTATAGCAGGATCAGACTTAAGGTCCAGACATGATAGAGGTGTGTATACTTATGCACAGTGTGGGGAAAATAGAGTCTCTCATAATGATGGAAGCTGGGATCATCCAGGGAACCTCAGTGTTGGAAGATTCAGAAGAAACAAAAGGAAGTCCTTGGAGCAAGTCTGCCTTCTTTCTCCACCCTTTTAACCTCCAAACCCAGAGCCTCTGGCGATCATTACTAACAGGCAGAGATACAAGTCAAAAACATTACAGTACTCTGAACTGGCCCCAGCAAGAACACAAAAACTGATAGCCAGTGCTGACAACCTCCTTTTAATATGCTAGCATTTTAGGCATATAATCTTAATGTTGCTAAATAATGGCATGAAATTGGAACTGTGGAAGGTGTTCCTAGCGTGTTGATTAAGGCTATATAGGATGATATGTACTAAGGCAGGGCTGGGGAATCTCAAGCCCAGGAGCCAAATGCAGCCCTTAATGCCTCCCTGTCCAGACCCCTTGTCTCTCCATAGCCCCACCACCTTTGTCATTCCTTCTCTACCCCAGGTGTGGGGAATCTTTGGTCCTCCAGGTGTCTCTGAGCTACAACTCTCATGTAGTTGCACACTTCTCTCTCCTTCTCTCTCTGTCTCTGTCTCTGTCTCTGTCTCTGTGTGTTTGTGTGTGTAATCTCCGACTTTTGCAGGGCTGGGATGTAGTCATGCCCATTGCTCCACCCACTTTTTCTTCTAGCACTGCCCGCCACTGGCATGCAGCCCCCATGAAGAATGTGACCTACAAATTGAAAAGGGCTCGTTCCAGAACTGTGAGCTGTCGAAGAAGCTGGTGAACCACTACTGTGTCTTCATTTTCCCTTATGAGAGTATCACAGCTCTTGCATTTATAGAAACCAGGGAAAGGTCTGGGAGTCCTAGTGCTTCTCATGAATCACCAGTGCTTCTTAAATCATCAAAGACTTCATCCTGGAACTAGGTAGGTCTGGCACTTGATGTTCTGAGGGTGTGGACGTTAACAAAGGTTTGTGGATGTTAATGAGGGGGTGTGGACATTAATGAGGCCCGTGTTCTTCCGAGGAGATGGGAAGTATGTGTTTCCACATCTAGATGACTTTGAATATAAATATTCTGCATATTTTGACTAAACGCAGCAATGGACAGGCTTTGCTTGGTAATGTTAATAAAGTGCTTCAGGGTGGTCAAAGTATGCTATCTGTATTACCATGCTGTTGTCTGTACAGCAGCACTGTAAGCTTGGCTGATGTTGTTATTCCTGTTTTGCAGATGGGGGGGCTAAGGTTGAGGGAGAGTGACTTGCCTAAGAGAGTTTATAGTAGAGGTGAAATATGAACTGGGAATGTTCTGATTCATAACTGCATCATTAGGCTACAGTAGCATAGCGTTTGTTTTTTGAATTTATATAGTGCCCTTCTGTGAACGCTTGTAAAAAGCTTTGAAGTTTGTGAGCTCATAGTTTGTGAGCTCTTAATGGATACAATGCAAAAGGAGAAAGGGATGGGGCGGGAAGAGGAAAACACACAAATCCAAGTTCATGTGAGTCTGCCATATATGCATCACAGCATTGCAAGGACTCTCTGGGGTCTTTCATTGCAATCCTCTGGCAAGCAATTATGGGAATTAATCTTGTGACCTTCCGCATGCAGAGCCTATACTTTGCCATTGAGTTTCATAATGACTAAGTGGAAGGGCCACTGCAAAAAGTCCGCACTGGGATGGGAGGAGCCTATCCCACTAAACCAGCACAGGGGGCTTCACTGTCTTGCTTCTCCCTCTGATGGAGCCAGGTGGAATGGATGCTGATGGAGGCAGTTCTGGGAGGGTAGGTGCTAAAAAGGTAGTCCTGCCAAGTCAGCCACGAGGCACCACTGTTTTACTTCTCCTTCTTGATTTACATTTGGAGGGCTCAGTCCTTGAACTAAACATGATTGCATGGGTGCAAAGCTTTTTTTTTTTTTGCATAAAGCATTCATAAGGGGCAGCTCAAATGGGCAGGAGCTGAACATGGTTCATATTTTGCTACTGCATAGTATCAGATCAGACTGCAGATTGTGATGCATGTAAATGAATGGTGCTCCATATTAATCACACACTACTATGCATGCAAAAACTAACATGTCATGGAAGAAACCATAGGCAAGGCTTCTGAACAATACACTTGGCCAGCCTGGTGTCCTCCAGATGCTTTGAACTTCAACTCCCATTGGCCCCTGACCAATGAAGCTGTGGGCACCATGTTGGAGGAGGCTGCTGTTGGCTGCAGTACACCTAAATGCATGAGCTCACAGCTGCTGATGGGAAGCATACCTGTGAATAGGTGAAGGTGGCAGCCCTTCCAGGCCTGAACAGCTCATTGTCACTTTAATTGCTTGGTGCATCATTTCATGCTCATCTTCTCTGTGCAGAGGCAAATAACAAAGATCAACAAGGCACTGTAGCATAGGTCTGTCCTCAGTCTCTGTCAGATCCAGACAAATGAAGGTGCTGCCCAACCTGAATAACCAGAATGACACATAAAGAGTTCACCAGAACACCTTCCTAGCATTCCCACAGGCTTTCTGAACAGTGATGTGCAATGGCTGTGGTATTTGGTGGCCTACATGCTGCTTATTTGCAATGTTTTGCCACCTGATACTCTGACTCATTTATTTCTTACTCAGAAATACATTGCTCATCCACAATATTATCCTTTCTGAATGTTGTTGATGGGACCAACTCAATTAATCTATACCCCACACTGGCATTTGCATAACATTTTCTTTCACTGAAACTCATACCTATTGATATTTTTTTCCCCAAATCTGGGCACCTTTTTTAAAAGTATATTTTCTTCAAACTTTCAAGAGTCAATGAACCCACAAAAGGCTGAATCCTTTATTAAAGATGTAACACCTGACAGTTGGGTTTTTTTAAAAAAGGAATTGCAATGCGTTGCTGTTTGGTTTCTGGTGTCCTGGCCAGATCCCATGTTGAGATATAATATTTTGTTACATTTCTGTTCTTCAGTCACGTTGCTGTTCTTCAGTCAGTCAAGCCATTTTGCACACAGCAGGCTTGTATTTAACAACTCACCTGGTAGTTGACAATGAATTCAGAGCAGGAGAGTGAATGGGTTGGTGGAGGAGAGATAGATCATAGGAATGTAGGAAGCTGCTTTAAAATGAGTGAGACCATTGACTTAGCTTTGTCTTCACTGCTCAGCAGCAGCTCTCCAAGAACATTTTTTCTTCAATAGTAATAATAATTTTTATTATTATTATTTATACCCTGCCCATCTGGCTGGGTTTCCTCAGCCACTCTTTATGCTTCTGAAGCCAGTGCAGGACAAGCTGGTGCATAGAAAATGAATACAACGGTGCAGCCTACTCTCTACATTCTGTAGAATTAAACGATGAAACTGTTGCTGCGAGCTAGCCTGCAAGTGGCCGGCCAGCAATTTCAGCCTTCAGGTGGGACTTCATACTAGGGCTGGGCAGGAGGTAGATCAGGGCTTACTGGTAGATATTTGGGTGAAACCCCATCAGCTGCCCCCGGGTGCCAAATGTTTACCAGGCTTGGCTACCTCCTTTATTTCATTGGCAATCCAGAGTTACTAGTACAGTGGTACCTTGGTACTCGAACGGCTTGGCTCCCAAATGCCACAAACCTGGAAGAAAGTGTTCCGGTTTGTGAACATTTTTCAGAAGCTGAACATCCAACACGGCTTCCACTTGAATGCAGGAAGCTGCTGCAGCCAATCAAAAGCTGCACCTTGGTTTTCGAATGGTTTCAGGAGTCGAATGGTCTCCCGGAACAGATTAAGTTTGAGAACCAAGGTACCACTGTAGTCACATTCTTTCAGTGCAATGCCTTTGAATTATTATTATTATTACTAATAATAATAATTTATTTATACCCCACATTTGGTTGTGTTGTCCCAGCCACTCTAGGCGGCTTCCAACACATATAAAAACATAATAAAACATCAAACATTAATAGTAACAATCTGATCCAATATAAAAAAGTCATAATAACTTAAATATAAACAACTTATACCAAATAAAACAATATTCAATAATACATTTTAATCCAATAGTAAACACATCAGCAAATAATAATTAAACAGTTTACACTTATCAATTACAATAAAGAATTGCTAATCTATAATCAATAAAAGTAACAGCAAGACACAGAGAATAAATTACCACAAAACATAAAAATCATGTAAAAGGGTCAAATTGAGAAACAAGGACAGACAACTTATAATATTTTTAAAAAATATCTCTGAACGCCTCTCTTCCCAGCTGCTTCTGCTGTTCTCAAAGTCATGGTCTGGGAAAGGCTTCCTGGGCTGGAGGGTGGGTCAAGGCAGGTGGAAAAGCCCTTGCCTGTTGGCCAGCAGAAAGTCTCTCTCCCCTCCAGAAATGGAAAGAAAACATTAAAAAATAAATAATGCAACAGCCAAAAGAGTGGAGTAAGAGTTTGTGTCCTTTTTCTTTCCCCTGTCCTTTCTGTTCTTCTCTGCCATTCTGTAATTTTCTCTATTCTCATACCCTTGGTAATTGAGTGGCATGTGGGTCAGGTTTACATTTAATGCTGCTGCTTGCAATGTTCACTTCTACCCATTTTTTTAAAAAAAAAAATTCAAGTGGTGGGGGGGCAAGTTTGCCTTGATACGCTTGATGTGTGGAGTTTTTTCCTCACATCCTACCATAGCATTGTCTGAATTCCATTTTCTTTTTGAATTAACTAATGAGGGCTTATTACTGACAAAGAAACCAGAATTCTCCCTTCTTGCATGTTGTATGAATTTTTGCTAAATGTGTTTTGCAGAATGTCAGAAGGAAGGCAGACATGGTTGAAAATGAAGTCATCTGTGGGCACGGAAGAGTTACAATTGTAACTTAGCCTGGGGGGAAAATTGGCCTCTGCCAGCAGCCAATAAAGGAGGAGTTTGTGCATCTGACTCATAATCAGCAGAGCACAAGAGTGCATTGCAGAAGTGTGCTGGGTTGGAGATACTCTCTTCTCTTCTCCAGAGCAGTTGACCGCTATTAAGCCTGTGTATTCACTGCTCACATTATTTGAGGTAAGTTTTAATGCTCTCTTGCAAGTGTTCTCATCTCACCCCACCCCATAAGGGCTGAAGAAATTGGGTTTTTTACGGAATGGTGTTTTGCCTTGTTTTAGTGGGAGGTTGTTAAAGCAGGGGACATCCCACAACAGGAGGTGACAATGGGATCTGCTGAAGGCTTTGTTTTGTTGTACCAACTAGTACTAGAATGAGTCTGCAAATTTTCATGACTGTTGAAGGTACTTCTGAAGCATAATTGACGTACAAAAATAAAACTCTGTAATGTGGGATAAGTTCTCAAATGTCCCCCAATGCTTGCTGGTCAGATGATAGTTAAACAATTCGTGTTCCAAAAGAACACCAAACATGCTGTTTCTCCCACTCTTTGCATAGCTATGGTATGGGGTGGGGGGATAAAATCTGGCCTAATGAGAAAGGGTCCTATAACAATTATTTATATATTTATATCTTTAAGAAGTCACTTTTCCGGCCCTTTCACTTTTAGCCCGATTTGAAACTAAGTCTTTATTCTGTAAAGCAATGCTGAAATGGATTGCACAACATGTCTTTTTGACTGCTGTCTGATCCACACTTATGACTTGGGCTGATACAACCCATTGAACTAAATGGGATTTACATGAAAAGGATTGTGCTGTCCCGGGCTGATTTTATTACATTTCTCAATTAATTAAATCCATTGTTTGTGACATAATGCCATGCCTTGGATGGGTGCAGTTTGCAGAATCAGATCCTCCACTTTTCTTCTGGGGGCCTAGTTGCATAGTTGCTGGTTTTAAACAAACTAAACATCTTTGCAATGCATTTTACATTAGTAGGTGAACAAGTTCTGTTTCCCACTGACAATTCCTTTTGAAGAGAAATGCCAAGTGATCGCTTAGAATAGGTACAATGTGAAAGTGAAAGCAAACTTTGGCCTGCTAAACCATATTTTGGTCAGGGTTGAGGTCTTGGGTCAGCTCAGATACAGTTTTTATTTCAGCCCTATCTCCAGAGCTGCTAGTTACACTTTCTGTTCTGCTTAGTTTCTATTTGTTCTGCTCCACACACATTCCACATTGGGGGAAAATCAAGATGTTTGTGGACTTTGTCCCTGTTTCCAGCTTGCCTTATGAACTTTTATGGATTTTAGTACAGAAAGGTAGCATCATAGAGGTGATCTGGGAGGAAGTCCCAAGCAAGGAAGAAAGGGTGGAGCTGTTAGAAGGGATCAGGAGCCCTTTGGATTGTGGACCAAGTGGAACAAGTGATGCAGAAATCATGGACAGGCGTGTATTTAGATATAATAACAAAGAGATAAAGTGGTGGCAAAGACATAGTGGAATTCAAAGTTAAGGACATAGAACTAGTGCTGTATCTGGGAACAGCCAAGAAGAGAGTGTGGCATGACCAGGATAATGAGAGAGTTCAATGATTTGGATAGCAGAGTTCAGGTTAGATGTGAGGAGGCCAGAGTGAAGATTGCAGTATTCTACGAGAGAGGTGGCTGGAGCATGCACCAGGGCTTTTGAGAAAGGGTTATGTTTTTCCTGTGTTGTAATTGAAGAAGCAGCACGTCTTGGCTACAGACTGAATGTGTGGATAAAAGAGAGGAGTGAAAGATAAAGCAAGGCTATGTGCTTCTTCAGCAGAGCAAAACAGATTAAAAGAACGACAACAATCTTTGGCTTTGCCAATTTCACTGCATCTTTTTCTTTTTTTAAAAAACCCAACTATGGCTAGAAATATTTCATAAGCAAGTCACATTTTAAAATAGCCTTATTTCCGAGAAGGTATGAGGAATTAGGCAGAGTTATAAAAACTGCTCCACTCTTGCTCACTCAACCAGATGGCAAGGGTCCAGGGTTGATGGGGGAACAGGGTTGTGGGGGTTCAAACTAGGACTTCACCTTGCAAGCTCTCAGGGATAGTTATGCAGTCAGGATCTTTGTGTCCACTGGAGCCTAAAGCCTTGGATTATTTTCCTTTTATCCACTTGAAATCCTTGTATGTTGTAGGATGCTATCTCTGGCTAAATCTTACAGGAAGGAAAATCATTGTCAGGTTCTCAAATGTTAAAGCTGGAAATGTAACAAGCCAAAGGACAATCAACCAGTTGTGTGTGAGCATGATTGAATTCTGTGGCTATTTTTGTGACAGCAAACTTGATTGTGCCTGTGACAACAATGGGCTGCAGAACTTGTGGCTCTCAGATATCGTTGGACTTCAACACCTATCAGCCCCAGCCATCATGGCCAGTGGTCTTGGATGATGGGGGGTGCAGTCCAACAACACTTGGAGAGTTTCCCATCCCTCTTCTAGTCCGGGAAAGCTGATGCTGCAATACATCTCTTCTTCTTTAAAATGCCACAAGACTCTTTGTTGCAACAGACTAGCAAGGCTATGTGACTGGAAGTAATACGGTTTGTACAAAGGTAAAAGCCTAGTTTGGGGAGCTGGTTTCCATGGTCATGTAAATAAACACAATGACAAAGATTATACCAAAAAGCTCGTAAACTGAAGGAAGAACATCCAAGCTGTACAAATTGGGAGCATAGAGACATCTTGATTTAATGATGTGATCAAGGCAGGTAATCTAGGATTATACTTGCAGAGCTCAGAAATGAACACAGCTTTTCCTTGTTCCAGTTTGGTATCTCTCCCTGCTCCCTCCTGCAGAAAGCACTCGGTTCAATCAATGAGGCCTTATCATTTCCATGTAGAAAACTGATATTGTATGTGTGGGTAAATGCAATGTGAAAAGTGTACACATGTCTGTTGTGCTACAAGTATATGCCATAGGGATTCGTCTTCATTTGAGGCTTGCTGATGCACATGTATGGCATGAAATATGATATACATGGGATACAAAACATACACTTCTCTATGTATCTTTGTAGGACATTTTGCTTCGTGTGAAGCAGCTTTTCAGAGCTGCCTTATATATCTGTCTAGCACTCTGCTTGAAACAGGGTGCACCCTAGGGCGTATCCTCTGCAATCCTCTACAATATACCAGGATTCCCTGGCAGATTTGTCAATATGGAAAAGATTTTGAATGGTGCATAAACCTGTTGTGCCTGAATGTTGCTTGTGCAACCCTAAAATATACTCAATACCGTTCTGTTGTATTGCTTTTTATTTTATTGTAAATAGCATGTTTTATTGCTGTGAGTCACCTTGAGCTATTGCGTATGGAAAGATAGGATACAAATGTAAATGGTAGCAGAGGAAGATCTGCCACTGACCATTGATGCTCATTCCCATTCATGAATAGGTGAACTTTGCAAAGCTTCCAAGGAGACCCTCAGTTCAGCCAACAGCACTTGAAAGCCACAGTCCTAAATTCTCTATTTTGAAGAATATTTAATTTCAACCTGGCTTTCCTAACTCACTCAGCGATGTCTGCATATAATGCACTTAGGGATTAATGCTGCTTAAGTCCCTTTCTATTTTTGGAACACACGACCTCATTTATTGATGCTATCTCTTATCCAGCCCCAGAGGTATTGCGTAGGAGTTTGCTGTCCCATAACATGTGGTGCTCCTCTGATTCATGCACCTGTTTCTACATTCCTAATTTGTAAGGGATGACTCTCCTGCTCTAGTTCCATGACAACAAGTTCCATGAGAATTATGGACCAAGATGTATGCTGCAGAGGATGAGGTGTCCCTGGCTTGTCCTTCAGTTTATGCAGAGTTGGTCATCTAATAATCACATGAGCAAATTATGGCAGGCTTGGCCAGCCTGCTTCAACATAGCCCCCTTCAGTTTACAACACCAGAAACAAAAAAATCATGCTGCTTCAACTAAGAGCCTCAAGCTACATATGATAATGCTCCTGACTCTGGAGTTCAACGGTTTGCACCCTAGGGAGTAATTCAGGACTTTTTGTATTGCAGTGTGATATGCTGGCAGTAGTGTTCTTTTAAAAACAAGCAATCAGAACAAAATGCTTCACTTCTCTGTTTCAGTCCTTTTCTAAACATCGCAAAATGTCAAACCTGATGCCCATCCTTTCCCAGAAAGATCTGGAGAGTATTTGCCTAACTAGGACGGGATTTGGCTTTGCTCTCAAAGCCTTCCATGCGCCTTCGAATATAGATGTCTCCTTGAAGTTGTTGACTAGCCAGGAAACAACAGAGAGGTGGGTTTCCTGTTTGTTTGTTTGTTTGTTTGTTTGTTTGTTTCATTCCTAGAATGGGTGATGACTTCTGCTGCTGCTTTGGAAATAAGTGTGAATTGCACAGAAGCAGAATACTCTACAGTGGGGGGAATGCACACAAATATGTAATATTGAGAAAGTGAAAGGAAGCAGATATGGTTAGGTATGGATTACTGGTACAAGGTTACAACATAGGAGGCTGTAGCATCACTGAAGGATTTCAGACTAGAGTTTCCAATCCATACCTGGATATGCCAGCTTGAGACCTTTTGCAAGCAAAGAATGTGCTCTACCACTAGGCTAAGGGAAAATTTAAAAATTAAAGTTACTGTCAGAATTCATGACAGCCACATGCCAGTGAGAGGGGCAGGGAGCCAGAGGCAAAAGTGAGTGGAGCAACACACAGATGTATGGTAGGCTGCATCCAGTCAGAATTTCTGTACACACAAACATGCACTCACCTCTCCATCCTCCGTCCGTGAGAGTCCAAGAGCACATTCCAACCGGGCAGAAGCCCTTGAGGAGGGGGCGGAGCAGTGCCAGCAAGAGGCGTGGCCTACAGAGGGGGTATAGCCTGAGCAGAGTTCCAAGAGCCAAGTAGAGCAGCTTCGAGAGCCACCTTTGGCACTTGGGCCCAAGGTCTGCCACCCTTCACTTACAATATGGAAAGGATTTAGAAACCGGTTGGGGGTGGGTCCCAAATACTGATTGTAGATTACCTTCAGTATTTGCTCCAGGGGTTGTTAAGGCACCCCTAATGGAGTCATCCTTTACCTGTGTGATTATATTCAGGCACTATAAATTAACAGTGCACTTTTAGTACATCCCATACTGTAAACTTTCCCTGCCTCTCAGCCCCTAAGGCTAATAGAAGCCCTGCTGCCAAGAGTCCAGAGGTGACCTAGTAACCACAGCACCCCTGGTTCAGGCAAAAATGTGGAATTAATAGTTAACTGTAGACTTCTGAGTTTAATTGCTGTGCACCACAAAGGTACTTTTGACAAGTACTTTTGCAGTAATGAATTAATATTCTCTCACTGAATTCATCAATGAAATATTCATTGCATAACTGCTGTCTTTTGATCCTTATCATGTCTGCAGAGATTTAAAGGCACTTCTTCAAGAGGTAGCCAGCATACATTGCATACAGTGCAACAGGCTCATGCCTCCTGTTGGGATCTACCAGTTCCAAGGAGTCCTTGGGGTGGCCACTGAATGGATGCATAATGGATCTCTCAATTTGCTCATTCATGAGGTATGTAAGAGGCAGTGGAGTCTTTTTGTCAAGCCCTCCTTTAGCGGTTCCAAAGTATCCTTTGTGAGTTTCTACTGAGCCCCTTTATGTTGCTTGTACAGGGTATACCGTATTTTTCGCTCTATAACACTCACCCGACCATAACACGCACATAGTTTTCAGAGGAGGAAAATCCGTAGGCATGCCACCCATAGGCATTCCCTCCATAACACGCACAGACATTTCCCCTTACTTTCTAGGAGGAAAAAAGTGAGTGTTATGGTGCAAAAAATACGGTAATTCATTTCTGCCTGCATTTGTCTTCAGTAACATGACACCCCGTTATCTTTGCAGATAGGGTATTGTAACAGGGAAGGAGAGGGGTTTTTTAAAAAAATGTTGGCGGCAAATTCCATCATTTAATTGTTCATTCTGTAAAGGAACACTTTGGTACTGGTCATTCTGAATTAACCGCCAATGAGAGCAAGGTTTAGGTTGCCTTGGTTGTGGGCTGGGGAGTGAACAATTGGGATATGGAGGGGGGATGTTTTGGGCTGGAGCCTCTAGGTTCTTCTCCAGCAGGCATTTTAGGCTGCAATTCTGTATACACATTCAACCTGGAGGTCAGTCCCACTTGTCTCAGAAACAAGCATGTATAGAATTGCATGGCCAACTGTGTTTTTTGGGGAGGGGCATAAAATTATTTGCTGCTTGCTACAGAAGAATCTCAAAATGACTTGACACCACAAAATGCAGAGCAATGCAGCATTTAAAACCAAACATACTAAACTAATCCCCTACTAATTATTATTAGTAAAGGAACACATCTTCCGCACACAACGTTAGCATAATCACCAAAAAATATCTGGCTAAAATTTGTTCAGGACCCACAGTGATATTTACTTTGAATTGGGTTGGAAATGCATGTTTTAAATTGGGGTGTGGGTAGAGAAAGAGAGTCTGGTACTTTGCAGATGTAGCTGGACTCCTATCAGCCCAAACCAGAATAAATTATGCTCAGGGAGGATCGGAATTGCAGTCCATTTAACATCTGAAGGATGCTACACTGGCAATCCCATTTTTAAATAGCGCATTAGGTAATATTGATACTAGTAAAGTAGTGATAGAGCTGAACACTGACATAATGGCTTTGTGAACCTGTTTTTTGTTTAGCATGAACTTTACCCAGAACTGCCTTTTCCTCTCTGTGTAAGAATCCTAGCAGATGTGACAGAGGGCCTAAGTTATCTACACAGTTTGAAGCCTCCCGTCCTTCACCACAGCCTAAAACCTTCAAATGTCCTACTAGATCTGCAGTACAGAGCTAAGGTGGGTCTGTTTAAACATTTACCGGCACACTCTAGATGTTCTGGAATACAACTCCCATCAGCTTTAGCCAACACTGGAGTGTTGGCTGGGGTTGATGGGAGTTGTAGTCCAAAGCATCTGGGGGGCACTGCATAGGAGAGGGCTGGGTCAGTTAATAGCATATCCTATTTCTTAAATTTCACTTCTTTCTTTCAGATATCAGACTATGGCCTAGCCACCTGGAGAAGGCAGCAACTAAGATCTGTCTTACAGAACTGTAACAACAGAAGCTGTTGGGATTTGCTTTATCTCTCCCCAGAAATACTTCAAGGGGGTAGCTTCTCACAAGAAGATGATGTTTACAGGTGAGTTTTTATTTCAAAAACAGAATCTCATCCCTTGATGGACCAAAGGCTGCGCCACTCGGGCTGAGAAATGGTCTCCTCAGCACTGAGTCTTGCATCTGTTCAATACAATGTGACCTTTTGAATTTATTCAGGTGGTTTAATTTGCTAAATTACTGCTGCTGTATAATGTTCTGGCTTTTAAATGAAACTGCTGCTTTTGCCTATACAGTCATACCTCATGTGCCGTCCGCTTCATGTTATGTTCTTTCAGGTTACGTCCCACAGCTACCCGGAAGTACCAGAAAGTGTTACTTCTGGGTTTCTCCACTCACGCATGCGCAGCTACCCAGAAGTACCAGAAAGTGTTACTTCCGGGTTTCGCCGCTCATGCATGCGCAGAAGTGCAAAATGATGTCACACGCATGCACAGAAGCGGTGAATCGCAACCCACACATGCGCAGATGCGCCACTGCAGGTTGCACTCTTTTCATGTTGTGAACGGGCCTCCAGAATGGATCCCGTTCGCAACCAGAGGTACCACTGTACCTTGCTTGTGCTTACATTCCTATTATTTTTCTTTTTAAAAGTTATTGTAAGACTGAAGGTTTTCCATTGAAGTTGGAAGGAAGGGGCATTAAACATCTCAGTCCTGCAGTCCTGTGCATTTACTTGAGAGTGATGAGAATTGAGTTCAATGGGACATTTCAGAGTAGACCTGCAAAGGCTTGCACTCAATAAAAAGAAAGAAAGAAATCAGATGGAGCCTGACAATATGTGGTTTAATATCATCATTGTCATCATCAACAACTGTATATATCACTTACTTCTAAGCATTCTCTGGGTTAGCTAGAAGATCATAGTAACATTTTCTGTGCAATACCAAGATACAATTTCCTAATACTGGCTACTTGTTTGAATAACCTTTCTGTTTTTGTGGAAGGGCTGAGTGATAAGGCAGCGTCCTGGAGCCCTTCCCAAGCTTTCGTGCAGATGTATACTTTAGATAAACTGGAACTACTGGTCTTTTTAGTCATAGGTGTTTTTTCTTTTCTTTTTTCTTTTGCTTTCCATTTCCGGATTCAGGGCTGTTAGCTTTTTCTTTCTTGACCACAGAAGAGTTTTACTGTTACATTCTGGGGAAACTCAGGTGTAGACCAACACTTGTGGAAACTCAAGTTTTGAAAACAATTGAAATAATTATTTGGTCAATGATGAAAAATGGATTTTTCCATGAAGCTTGTGAACCAACTAGTATGGGTAGCAGATATTCCAAAGTAACAGACGTTTTTCTTTCCATATTTGTGCCTAGTTTTGGAATGATGTGCTGGGAAATCCTAGTCAGACAGAAGCCATTGAAAGGTAGGCAGCTGCATGTATGCCTTTCATTGTATTTTCCTCCTAGCTTCTTCCCCCTAATATAAAAGAAGTGCTGTTTAATTTAACCTCCTCCTATCTGGTTTGGTCCCTTCCTAAATGCAATCATACTGGAATATTTTTCTGCTGGCTATCATTTGAAAAAGGAGCAGCTTCAAATGCCTTCTGAGTCTTTTAAGGGCCATGGCTACTGCTGCTTTTTATTCTTTCCTGATGGTTACAAATCTGCATCAAACATCTATAAGATACATCTCTATCCTGGGGCTTAACCACACTTACCTTTTGCTGCACTCTTTCCAGGCAGAGGTCTGTCATTAATACTCTGTGTCCGAGTGCAGCTTTGCCCTGAGCTTTCCCCACGAAAACACACTCTTTAAAGCTGAATCGGAGCAAATGTCAGTTCAGGTTTTCTGTGGCTTGACTTTTGCTCCAGTTTTAAAGAGCTTTAAAGAGCAGGTTTTTGCAGGAAAAGCTCTGGGGCAAAAAAAAAAGGGTGAGTGGTGCTTGTACACAGAGCTTTAAATCCCGGACTATGCCTAGAAAGAGGTAAGTGTGGATAAGCCCCTAGTGGACTTGCCTGCTTTAACGAAAAAGAAAAATTAGTGGACATAACTAATTAAGTCCTTCAGTTCTGTGGGTGTGCTCTGTGTAGAACTTCAGTTGGATGCAACCCACAGACTTCTGCATCTTCATAATCTGGGGGTGGCTGAAGGATCCTCTAGTGAGTCTGCCAACTCCTGACACATATATTATAATTCCTTTACTAAGTATATGTGTCACAGGGCTGGGCAGATCAGTCTATTTCTGGTTGGTGTCAGTTTTGCATGTCTGTGCTCATTTGATGCGATTTTATTTTCTCTCTCTGCAGAACAATGGCAATTCGTTCATTTGTAGATTGGCTGAGTTTTGTTGGATTGATTGGGGCATTGATTCGTGTCTCACTTATGTTTTATGACTCGATTATGCTGTTCTACTATTGCTGAGTTGTTTCCAGTGATTTGTGGTTTTATTGAGTCATTGCGCAGTATGGTTCATTTTTGCCTACTCAACCATGTATATTACTTGGAGAATATTTATTGTGGGGCGGCTTATAAATTGGTCTGTGCATAAACCTAACAATGCAGGTAGCTTTTAGGAGAGATCTAGCATTTGGCTACAGCCAACACCAGCTTAAGGAAGCATGCATTGCATGTTTTTAAAATAGTCAGGCAAAGGGAGTAGCAAACAATTAGCCACTCCTCTCCAGAGATTCACCAGAGTTCCGTCCAATTCTTGGGCCCTGTACCCAGTGAGGGTTAGAATCTAGCAGAGGTTTCTATTGCTGAACTAGTCAGACAAGTTTCTCTATAAGACAACAACCATAAATGGTCACCTAAGGGTTCTCATCAGCATCTCAAACAAATTAGCCCTAGAACCTCTGGAGTCTCTCACTACTCAGAGAGGTATATGCTATAGGGTATATGCTATGACCAATATACCCTATACTACCCCATCCTATGCATGTTTATGTAGAAGTAAATCTTGCAGGGTTCAATAGGACTTCCAGGTCAGGGACTCCATGCATCACTTCTTCTTAACACATTTGACTTGGGTAGCTCCCAAATTGTTCTACCTGTTTGTTCTTTGTGGCTTCCATTCTTGCCTGGCACCAGCAGTCAACTAGGTGGGGTTAGCTGCATTCCCATTCCAGGAATAGGTGGCACAACTGAAGCATCTTTTCACAGTCTTGATTCTCTTCAAACATTGTGCAAGTAGCATCTTCTTCTAGTATTGGGGCCAAAGCTAACAAAATGAAGGATACTGTATTGACAAACTGGAACATGTGCAGAGGTGGGAAACCAAGATGATAAAGGGTCTGGAAGGAATTCCTTCCTACTCTGAATGGAAAATAAAGTAACTACAGTTACTTTTAGGTATATGCTGCCCTCTTGTGGCTGTTGTTTTCTTGCTTTCTTTGGTTACATGGAAATTTGATCCTGAGAGTGAACTGATTTGCCATGCAAATTACAGACTGCTGATATAAGTTTTGCGTGCACACACACACAAAAAATTATTTTCCTACTTCAGGCAAGAAGTCTTTGATGGAAGCTGTGACAGGAGTCTGCAGTGGCTTGCGCCCTGGGATTGAACCAGAGTTCGTACCAAACAGTCTGCCACATAGCAACAAGCTGCTACAGCTCATGGCTCTCTGCTGGCACCAAGAGCCCAGCTACAGACCACATGCTACAGGTAACATCTATTGTTGCTCACCACTGGCAAACTATCGGGCTACCATTTCATAGGTCAGATCTGAAAATGAGTGTGTCAGCTGAGGAAAAGCAGAGACGGCAATAAAGCATAAACCTTGTTGATTCTGCTCTTTACCTCAGTTGTTCTCTGTCTCACGGAGAGCTCATCTGTTTCCCTGCACTTTCTAAGCACAGGCCCACACTTTCCCAGTCTATGTATGAGCACTTTTTCTTTTTGCCCTGCGACTTTCCCCAGGAAAACCTGCTCTTTAATGCTGAGTTGGAACAAACAGCAGTTTGGGTTTCCCATGCAATTCTTTTCAGCAGTAAAGAGTGGGTTTTGGCAAGGAAAGTCCTGGGCAGGGGGGGAAAAGAAGAAGCACTTGCACACAGAGCTTTAAAGTACAAACCTATGCCTAAAAGCCAAGGCCAGATTTAGGTTTGATGAGGCCCGAAGCTACTGAAGGTAATGGGGCCCTTTATATGTCCAGCTGTCCTTTGTCAACAACAAATTGTCACTGTTTTTTGTGTTGAATATATGCTATATAGTAATTTATGGACCTAATAGGTATCTAAAGCCATTTGCACATAACAAATTGGAGCCTACACAACACAAAATACTGTTGCTGTATGTAGGTTTTATTTTATTTGTTTTTTCTCTTATATTTTGGAAATGTACATCCAGTTTCTTTTCCTTTACATTTTTTGGGGGGCCCCAGTAGAGTGGGGCCCTAAGCTATAGCTTGTTTAACCTATACATAAATCCAGCACTGCTAAAAGCACAGCAAAGAAGGAAGCCTTGATGAGCCCTTACCCTGAAAGGCTTGCCTCTGGCTATGGCTTTGTTTGTCAGAGGGTCTATGGGGAGGAGGTGATCTTTTTAGGAATTTGTGGTCTCAGCTATTTAGGACTTCAAACACCAACATGAATTGCAGATGGCCTGGAAATGAACTGACAATCAGGGCAGCTGTTTTAAAACAAGGGTTATGTGAGTTCCAAATCGAACCACAGCTGATAATCTGTCTGCTGCACGGTGTGTAAATATGGTGTTTCTTCAAGACGTCTGGGTGCAAGACTGTGTAATTGGAAGCCAGCTCAGATGCTGCAGCACCTATGTGAGCAAAGGTTACATGTCAAGGGGTTTTTGGTCTCTTAAATGCTAGCATATGGGGGGAGGAGGAGGAGGGAGAGAGAAGGAGGAGATGTAAGCCAGCAACTGGTTCTGACCTGTGATAGTACAAAGATTTGCCTACAGGCACATAAATGCTGTTTTATTTGTTTTTTCTTCTACAGAATGCTCAATACTTCTAAGGGAAATTCTTGGCACATTTAGGAAGGAGATTATTTCCGATGCAATATACAACTTGATTCAAGCAAAGGTGAGTCATTTGTAGAAATAGTGATCTCGTTTCTCCCAATAATGGCCCCTATGTAGCCAAACGAAAACTACTCACACCTAAGTAAAATACCATCACCAGACTCTGTGGAATTCTGAGGTATGCAAAACTGTAAAATAATAATAATAATAATAATAATAATAATAATAATAATAATAAAACTATCAGGTAGACTCCCTCCTAAAACCAACTGAATAAGTACTGAGCATGCTTGGCAGGCAGGAATCGCTGAGCTGACTGCTGGAGGAAAATAGAAATTTTCTATTGGAATTGGAATAAAGTATGAAGTCCCAATGATTTCAGTGGGAGAGTTATGCATGTGTACTCTCTGTAGCATGTTAGGTTTTTTAAAATGCCCAAACTAACCAGAAGTATGGTTAAACGAATTGGCAGGTATACTATGAGGTAACAGTGCCGTTCAGATACCCTTCGTGCACCTGGATGCCTCGAAGAAGAACACCCAGTGCTATTGAGAAAGGTGATCCCAAATCTCCAGGCTCTCTCTGTTGCACATGACTAGCAGGTTGTTCAATGAGTTCCAGGGCAAACATCCCGATGGCTTAGAGCACTGGGAATATATAAGCAAGGAAGAAGAGGTTTGCTTCTCCAAAAATGTAAACAAATTTGGATGAGATTTTCAGTAAACTTACCTATACTGACAAAGACACTGGTTATGAAACTAAGAGCAGCAGTTAATCCGATGAAAGCAGGGAACGTTGAGATATTTAGTATTAAGCAATTCCAGGGGGGCCTTTTCCAGAATTAATGTGATGTACCTGTACTTCCTCTTAACTCTGTTTCATGCTGTATTCCTCTCTTCCAGGACTGTGCAATAGATTCTGCCAAAGGTCCAGTTTCTCATGCACTTAAAACACATGCGTGCAACTTAGAGGTGAGCATTGGAAGCAGCTCAATACTACATCACACCAAGTGGTCTTATCTAGTTTGTTGTTGCCTGCGCTGCCTGGTAGAGGCTTTCCTGGGTTTCAGACAAGGGCCATTTTGTAGAAGGGTCAAGGTGTTGGTTTCCAGATGTGTTGCAGTATTTTGAGCAGGCTACTAATGTGGGCTATCTCTGACCTGGATGTCATTGTGCAAGGATAGAAAGGGAATGGGGTTTTTCCCACTTTATTTTTACACATTTTTCAAATTACATAAAACATATTACATCCATCCATCATCTTACCATAGTAAGTAAGGACTTCCCTACTTATCTTTCAATGGCATCCTAGTCTATGTTCTATAGCCACGATAATGTTTTGTAATCCATGTATTATTTTTTATCTTTTTTAAACCAAGACAGTGTTAAAAATAATAAGGAAAACAGGGTGAGAGAGCTATATGTTATCTGCATAACATGTTACTAGAATCTATCTAGATTTATTTTTTACTCTTATCCTTATTCTAGTTTTATTTTTATTCTTATCCTTATTCATCTTAGCAAATTTCTGGGAGGTGCACTGTTGTGTCTCTACCACTCATTTTAACATTACTTCTGCTGATTTCAATATGTCACAAAACCACAACGCAGGTTTTTCTTTAAAATGAGAAAACCTTAGGCTTCTCAAACAAGTTCACTGCACTTTCCTCCTGTGTCCATCCACTTGGAAGCTCCATTGGACGTGATGCTTAGGAAAGCATGTTTTGAAGTTTGTAATTGCCACATTTGTTTTATTTAAAAAAAAAATGGTTGAGGAGGACAGCCTTCCCATTCCTTGTGATTCTGCAGAGACCCTTTTGATGGTCTCTGTGTTACTAGAAGCTACAAAAATGGGATTAGATGGAGTCAGACTCCACCTTCTGTGGATTGAAAGGATCCACCTGCCCATGGAAGGCTGCAGAGGGAAGGCTGGAATCAGCAAAAGTCACCACCTCCTCCAATCTGTGGGAGAGAAGTCTGGATCTAAGCTATAACTATTTTATTTATTCTGTCTTTAATTTATGCAGTGCTCTGGGTTCTGATGTCGAAAGCCAGTGCATTTACTAATATTATTATCCAAAGTAGATTTACTGTTTCTTGTTTGTTGCAGGTTATCTGTCCTCAGAACAACAACAGGCTCAACAAGGAAGTTACTCTAAAATCGCATAGCTTGTCTGACCTTCACCTTGAGCGGGGTGCAGGAAGGACAGGGAAGCACAGCAGCCAGACAGACTTGGCCAGCAACACTACTCAAAACAGAGCGCTAGAAAGAGGTAGCATTTTTATGAACTCCTAAATCTACCATACGTATGGGTAGGGATGGGGGGAGAAATTCAGCTTTGTTTGCATTTTAACGAGAAGCTACCTCAATTCACACTTCTCAGATCAACATGCAAACTGAAACAAAACTACAAGTTTTGTGATGTAGTTCTCCAGCCAAAAACTATGTACAAAAAATGCATTCCGTAATGAAAGTAACACAACAATGCATTATGTCACAGGGAATGGCTTGTCAGAAAATAAAATAAAATAATGTTTATATCAGTCCAAACTGCATACAGAAATGTGAATAGTGTCGGGAGAAATTGGTACTAAAATTTTGTTTATTCTTATTTGTTTTTTTAGAATTTATATACCTCTTTATAACTGCAGGTCTCAGGACAGTTCATAACATACAACACAAAAAACATAATGTGAGAGAGAGTCTAGAGAGGGGGCTTTAACCCTTTACTCTCACTGTAGTCCTGCTCAGAATCAGCCCCACTCCCATTCCTTGATTTTAAAAAAAGGAATAGGAAAAAGGAAAATAATCGAATTGTGGTGTCCAGCTCTTTGATATTGTTACATAATGAATTCACATGATGTGCAATGCCTGTTACAGGAGGGGAGACACTCACTGGGCATTAGTCCCAGCACCCAGCTGAGCTGATGGGAGCGGGGCAGGGATCTTATTTCTTAAGAAACATGTCCTTTTTCCACTTATCATTTTAAAATCAAGCACACATTATCACCAATATCCTTAACAAACAAATCGTAGTAAATAGTAAGATGTGCATATAGACACACCAAATGAAGTTTGTATTATAACACCATCTAGCGCTTAATCATAAGCAAAATAAGGAAAAAAGAGGTAAAGGTTGAAATAGGATCCAAGATTCAGATTCAAGTAGAATAAGAAGACGTATGCCTGAAGAATAATCATAAACAAAACTCATAAAATTGCCAAGAAAGGGTTATAACTAACCCCTACCACCTCACTATTCCAAAGTTCTATAAATTGTACCTTGTCCTGTTCAAATCCCTGTTTGTCTCTCTCCTTTTCGGAGTATCCCTGGTATGGGAAAATCCAGATTGAGGGAGGGGAAAGTGTGGGAAAGCAGTGATTTGGAAGGGAACACCATATGGACAATGGAGGATTAATGGAGATACAGGAAGCTTCCTATCCACATTAAATGTCAGTGTGGAGGAGCCCCAGATCTCCTGGTCCACCTTGGCAAACAAAAGAGCTGCCTTCAAAGCACAACTGGAGAGCTACATCTGTAGCGGTGGGGGCATGTCTTCTGCTTCCCAGCTCCATTGGTAGACTTGCAGTTAGATGCATTTCCAAAAACAATTTGAGAGCACAGGTCAGGCTGGTGGCTGGAAAGCAAGTACTAAAGCAGCACCTCCTATGTAGCTGTAACTCACAAGGATGGCTGCAACCTGCCTAATACATCCTTCCTAATACTGACATCTGCTCTTTAGTTGGCTCTGTTGATCTGAGAAAGGAGAAGTGTCTGTTGGCATGAGCAAACCCAATCAAGGTCTAGATACACAGGCAAAAGCCAGGTGTAACTGGAATCTGCCTGGCTTTGTCCTACTGCACTCACTGTTTTCCTGACAGGATCCCAACATTTCAGCAGGATGCAAAACAAGTCTGAACAAACAAGTCTAAAGTTTGAAGGTCACCTTAGAGTCACTTCCCATCTGATTTCTGCTCTGTTTTTAAGACAAGTAGGGAAGTGCCTGGGAAACAGGCAAAGAAGCTCATGTTTCGTAAATGTGCAAAAAAAAAAATGCATCCAGCTTGCAAACCTCACCAAAGCTTGCCCAAAGCATCTGCAGACATTCCATATGCGTCACAGATCTTAAGGGTATGAATAGAATACCCTTATAGAAAATAGAAAATGTGCAAAGCAGCTTTTATTCTGAAGTGGAACATTTCTTCCACACTATTAATACGACAGAAATGGTTTTGGGAACCAAAGTCATGATGTTCTTCTTATAGAGCTCAAAAAAATAAATATATTGCCACTGAGGACCTTAAACTGAGTTACTTTCCACAGAGGAGCACAAAGATTGGTATTAAGTGCATAATTTCACTTCCTAAGAATACCAGCTTTATTTTTAAATAAATAAATAAAAGGCAATTTTCTAGTCCTTATTGCTGGGAAAATGGGTGAAAATGCATTAGCAGTACCTGCAGACATATTTTTTTTAAAGCCCAGGGGGTGGCTAAAACGTTTGTGGTAGTCTAGGAACAGGGCAGTGGTATTCCTTGTAGTTCCTTGTCCTTCCACATGACCATATAAAGCACATATACTAACAGCAAACTCAATTCTGCAAGTATAGATAATACTGAGCTACTGGATAATAAGGCAGCTTCCTATTAGGTACCAAATAAGCCCAATAAAAACCCACTGCAGCATTCTCTACAGTGTGTCGTTCTTCTTCTCTCTTTGTCCTCCTTTCTCAATTTTTCTCTGCGACCTATATAGCAGAAACAACCCCACTCCATGCCTCTGTTCTTCCAAGTCCTCCCCCCTGCAGTACACTTGGGCCTAATTCCAAACAGCCAGCATGGGTGGGGAGAGAACCAGCCTCAGAATCCCCCCACACACACCCTGTCGCCCCATCACAGCAACAAACAGTTAATAAAGTATCTAGTGGCTTCTGTACATAAAACTCATGCACTGTCCATTATTCCCTCCCTGATTCACAACTCACACTATATATTTATATATATTTGGTATTTCTGTAGGTCATCTCTTCTGTGGCAGCAAAGAGTCAAGTCCTCCACATTCCTCTTCCCCTTTCCTTACTCCCGATTCAAGCCTACTTGTAAAAAGTCCTTCCACATTTTGCAAAGAGTCAGAGGGCTGGCAACCGCGGCTGCCGCGACTAGTGCAGGCACCTGATGACAGCCCTCCGTACAGCAACCTTCGGAACAATGGGCTTGAAAACCCAGTAACAGGTGAGATTTAAAAATGAAAGAGGTGCTGCATTTTGGGGGTCGGGGGAGATACACTACCACCACTTGGAATATGGTACTAACTTACTGTGCTTTGTAACTGTATGGAGCCAGTGTGGTGTAGTGGTTAGGGTGTCAAACAAGAACCCCTGAGCTCAGCATTGAAATCCTCACTCAGTAAGGAAGGTCACCTTGGGCTGGTCGCTACTTCTCAGCCTAACCCACTTCACAGAGTTGTATGAAGTGGTGTTGGTTGGGAGCAGAGGAGTCATAAATAAAGTATAGCCCGTTAGGTTTAGTTAGGAAACCTCCCACAGCATTTGGAGGTGGGGGGTGTTAGTGGGGCTACAAATGGCTTGGCTATTACTTTTGTATTTGATGAAAAAAATATTTTTTTCTGTGGGCCCAGGTCCTTACTGCAAAGAGGGAAACTGCTCTATCCTAGCCTGCGGGCGAGAAACTATCTTGAGATGCATGACGGAAGGGCGCTTGAACCACCTCCTAGACGTTCTGCGTTCCCAGCAGCTCTTGTCCAGGACGGACTACGAAATGATCACTTCGTTCCCCACCTTGACTGGCCGGGCCCGTGCTTTGCTCGACACTTGCCTTGGCCTTGGGGAGAAGGCAGCCCAGACTGTGGTGGCTGTTCTGTCAGCCAGCAAGTGCAGCCCTTTCCTGCGAAGCATCCAGGCAAACACAGTAAATTAAATGATTTATCTCCCAGCATGTTGGAGAGTTGGTTAAAAAGGAAAAAAGTCTGCGAACTGATGATTTGCAGCGGCCTTGTTCCTTTGCGCCATCGTTACCCTGCGTCATGGATTAGAGTCTAGCATGACTTCTGCTCAGAGAACGTTCTCTTCTGAAAGAAGAAGCATGAGCTGGATGAAAAGGTCAAGCCACCCGCTGCCTGAAGCAGTAGCAGCTGCATCCTTTTAATACAGTCACCCAGTGATGGAGTGATGGTGTGGCTGGTCAGTTTTGGCTCTTGAGCTCCTTGCTCTTACTCGAAGAGGACAGACCACAGGACCCCTTGTTTTTCTGTCGTCTGAGAGCAGATTGCTGAAACTTGGCAAATAATGTTTAAAAAGGAAAGGGCATTTAAGGGCAGAGCTGCCCCTGTGAAGCAGAGAGAAAAGGCTGCCAGAGTGAGCAGAATTAAATACAACTAAGCCATCACCACAGCAGGCACCTTATTTAAAACAAAATTTCATTAATGGCGGAGTTTGAGGTAGGCTTTCAAGCAGTAAGTGAGGCATTTTGCTCAAGTGTTCTTGAACAAATTATTTTTGGTGCCTGCCCCTGAAATTTAGGTGGCGTGAATGTGGAGAACTTCTGAAGTGATGCTTTTGAACATGCCAGTGTGAAGACTGTTAGCATTCTGTTGCCAGCTGTGTCTACTGACATCAGCAGGGGATGTTGTGTACTTGGCCGTGTGCAGAGGCCCAGAGGATGGTGAGGAAGGAAGGCATATGTAGGCACCTGGATCAACCTGCTACCAAAGATAGGCAGGTTTATATACAATTATTTAAATTATTTGAAACAATTACTCTCTACTACCTTTCGGTAAATTCCAGAATGGTGTACAATATGCTATTATTAACAAAAACCAGGCAGTTTTTGAAACAAGCAGTAGCTGAGCGTGTAAAAATATGCACGCAAAGATGAATTAAAATAGCTTTCCAGAGGATCCCACATGGATAAATGAGAGTCGCTATGCCCAGTGTGAAGAAAGGTAACAGGTTGGCACAAAAGTGACTAGAACCCATTCTTTGATTTGTGAAATTGGAGCCTGATTTGGGATGATTACTTTTTAAAAATACATATGTGTGGACAGAGAGAGGAAACCTTCTGAACTTTTAATGGGTGGCTTGTGCCTTTTGTAAAAAAATAAAAATTGAAGCCATCTTATGTAAGATTGTGTTAGGAAACTACTCATAAATAAGCCTTATTGTTTGACCACAAAAATATGTGTAAGCAGATAAACATCATGCAGCATGAATGATTTAAAATCATGCATTAACTGAATAAACATGTGATAAAACTGCTGTTTAAACTGTAGTTTAACTCTTTCTTTAAAGGTAATTTGCTTCCAAACGTTTTATGAAGCAAGCAACAAATGTAATGAATAACAATAATAATAACAACAGGCTTAGTTTTTCAGCAGAGATTGTGACATGAGATCTTCATGAACATTGTTGTTAAAATACACACACCACCTTTCTTCTGGGTATTACAGGCATTGACATCCCCAAGGGTATAAGAAAATTCTTTTTATATGCAACCGCAGCCACAAGAGTGCTCATTGCGACATATTGGAAAAATGACAAACTCCTTACCAGAGTGGAATGGTTACTCAAATTGACAAAATATGCAGAATTAGCCTCCCTTTCGGAAATAATCAGAGATAAACCCAGACAAGAGCTCATTCTAGAATGGGATAATTTCAAAAACTATTTGAAAAATAGCTGTAACTTAAACATGGTAGTTGCCTTTGAATGATTTCTGTAAAAAATATATATGATGGAAAATGATATCGAAATCGTAAAAAGAATTTTTATAAATTAATAATGACAAATCAAAGCAAGATGTTTAATATAAAGGAAACATGGAGAGGATGGGAAGTCATGGGTTTGTGTAGAAAGCACATAGTTGAAATTGCATGTATCTTTTGTGATATTTTTACTGGATTGATGACAGTGAAGATGACTAGGTGCTGTGTGTATATATATATATATATGGGAAATGAATAATAAAGCATAAAAAAATACACACACCAACTTTCCACAGCAAATGCATCAACACAGGAAGTTGCCTTATACCAAGTCTATCAACTGTTCTTCCAGGATTTCAGCCTTTCCTGTCCCAACCTGTTGGAGATGCAGGGGTTGAATCTGGGACCTTCTGCATGCAAAATATCTGCTCTGCTACCAGCTATGCCCCCCCCCCAATAATTGTTGAAGTAAACATATATTGCCGGGGGACATAATTCATAGCGCAGCACAGAACGTCCCAGGTTCAACAGTTCTGATCAGGGAGCCAGCCATCTAAACATGTAAAATTAAATATCAGCAAATAATCCTAATAAACATTTTTCACATGGCTGTGCTGGGGATTGAACCTGCGACCTTCTGCACGCAAAGCAGAAACTCTGCCACTGAGCTATGACCCTTCTCCAGACTAATGAAAGAAATTGTGAATGCCCGCCCCTCCTTTTCCTTTACATTTGAAAACAGCTGTAATTTTTCAGAGGCAAGCCAAGCGCAGCCCAACACCCTACTCCAGAGACCTGCTTACAAATGATCCAGGGAAGAAACAGCAGAGCTGTGTAATGATTAGCTGGCTCTGTTGAAATGTAAGTGTCAGTCTTTTCATCTTTTTTTCCCCCTAGTGGGACTCCTGCCTTTAACAACTGCCCCAAACCTTAATATTCAGCAAGTGAATACAGTGGTACCTCAGGTTACATACACTTCAGGTTACAGACTCTGCTAACCCAAAAATAGTACCTCGGGTTAAGAACTTTGCTTCAGGATGAGAACAGAAATTGCGCAGCAGCGGTGCGGCAGCAGCGAGAGGCCCCATTAGCTAAAGTGGTGCTTCAGGTTAAGAACAGTTTCAGGTTAAGAACGGACCTCCGGAATGAATTAAGTTCTTAACCTGAGGTACCACTGTATTAGCACCACTTGGCAAAAATTTGCACCAGCTGCATTGAATCAGGCTCTGTATTAGAAATTTTAAGCAATCCTACTTGCAGGCATTGGAAGCAGCACATAAAACATCAGAGCACCCAGGTGGCAAGTTATTGCTGGACCGATGCTGTAACACAGTGCTCAGTTAAACTATGGAACTCACTTCCACAGGGGGCAGCAGTCGCCACCAACTTGAATGGCTTTTTAAAAAGATTAGACAAATTCATGGAGGAGAGAGCTATCAATCACTATTAGCCACAATAGCAGTTGAAGGCAGCAATGCTTCTGAATACCAGTTGCTGGGAACCACAGGAAGAGTGTTCTTGCGCTCGTATCCAGCTTGCCGGTTTTCTACAGGCATCTGGTTGGCCAATGTGCAAACAGGTTGCTGGACTAGATGGGCCAGATCCAGCAGGCTCTTATACATAAATAGATGCCTAAATCCACAATCCTATTTGCAAACAGAGGGAGATCCCTAGATAGATTAGTGTGCCCAAAGCTGCAAAGTACTGCAAAGCTGCAAAGTACTGTGGGATCAATGGATCCAAAAATGAGCAGTCCTACTTACAGGCAGGGGGAGCTCTACATGTGCATCAGAGCACCCACTATCGCTGGATCAGTGCTATATGGCAGAATGGATGCTTAATATCTTTCCTCTTGCTCAACAATTTGCCCCAGTTTAATGTTCTGCTTCTAAATTCCCTCAGGACAACTAGGCATCATCACACTAGTGCCAAAACCATAACCTACATGTTTCTGTTGAGATGGAACTTCTCAAGCTGCTGCAAGAAACACTTTGCCCACTCTTTGCCTTTTGCATGAACATGAAATGAATGGGCGGTCATTTCCCGCTAAGCAAAGGTAGGAGAGATTTTTAACACGCTTACACAAATTGCATAATCATGGAGGCATCTTCTACTAGAAGTAGGGATGTTGGGAGTGGCTGCTATGAATGAGAACCTCTGAACAAACACAAGCAGGATCTAGAATTACAAGAGGCAAATACAGCTGACATGCTCTGCTCTTAGTCCTATAACAATTTGTCACTAACTTTAAGGACTTGGAACTGAAGGGCAGGCATCCATGTAACTTCCCCTTGGTTTTTCTTTTTTGGGGGGTAATGGGCAGTCAGGTAGCAGGGAAGGGTTTTCTTTTTTAACTGCTTTCATATTCCAGATTCAAAATTGCTCCTCTTCCTCCAAAGGCCACAACTATGTAGTGAGGGGAGCTAAGGAGGCTGGGAATTGCCACTGAACAACCAGAATGCAAATGCAGAATAAGTAAATTAAATGTATTTAAATATTAGTAAGATACATTTTTACATTTTGCATGATTTTAAAATAAGGGTTTCAGAGTTCTTGGTTTTTTATAGTGTTTTTGCACTCCAAATGGTATGCTAGAAGGAAGATATAGGTAAGCAATTGAAGATATAGTAAGCAGTTGGGAAGAGCAAGTGGGACCCACAACAAAAAATGTTGTAGTATATCCTCACTTCGCTGGAGTGCTCCTGTTTAGGGATCCTGCAGCACAAGCAAGGCAACCTCCTCTCCGTCTCTCCTCCTCACCCAACCCTCAATCTTTCCATTTTTCTTTGCTGACACAAAGGAGTCTGTAGCTATTGGGTGTGCTCAGTCTTCACTGAGCTACTGTGTAAGGGTTTTCCCCATTTTAGGGTTTTGTACTTCTACAAACCTTGCGATTTGTCCAAGTGTGCCCTGTTATCTCCCACTGGCCCCACTCAACCACCTGAATTTGCTATTAGAGGGAGTGATCTTACCTGCATATCTCCTTATAAATAAAATAGGAAATAAAATAAAATAAACTATAAGTCTATAAACTTCTTTAAAAACACACACCAAAAACCCCTGAAAATTCAGGGAAGGGACTTGACCCACCAGCTCTCCCCCATTATTCCTGCCCCCCCAGTTTTTATCCCTGACTACCACTTGGAGTAACCACTTCCATCCAATGCCACATAATGTACAGTATTGCTTGGTATTCAAGTATATATACCACTCATGCAATTTTAATTATAATGTGCAAGATTGTAAAGAGGGATATTAAAGAAAGTACAGTACAAAATCCTGCTCTCTCTATTGGGGGGGATCCACTGTACTGTAGCATGAACAGCTGCCAACAGTTCTCTGGCAACATGGCTTGTTATGAAACATCTGTTTGTGCAGTCCACATCTTGTTGAAGTCAACAGCCAAAACCAGCAGTCCCATAGATTGCTCTGTTTGGGCATAAAAGCCTCCAGAGATCACTGAAAAGAAAGGAGGACACAGCCACAAGGCCCAAACCAATTATTGCTTCTGCTGTTGCACCAACTTGTTCAAACCCCTTAGAGCAGAACATCTGTTAGTTACACAACTTCTGATCAAAATATATAGTTCTACTCTGTCACAAATAGACCTGCTCTCCAGTTTTAGGTTAAGACCACAAGGTCAATGAAACACTTGCTTGAGTCTGACACGCTATGTTGAAGTGGAAATTCAGCCTGTGTACTCTGTTGTGCTCCATCTGCCATGCAGGCAGTGAACAGGTGAATATACCCAGTTGAGAGACAGGCAAAGGTAGCAAGGGATGACCGTGAGCTGGGCTTGGTTCCATCTGGACAGGAACAGTGGTGCAGTCTGATAGTTTTCGACCAGGTGTGGGGAAACTTTGGCCTTCCAGATGTTGCTGAACAAGAGCCCTTCACTGCATTCAGCTGAGTAAGGGCCTGAACATCTCCCACCAAAGTGTCACTGCACATAAATTAAGCATTTATGTCGCATATTTTTAAAAAGCTTTTGGAAGTTTAATGCACAGTTTGCATTATCTTGTTGGAATCCTGAGAGCACTCCATGTAAGGTAGATCAATATTATTATCTCCATATTGCAGGCGGAGAAGATGAGGCTGAGAAGAGTAGCCTCACCTGACACCATCAAGCCAATTCATGGCAGAGGCAATAACTGAACCATGGAAAGTGTGACAGCCTCTTGCACTGCAGTGATATGGCAGACTGTTACAGGTGGAATTGCTTGTTGTTAAAAGTGAGCCTGAGTGTGGTTTGTGTTCTGAATCTTCCTTGTAAGCGAGGTCCAACTTACAATAGATTTCCTGCTTTGGCCGAATACATGCCTCTTCTTTGCTGGATGCTGTTGGGCAGAGGCAAAGGCCAGGCTTAGCGTTTCAGCTTTGGATGGCATAGGCTGGAGGGGAGGTCCTTGGAGTTGGTTAGCAAACAAGAAGGAGACGGAGGGGCAGAACTCCAAGTGAGCTGAGGATGACAGATGGGAACAAAGAGACACAGAGGGTGGCATTTTGTTGTCCTTTAAATCCAATGCTGCCCTTATGGGGGAAGCCAGCCCCTTTTGGGATGTGATTGGGAATTCAGTCTTAATTCCAACTATTGTAATGGGCATCATCCTCCACTGCACCAGTTTAAGGGACACAGGACAGGGCACATAGCACATTCAGCTCTGTCTACCACTGCTCCCTGCCCCCGACAACATCCATTGCCTCTCTTTACCTAATGGTAGAGCCAACCAGGCAGAGGGCCTTTTTGGTAGTGGCGCCCACCCTGTGGAACGCCCTCCCTTCATATGTCAAGGAAATAAACAACTATCTGACTTTTAGAAGACATCCGAAGGCAACCCTGTTTAGGGAAGTTTTAATGTGTGATGTTTTATTGCTATTATTATTATTATTATTATTATTATTATTATTATTAGAGCCGCCCAGAGTGGCTGGGGAAAACAGCCAGATGGCAGGGTATAAATAAATTTATTATTATTATTATTATTATTATTATTATTATTATTATTATACAAAGCATATGCTTGTCCATTGACTTACATCTCATCTACATGACTTTGCCACCATTATTCCATAGTGAGCAATACAAAAAGGGACACCTTTGTTACCCTGAGTAGCAGTTCAGGCTGGAAGATGACACTGTCAATCAGTTACCTTGGGTTACAAACGTATCATTCATTTCCATAAAGTTCCTTACTCATAAACAGCTGTTAATGCAGCATTGAGAGACCGCACTGCCACTGATTTGAGAAGTGAGGGTATCAAACACACTTTCCTACCCAACAGGAACATGCCACAGTGCCAAAAGTTACATCAACTGAGTTTTAACACCTCTTGAGGCTTTTGAGAAAGTAGGTTGCTATATAAAAAAAAACCCACAACCATGTTATAATCCGGTTAAGTCTCTTCTGATGCTGAGGTTCGTTTCACTGTTACAAACATTTGTTGCAGCAACAACAATCTCTTCAGGGATTTGTGGTGAAGCCAGCCTCAGGCATAGTGAAGCAATTGGCTCTTTCTCCTTGTGGTGCCAAATCTTAGGAAGTGCCTAATATTTATTCAGCTGCCTGGATTGCGTAAAGTTCAGTGGGAGCAGTTGGGATAAGCCAACAAGTCATGCCAATCTTCAAGCACACCACATCTTTGTGAGATTATTCTATACAGGTCATGTTCACACATGACTTTTCGACAGGGATGAGGAACCTCAACTTGCATGAGGGGTGTAGCAGGGGTGGGGCAGGGGGCTGTGGCCAGACACCTCCATGCAGGCATCGGCTTCCACAGGGATCCCCAATCCATCCAGGCATGTCCTGCTGGGTCCTGTCCCTGGCTCTCCATCCTTCCCTGCCTGTGGCCTGGGGGGGGGGGTCTCACCCACCTAGGTTGCAGTGATACAGACCAGATTGGCCTCCTCGTCCACAATCAGGTCATGGGTGAAGGAGAGCCAACCTGACATTCAGCTACAGCAGCCACAGCCCCGAGGGCTGGCTGACAGAACAAGTGCAATTCCCCAGGTTGAAGGAGTGGCTGGCATACAGCACAGTCAATAACATGTGATAGCCGTGTGGCATGTGAGTTGGTTCAGGGGTGAGGAAAGCAAAAGGTTCAACAAAATCAGTCTGACTTCAACACATTATCTGTAACCTACCTTAAAAGAAGGTTTTTATTTTTATTTTTAAAAAATGAGGTAGGAAATAACCAACAACATAAACAACCCTATTAGCTGGCACTGCACCCCACATAAGGACCCAGTTGCCACAACCCCGGCAGACCTGGTGTCAACTGGCTGGACCTGAAAATGTCACCCACCCCAGGCAATGATGTTGCCCAGCCCTTTGGGGCAAGGAAAGGCATCTGAACACACCAAGGAACCAACTACTTCACTGCAAACCCGCACATTTCCTACTTACCGTTAATCATTTTCAGAATCTTTCCCACAACCTGACAAACTTGCTTGACCTGCCATTAGGAGCTGCCTGAGAACAAACTAACCTGTAGCCTGTGGCAACTATGCGTAACTGTAACATTTGGGTGCATATGCTGGTTCTGTCAGGTTTGAGGGGGCCACAGATGAGATGCATTCTGGTCTGCCTCACAGTCTGGCCACAGCTTTTCTCCTTCCCGCTGCTTCCTTTTTCTTAAAATAAATAAATCATGATATCCTGGCAGTAGTGCTATTCGCCCTCCCTATCACCCTGACTAGGGGAAGCGGGTGGCACTGTGGGTTAAACCACAGAGCCAAGGACTTGCCAATCAGAAGATCGGCGGTTCGAATCCCTGTGACGGGGTGAGCTCCCATTACTCGGTCCCTGCTCCTGCCAACCTAGCAGTTCGAAAGCACGTCAAGTGCAAGTAGATAAATAGGTACCACTCTGGCGGGAAGGTAAATGGCATTTCCGTGCGCTGCTCTGGTTCGCCAGTAGCGGCTTAGTCATGCTGGCCACATGACCCGGAAGCTGTACGCCGGCTCCCTCGGCCAATAAAGCGAGATGAGTGCCGTAACCCCAGAGTCGGCCACGACTGGACCTAATGGTTAGGGGTCCCTTTACCTTTATCACCCTGACTAACTGGCTGTGTGGGTTAAGCAGGTAGCAAGCAAGCAGGCAGGGTCGGTGGTGAGAGTTCAGATGTTTGCCAGTGTGCACTGCAAAGCAAAGCACTGCAAGAGCCAAATCCTATGAGGTTCTCACTTCCTGCCAGAAAAAAAACCTTAAGGATTTCAAGAGCTAGTGTTTGAATTAGTTTTTTTCTTCCTGCCTCCCAATCTCTTTTCCTTTTGTCTCATGTCTCTTTAACTCTGAAAATAAAAAATGATTATTACTAATCATTGGAAGTCTGGGATTTTACTGTAGACCCAGTGAAATTAATGAAGTTAATCGTGCCCATTAATTTCAATGGGTTAACTCTGAGTAGAACTAACCTTGGCTACAATCAAAATGGAAGAGGAGAGTCAGGCTGTTTTGAAAGAACTGGGAGTTTATTAAATCTCTTACAGAGGATTTTATACAGTAGTCAATGGTCAAGCAAAACCATGGAGAGGAACAGGGGGAGTAGGAAACAGGCACAAACACTCCTTCCACAATAAACTACTAGTATCTAAAGTTGCCAAAATACTCCCTGTTGTCTTCATTGCTGTAATGATCTAATTTCCATCCCTGCAGAATATTAAACTTAAAGGTTGACAGTGCCCCTTTCAGGCTTCAGGAAATGTACAATATAAACAAAATATTTTTTGTTCATAGCAAGCATACTTCTCTGCTTCTTCAGTTCCTTTTACCTCCTCTGAACAGTTTTTTCTTTAAACAGTTTTTTCTCTAACTTGGAAAGCTCTTTATTGTGGATATAAACCTGCCCAGCTTTATTGTTGCTTATTTGGGTAAAGATTGTTACTTTATTTGCCTTAAGATGTCATTTTGGGATGAATGGGCCTTCTCCTTTGCATAGGTCATTTTTCTTTACAATGGAATGCCTCTCCCAGTTGTGTTTAAATTGTGCACAAGATAACCATGTTTGTTGGAATTGCCTGCTTATGGTTCTGACATATATCGTGAAAGAGGATCTCTTTTGATTTTTCTCCCTCCTTTGATAATGCAATAGTTAATTTTTAAACTGCTTTGGAAGATTTGAGCCAAGGATGCCAAAATCTGGTTTGATTTTCTTTTCCCACTTCCATCTTGTTCTGGACTGTAGTAATCACTGCATTTTAACTACAGTTCTAAGTGATGTTTTAATGTTATTTAATATGCTGTAATAAATAAATGTACCCCACCCTAGGACTACTGTGGTGAAGATGAGGTAACGAACTGAGATTACTAAATAACTAAATATAAAGGAATTGAGGTAACTGAAGGTCCTGTCTTCTCATAGACTGGGGTCCACAGAAGTATTGCACCTCAAACAGCAGGGACAGGTCACAGTAAGTCTAGACTAGTGCTGTGTCACATCCGGTAGTCCAGTCCAAGTGGGTAGGTAGGTAGGTACTGCCAAAATCCAGGCCGCTGGACAAGTGATGGCATGAACTCTGTCACAGAGAGCTGCTTCTGAGGACTGCTGAAGGCTGCTGGCCAGGTACCTCCTATTAGCCCCCCTCCTATTGAAATATCTGTTCTTTAAAAGGGCCACTGTCCTAATCTGTAACTTTAGGCTTGGAGCTGGTGAGGGCTGGATAATAAACTCTGGAATTCATCTAGGCTTCTCAAGTCTTCACTGCCACTCAGCTCGGTGTTCAGCAAGTAGTTGGGATGTTGATTCCTGCTCATTTGTTTGCTAACTTTGTATCCTAGCTTTCCACCAATTGGTGCTCAATGCCTATAATACAAATCCAATAAAATATAACAAATTATAGTAAAACAATAGAATATAAAGTAAAAAAGGTAAAAATGAGATAATTGAAACACCAATAAAAATCATTTGTTAAAACCACTTAACACATATTTGTAAATCATGTTTTATTTATTTATAAGTATTTATAAAGCATTTAATATATATATATTAAAATCTCTTAGCAGTCTGCAACATAAAAGCAAACAGTATCATTAAAACAAAAATTCAGCATAAAATGAGGATGACTACTGCTGAAACAACATCTAAGTTTTGCTTTAAAGGAGTCTCCGGTCTGAAATGCACAGGGAACTGTCCATGGTGCCACTTAAACCTTGTCTCCTGTTGCTTAAACAGAACAAGTGTGTTTTAGATCCTGCCCAAGATACTTGATGCCTGGGCTTGGCAAAGGGCAAGATGACACCCCAGTCCTTGTTCAAAAGCCAAGCGCTTTCAATGCTAGTGATGAGGCAGTGTCTTCCAGGGCACCTGAGGGCAGCAGACTAGCTTAGGGATTGCAGGTCAGGTTAAGTCATTTTCTTCTTCTTTGGTGATCACTCATAGCTGAGTAAGATTGTCTTCCATAAACACGGTTTTAACAATGAGTCCGTAAGTGACTGTGGAGGCCAGTTCTAGATCCACATGTCCTTCCACAGTGGGGACATTGGTTTCCAGGTGGGAGTTGATCATGGTGTGAATTTGCCAAGTGTGCCTTCCTCTTAGCATGTTTCTCCCTTGCGTAGGGCACCTTTCTAGCCCCTCCCCCTTTTGGGGTGAGCAGAATGGATCCTGAAAAGGGCTGCTCAGTCATGGATACAGCTGCCGAGCTGCTCAACTGCCTTGTTCCTTGAGTCAGAATGACTGAATCTGTATCCACCACCCATGTGCCGGTTCATGACTAGGGGCTTCCATATTTCATGATCCTGCCCCCATTACAATTTGCTGATCGCCATGGGACTTTGGGGTTTTGGGTTTTGGGTGGGTTTCTGGAAGATGCCTCTGTGTGAATTTATTTTATGTGCGTAGATCAGTGCACGTTGACCAACACACAGTCTTCACAGTAAGGCTCTCCCAATGGCATGAGTAATCATGACAACTGGTACATTCTTATCTGCTGCAGCCTTCATCCACCTTCACAGCCGTTGTAGCATACCGCTTGTTATCATCCGCCTGTTCTGCCCTTGAGGACTTCTTGGATCATTCTTTGTCTAGCTCCTTCCCTTTGACCTTACCACCTTGGGTGACCCTGCTGGGAGTACGAGATTCCTGATGACTTCGCTCACAAGGGTCATAGGAACGTGCAAGCCCACTCACCACAAGGTGATGATCCAGTGAGTGAGCCAGGTTAAGTAGCACACAGTGCTCTATTCTTGAGCACTGTGCTACTCCAGGCCTCACTCTTTCTAATGGTAGGGCTGGCTCTGAGCCACTCAGAAAGGCAGTGCCATTGAAGGCATGCTGCCCAAGGGTGTCCCCAAGCCTGTTCTCTTGTCCTATTGAGTGTAGCTAAGCTTAGAGATATATAGTAAACTGCTTACTACTTTCCTCTTTGCCCCTGCTCTTCCTTTCTGTTGTTTCCTGTGGTGAATTTTAGATTGTAAGCTTCTTGGGGAAGGGATGCTGATGAGGATATCTTGTTTTCCTTTTTAATATTTGTTATGTACTGAGTTGAATAGGATCCAAAATGCAGCAGTCTGATTGGTCCTAGAACAATGCAGCAGTATGATTGGTCTGCAGGAGCCACCCAATCCAGCTCCAGGTGGAAGTGAATCCACAACCTGATTGGCCTACAGGAGAATCCTGGAATTAGCCAATCACGTGCAGCCCATTGTGTAAATAATGTATATAAAGCAGATATTGTGGGGGAATTTTCATTCCTCCTCACCACTATGAGCTGAATAAAGAAAATGAAATCCACTCTCGACTCTGAGTATATTTCAATATTCACACAGTGCATTTTGTTGTTATTACATTGTGAATGGTCACCGTGTTCATTATATTATTGACTTATTATTGTATTGTTTATATTTATTGACGGCCTGGGGTGGCCGTTTTACATACGTTGACTGCAATCCCATCCAAGTTTATTCAGAAGTAAATACCGTTGCATTCAATGGGACCTATTTCCAGATAAGTGTGCCTAGGATGGCAGCCTTAAGCTTTAATTGATTTGTCAGTCTGAGGCTCAGGAGATGGAGTAAATGAAGGAGAGATACATGTATTAAAGGGAGAGAAACAATATTGCTTACAAAATTTGAAACCCTTGTTAAAAATAAATATTCTTTTACTTAAGAATGGAACTGTCAACTTAAGCTTTCTATGCAGCTGGTGTAGAACTAAGTTCTCTCCCAAACACATGCTTTTTAAACACTTTTCTTTACAATGAAAATCCATGCTCCTCTGCAATGTGCTGCCTCCCATATAATCAGTCCCCCCCCTTCTTTTTTGAACATGCTGAGTCAGTCACCATGTCTCAGCCTAATGTACCTCACACAGGGCAGTTGTGAGGATAAAATTGAGGGAAGGGAATCCTGCACGTTGCCTGCAGAAAATGTCCATAATAAATTGTAATAAATCCATCTGGCACAGGATGCTTTAGCTTAGATTCTTGCATTGTGGGGAGTTGGACTAGGTGACTGTTGGTCACTAAATAATATAGTTTTGATGAATAATCGTAATAATTTGTTTGATTCACTACAAATGCGCCATTCCTCCTGTAGTTTGGGGTGTGCCCATCTGTTTGCCCGCCTTATAATTTTCCTCCGACGTTTTATTAGGAAGAAACCCTGCTGACCCCAATGGGGTCTGTTCCAAATCTTTTCACCTTTTCTTGTGTATATGTAAAAGCCCCCTACTCCCCCCCCCCCGCCGCCGCCGCCTTGCTCCCCTTCTTCAACCCTTTCTCTCTCGTGGATTTGCGGTGGTGGTCTTCCTTCCTCGACCTGGGAAACCAACATAGCCCTCCGGGCCTTTCTGACGAGAGCCTGCGAGAAGCTAAGAAGACGCCAGAGGGCGTCGGCGGTGGGAGGAGCCCCGTCCAGGCCGCCGCCTGCGCTGCTGCTGCTGCTTCTGCTACCACCAGCACCACCACCAGGGGGGCCTTCTTCAGGCGAGCGCCTCAGCCGCGGCGGGGCGGGGCTTTGGGCCGGCAGCCCAGCTCCTTCGCTGCCCTCTCTGAGGGGAAAACAAAACAAGGCGAGAGGCGGAGGAAGCTGCTCGTCTAGAGGTCGCCTGCGCGGGAGGCGGCAGCAGGCAGGCTGCCCGGCTTGCTGGCTGGCGTTCTCGCCTGAGCATCCCTCCGGCTCGGCGGGGCGTGAGGTGAGCGAGGAGGAGGAGAAGCGAGGCTTAAAAGGGGAGCGAAGAGCCAAGGTGGGCAGGGCGCCCTCGAGGTGCTGCTGGGGGTTGGGATGGCGGTGCCTCTGGGATTCACCTCAGAGGCAGCGGGTGGGACGAGGCGGCGGCGGAAGGAGACCGGCTTTTTCGGCTCTCTTTTTTCCTGCGCCTCTCGCTCGGTGCCTCCGACGTCCCGTTTCTCTTTATCGCCAGTGCAGGCGCCACAAAAGGTTTAATTTAATTTTATGTTGGGTGTCTGGGCAGCGCGAGGAGGGTGGCGGGTGGCTCAGGCCGGCCCTGCCATTAGGCAGCGGGTTTTGGGGTGTGTGTCTCTGTGTGTTTCAAATGCTGAATATTCAAATTGAATATTTATTATTATTATTATTATTATTTTCTGATTGATGTTCTTATCTGCTGTTACCACCACCAGGAATAGGAGAGTCAGGGTTTTATGCCTGGGGACGTTTCTATGGGGCCAACTGAAATGTTGCCAAATGGTGTGCAAGCTCGGAAGTCCTCTAGATTTTTTCATAAGTCTTCCCTAGAAGGCAGACAAAAAGCAAAATGGGGTGGGGTCAAGAGAAAGAGAAAAACTTGGCTGTCAGGGGAAGGCCTCAGTTAAGCATCATTTTTCTCTCTTCTGCACCCGCTAACATCTAAGCCCAGCCTTCGCCAACTTGGTGCCCTCCAAACATTTTGCTCAGGGCTGGTGGAAGTTGTAGTCCAAAACAGCTGGAGGGCATGAGGTTGACAAAGGCTGATCTGACTTGAGGAAGAGTTCTGGACAACTTGGAAGCTTGCACACTTATTTTGTGATGTTTTGGTTAGCCTAATGTTTGTTGTAATTTTTGCGAGCCACCTAGAATCCCACTTCTGGGGAGAGAGGTGGGATATAAATAAATATAACCATAATTAATGCAGCTAATTTTTGTGTAAAATAACTTGAATAGTCTGTAGGTGCTGTACACCTTTACTGGGGTGGGGCACCATTTGGTCCTCTGTCCCAGACAGCAAGATGTCCTGGGCAGGCCCCTGTGAGGGGCTCTCATCCCCTGCCCCTAAACAATGCCCATGGACAACATTTTAGGAATCCCTGCACTAGTGGAGCCTGACACCTGCAGCTGAGGACCAAGGCACTTTGGGTTGGATGGATTGATGGCAGCTCCTGTTCCTTGTTGCTGCCAAGTCCACGTACAAGTGAATGGGAGTTTTTGTTTGCTTTCTTATCCACTTTTCACCATGAGGTACTAGGGCAATTAAAAAATACAGTATTAAAATCAGTAAAAATGACTCATATTCAGAGGGAAAGGGTGGGAACTACCATTAGGGGCCCTCTCCGAGCTTAACATTTTAGAAGGTCTGAATAGAGTTTCCCCCATTCACTTGTATGGAACAGGGGATAAGGGGCTGCTGCCAAAGTAAATCTACTTTTCTTTATTTCAGATTTTGTATACCACTGTTTATGAGAAAGCCAGGAAAACAAACAACAAAATAGAGCAACACAGTATGTAAAGCAAAACATCAGAATAATAATAATAATAATAATAAGTTATTATTTATACGCCACCCATCTGGCTGGGTTTCCCCAGCCACTCTCGGCGGCTTCCAACAAAAGATTAAAAATACATTAAAACATAATTCATTAAAAACTTTCCTATGTCTTCTAAACGTCAGATAGTTGTTTATTTCTTTGACATCTGATGGGAGGGCATTCCAAAAATAAGATTTTACTCAATACTCTTCCATTCACTCAATACCTATACAAATTCCAAACCTTTTGTTACACTTGTACTTACACAAGTACACATTCACCCACACTTAAACACACAAAGAAGCACACTTTCCCTCACTCTGATCAATTTCTGGTCGCAAGAGTCCTCAGGATGCAATACAAAAGGACCATACTATATCACTGGCAGCCTAGCACTAAAATAAATGGGCACTAGGCTCTCTTTTACTTGGAGAGAATGAGGAAAAAGGAGAGATAGCTGTGGTGAAACAATTATGTTGTCTACTTTCCCAGGAAATATTCCTAGGCACCAGAGATTGTATCAATATATTTTGCTACCCTCAGGGTTAAAAAATAATGTTGCTGTTCCCTTCACCATCTGTATGAAAGAGTGGGAGAGATGAGGTAAAGGTGTAAGATGTAAGTTGCTTTGAAACATTTTATATGTAAGTGACAAATTGATGAAATAAATACTACCACTACTACTAAAAGGGGACTGCAGCATGGAGGAAAGTACACAATCAACACCCACCCACACATATTACACTTCGTTGTCCTAGGAGCCTAGAGATGGGGGAGGAGGGATCATGTTCCCCCTTTCAGGATGATTGAAAACGGCTGTTTACACATGCACAGTTGTGTGTGCATAGACTTCCATGCATTCAAGAACCCTATGTGATGGCAGTAGCAGGTCACATGGGAAGCCTATGTGTACAAAAGTGTATGCATAAAGCCCCACCCCCATTTGTTGAAGTACTACTGATGACATGAATGACTGATGGGGCAGGACGAGGGGATGTGGTTCTGCTCCCTTTCGTTGTGTTTAATGTTACACATAGAGGGCATGTTTTCAAAGCCTGCAACTTCATTGTCTCTGTTCTTTGTACTGATAGCAATGCTTTGCATCTTTTTAAAAGGGATATGAACAACTGGAGTACCTTGAGTTAAATCTGCTTTTTTAAAAGATGCTACCTGACATAGCAGGGACGCGGGTGGCACTGTGGGTTAAACCACATAGCCTAGGGCTTGCCAATCAGAAGGTTGGCGGTTCGAATCCCTGCAACGGGGTGAGCTCCCATTGCTCGGTCCCTGATCCTGCCAACCTAGCAGTTCAAAAGCACAAAGTGCAGTAGATAAATAGGTACCGCTCCAGCAGGAAGGTAAACGGTGTTTCCGTGCGCTGCTCTGGTTTGCCAGAAGCGACTTAGTCATGCTAGTCACATGACCCAGAAGCTGTACGCCGGCTCCCTCGGCCAGTAAAGTGAGATGAGTGCTGCAACCCCAGAGTCTGTCACGACTGGACCTAATGGTCAGGGGTCCCTTTACCTTTTACCTGACACACCACAATTGCCAGTTGGAAGGCAAGTGACTTGTGGAGAAGTGGCACCTGTGGCAACTTTATTGAAGGCTATTCAGGGAATGGGGGCAAACTGGCCCACCACCCCTCAATCCATCTTAAGCTGGAAAACTAGTTGGTGCTGACCATGACCATAGAAACATAAAGGATGGTGTATACGTATTGCATTGGAATGGTTTTTAAGTATCTTGTTTTCAAGAACTTGCAGCCTGATTATAATTGTGTTTCACTGGAAAGTAGAGTCCACTGAAATCAGTAGGAAATATTTCTGAATAAAGTCACTTGAGTTTAGGGTATTAGTCTGACAGCACCCTGCAGACACTCACAAATCAGGCACCTGATTCCTGTGCCAGAATTAAGTCTGTGTAATTAGTACTTTCCTTTCTTTTCCTGCCTTCCCACTGTGCCATTCTGTCTCCTTGTGTATCTTAGGATACATTTACACTTCCCATTTTTATCTACATAGGGGTTCTGCTAATTTACACAGCACAGATTCATACTTCCTCTGTGATGATAACCAAACTTCTTTTGCTTTAGTTTGATAGTAGGAACGCGGGTGACACTGTGGTCTTAACCACTGAGTCTCTTGGGCTTGCCAATCGGAAGGTTGGCAGTTCAAATCAGCATGATGGGGTGAGCTCCCGTTGCTCTGTCCCAGCTTTTTCCAACCTAGCAGTTTGTTTTTGTTTTTTTTAAGTAATATTTATTGAGAATTTTAAGATTACAAAGAAACAAAGGAAAAAAGAAGGAAAAAACAAGTAGCATTTAAACAATACAAATCAATAATAATAAAAAAACAAGGTCAAAAAGAAAAAAAACACATAATACATCAAAATCAAAAAGCAAAAATAGACAAAAAATTTAAAAACAAATCCAATATTCCTAAATCATTAACTGTCATTACCTTGTTTCATCGACCTCCTCACACCTCCCTTTTTTGTATTCTAGTTGTTAATTATCTCAGCAAATCCTTTCCATCTTTCATAATATTCTGTCATTAAATTACCTTAATCTATTTTAACCTTATCTTACCATAAAAGGCCCTAAAACTTAAAACTTAAATCTTATTTATGCCAAATTCTCTTAACCATGACATATTCTTACATAATTCTTTTAAACATTTCTGCTAAAGCCAAATAATTTCATTCCAACATTTTTCTAATACTCTTTACTTTTACAAGATTTTCCTAAATAATTTGTTTAAAACTTTCTTCCAATCTTCATCCAACGTCTCTTTCTCCTGGTCTCGGGTTTTGTCAGTCCTTTCTATCCCATCCATCTAGTCCATCAACCTGGTAACCTTATATCCGAGGCCCTTTGGTCTCTTCCATGTCCCATCCGCAGATCTTCTTCATATTTATACCTGTTCTTTACTTTGTCTTCTGCTCCTTTCACTCGGGGAGACTCCAGCTTGACAATGTTTTTGTCCCTTCTTGACAGATCAGCCCCTTTTCCAAAGTCAGCACTGAACTCCATGTGGTATTTAAAAGCATGTTTCAAAGTCCCTCCAAAGTTAAGGGCCCGCACAACTCTGAACGCCTCCCGGCCCAAAGCCAGACTTGAAAGGTCAAAACATCCCTGCATAGGGGGGTCTATCCAGCCCCCCCATCTCCAAGCCAAACAGAACTCTGTCTCTCCAAATCTGGCTTTCTCCAGGTTCATTCGTCAAGTCCAACAACTCATGTTCCTGCTGGGCCACAGTTCCCTCCATCTCTGCCTCACTAGGTCCAGCAACAACCTCCTCCCTCATCTGATCTGTCAAAGCACACTCCTGAGTTAATTCCTGAGTGGGTTCTAAATAAGTACCCACTGCCTGTCCAAACTTTCCGATCCCAACAGTCATCAAATCCATCTTCTCATGTAACTGTTCCAATAAAGCACTTGTCTTACAAAAGGCCAACACCAGAGCCTCCGAGTACATTCTTGTTGAAGGTCAGAGTCCGTTCCCACGATCTTAATCTATTGCAGCTGCAAAGCCCCCCCATTCGAATTTAATAACAGTTTCACAAGCTCCCTCTAGGGGAAAAAGCTTCTATTTGTATCCATCTCTCTCTCTCTTTTTTTTTTTTATAAAAAAAGCAAATCTAACAACAAAGTTTCCTTTTTCAGATATTTTGTCAATATTTTGTTCCTTTTAGATGCGAAGGGGAGCAATGGAATCAATATGTTTCTCTTCTTTTAACTATCTGTCAAAAATGTTTGTCTATAGTCAATGAACTTCCCGAAGATGTCTGTCCTGACACCCCGCTCCCAGGTTCAGGACGGTGGAGAATTGCTTTTCTTTACTTGTCTTCTGCAAGTTTAATCAGTCCAGAAAAAGTTCCCCCCTCTTCTCCTGCTTCCAAGGGGGGTCAGTAATTTTAAATGATGAAAATTGATCCTTTACAAACGATTTTCTAAGCTCTAGCTTGCCGTGTCTTTGCTTCAATCTATTTACAAAAAGCAGAAGGCAGACTTCCTGTTTATACCTTTCCGCTTCAGTGCCAAATTAAAGGAAAGGAAATTTCTTATTCCAATCTTCCGTTCTACTCACGGACAGTTATTTAAGCTCCAATTGTCCACAGGAAAAAGTCAGCGCTCTCCGGCAACAGCAATGCGGCTTCACTCCGTGAAAGAAGCAGTCGATTCAAGGCACCGTGCCACTCACTCCACGTCTCTCCGGAACCCCGAAATCGGGTTTCCCCGCAAGTAGGGGGCGCGCAAAGGTACCGGCCGAATCCCACGTCCACAGGCTTCTCCCGCCTGTGGTTTTTGATGGGTCTCCGCCTCGCCGTGGCGGTTCAGACCCTGTTTTCCACGGAGCGGATTCCTCCCGATCGGAGGAAATCCGCCATTGCCAGAGGCGCCAACCCGGAAGTCCCTCCAACCTAGCAGTTTGAAAGCACACTAGTGCAAGTAGATAAATAGGTACCGCTGTGGTGGGAAGGTAAATGGCATTTCTGTGTGCTCTGGCTTCTGTTACAGTGTTCCATTGTGCCAGAAGCAGTTTAGTTATGCTGGCCACATGACCCAGAAAGCTGTCTGTGGAGAAATCCCGGCTCTCTCAGCCCGAAGCAAGATGAACGCTGCATCCTATAGTTGCCTTTGACTGGACTTAACCATCCAGGGGTCCTTTACCTTTACCTACCTTAGTTTGGTAGTAGTTTCACTTATGCCAAACAATGCCATGAATATCCTGTACTCCTCTGCAGTGAATATTCAACACAGTCCTTATTTATTTTAGTCCACTTTATTGAGATCCTAATACTTGTATATTCTACAGAATATATGATGCTGATTCATGAGACAGAAGGAGAAAGCACTGTGACCAGCTACTGATTTCTGGGAAGGCAGTTTTAAAAAATGCTGAAATTGTTGATGCTGTCGTACAAAGTTTGTAACTAGTGTGCAAGCCGTTGTACAAGCCGTTTAATCAGTAAGTACATACTAACTGACACAAAATTAGCATTGGAGATTTGTTTGTATGTTGTCATTGTAGTTCCTGCTATAAATCCACTGTGAACTCTGTATTCAATTTTTTATTTTAGTTTTTCGTGTAAATAGCAGTAATGGGCCTTCCCTCATCTTCCAATTTATTCAAAAGTATTCAAAAACACCTAGAATTTGTAGGTTTCTCACTGCCCCCCCCCCATATTTCATTGTCATTTATAGTGACACCTTTAGTCTGAGAACACAAATTCTTTATGAATGTTTGCCAAACAGCAGCAAAACCATCTCTGAATTTGAGGGGTGGGGTGGGTGGTTTCATGTTTGGGTTTGATTTCTATTGCTTGTTTATTAGAAATCCACTTTCCTGTTATTCTTATTGTTACTGTTATTACTATTTATTAAATTTGTATTCCACCCTCCAACTGAAGATCACAGAGTGGTTCACAACATAAATATACAAAATGAGAGTGCAAATATATAATAAAAACAAGAATGAGAACAAAAAACCCCTCCTACATACACATTTAAAAGGATATAGAATGTTAATCAGCCAAAGCCCTGATTAAATAGGAGCATTTTTGTCTGGCACCTAAAGATATATCATGAAGGTGCCAGGTGAGCCTCCCTGGGGAAAGCATTCCACAAATGGGGAGCCATTCTGCACATTGGTTTGTACTTTGTGGTACAGTCTTTCTTGCAATTGACAATTTCTCTCTCTGTTTACCTGGGGGCTGGTTCACACATATACAGTGGTATCTCGAGTTTCAAACTCCTCAGGTTACAAACGCTTCAAGTTACAAACTCCGCTAACCTGGAAGAGTTACTTTGAGTTGAGAACCTTGCCCCAGGATGAGAACGGAAATCGTGTGCTGGTGGTGCAGCGGCAGCAAGAGGCCCCATTAGCGAAAGCACGCTAATTAAGAACAGTTTCAGATTAAGAACAGATCTCCGGAACGAATTAAGTTGGTAACTAGAGGTACCACTTTACTCATGAATGTCTCTGCCCCATTTATTCAATTTCTTAATCAAAAAAGAATGAGAAGGACCATAAAAATTTCATCTCAGTTGTTAATTCTAGTTAATTCTGGCTGAAACCAAGCAAATACAGTATATATACTGATTTTCTGGTGTTTTTCTGTAGACTCAACACAGTAACAATGTAAAGAAGACTGAACCAGTGAAACTGACTGTCCAGAAAGTTACAGGCCTCTGAGCTGATGATAAAGTACAACTATTGTTTGGTGTAGAAGTATTGCTCTTAATCTTTTGTTATGATTACGATATTAGGAGTAAGCTGTGGGATTGTGTATTTCATCCCTCTATGGCACTTACTCATTTCACCCTTCCTCTCATAGCTTTAACCATGGTCAAGGATTTATGCCTATATTGATCTTGGGCATGGTCAGTGCTAACCCATGCACCCATTGTAGTCATGGTTTGGAAAGCCTATTCAAGAGAGAACATGGTTAGAGGATGCATGGCTAATGCTGGTGCAGACATAGGCTGTCTGAGGAATGGCGAGAGCAATTTGTATGCATGAAAAGAGGGTGTGCATGATACAATAGCCTGCTCTCAAAATGTTGACAGTCAGGAACATTACAACTGTGTCCCCTGAAAGAGTTTTTGGTGTGTTTTCTAAGAGAAACAATAATGCGATGATATTCATGATGTTGAGATAGAATAAATTGGGAAAGAGTATCAATTCAGCTGCAGACAGCAGAAGTATCACTGAGAATAGTACTGCCTTCTGTTGTTTCAAAGGGAAATGTATTCTAGTGTGGTTTTCCTTTCACAAGAGGAGCTCAGGTTACTTATGTGACACCGACCGCTAAAAATAACAATAGGTTTATTTGTGAAGCAGTAGTGTTTGTTCGACTTAACATAGTCAATTTTTTAACAACTGGTTTGATCAGATATGATGCAACGCTAGTTAAACTAAAGCCAGAAAGTTCCTCCCTCCCCAGTGTATGAAAGAGTTTGTCTCTTACAGCATTGAACTTCCAGCTGGTGGGTGGAAGGTCCCAAGTGGATGTGACCCAGGAGTGGTCACCTTTTTGTGTTTAAGATCTGTTTAAAGAGTAGGTGAAAGAAAAGGGAGAAAGAGATAGTAGAACAGAAACAACAGGTAACCTGCCCCCAGCCCCAAAGTAAGTCTTGTATGTGTGTCCTATATCTAAAAAGGTTGACTATTGCTTCCTGATATGATATTACACTTTCTATGGTTTTTATTTTTTAGGCATATTCTATTCATTATTTATGTATTTGTTTTATTAGTTGCCTAATGTAAAAATAATTTCTAGGTGACTTACAAAGAGAATAAAAATAAAGAGTTCTAAACCTAGCAACCATTAGTACAGTAATAAAACAATCTCAAGAACCAAATGAACAGAATATGGTCCATGATAACCCATCACAATCTACCAGATGCCTAACAAATGTTCCTTAATTAACCTGTGCTATGATTATAAGCAGAAATGTCTGATTTTCTAGACAGTGCATTAATTCAGAGAATGAATGACTAATTGGATGATTTTACTGATGGATGTCTGGAATGTGATAAAAGCCAAGCTTGATATGAAGGGGGCTTGTGCTTGATGGATGGTGCTCTAAAAATGCAAAAGGACATTCCTAATGTAAGTTAAATATAACAAATGGGCTGTGTGTACATATTTGTCCTGCCTTATTGTAAAGAACATCAACTCCAGAGGTATGGTTCCATAAATACTTGTCCCTTCTGGATTTTGTGTTGTCTGTGCTGTCTGGTTGTGACCTCAATTAGTATGCTTCCTAAGTGGGGCCTATTTGGAGATGACATTTTTCTGCACTGAGATAATTTCAGTGTCAGAAGACATTATGTGTAAAGTGGCCTTATTTTTGAAGTTTCTGTAGCTGAACATATAAAGCTGCCTTTACATGCTCTACCCAACCCAGTATGGGGTTGTATCCAATGCCAGTCCTACTCTGAGTAGAGGCTTGAAAATCAATGGCCATTACTAACTCCATTAATTTTGATGGGTCTACTGTGAGTAAAACTTAGATACAACCCATGGACTATTTATGTTTGCTGGCAGTGGCTTTCCAAGGTCTTAGACAATATCTTTTACATCCTTACAATTTGAGATTCCTTAACTGGATATCCCGGGGGTGGAACCAGGGATCTTGTGCAAACAATTCATCTCTAGCATTGAACTATGGTCTCTCCTCAAAGCTAAAGTGCCTCTGGAGCACAATTTCTGTTCTCATCCTGAAGCAAAGTTCTTAACCCGAGGTACTATTTCTGTGTTAGCGGAGTCTGTAACCTGAAGCATCTGTAATCTGAAGCATCTGTAACCCGAGGTACCACTGTAGTTATAATAATACAGCAAGCAGTAAATGAATTTTAAATGAATAATTATAGCAAAAGGCACTTGTGACATTACTTTAATACAGCCTTGCAAGTAAGTCCACAAAGGTTACTAGCTTGTCTGCCCAGACACACACCTTTTGAGATGGTTTGGAAGGGGGAAAAGAGTGAACTATTTTCCAGCATACTAAAACTTTCCTGTCTTACTGGAGGCAATTCTTGCCCACTATAGACAAGGCATGTGGCTATTTACAGGCCTGCTTTAAGACTCAATTTTGTGCAGGCTTTGGAGTGAAACTTTTAATGAGTAATTACCAGAGATCTGCTACAAAGACACTTGTGTAATGTGTGCTGTACTTACTGTGATGAAGCATTTTAAGACTTTATAGTTTAAAATTGGTTTTGAGCAGTAGTCCTGTAATAAATGCTTCAATGCTGCTTTTTGGTTATATGACTAATTGTATCCCACCTTTCACACTATAAATCAAGAATGTCTCAGGTTTGTTTTGCTTTGTTTGTTTGTTTGTTTATAGCGCTTATACATTACTCAATAGCCAATAGAGCTCTCAAAAAGTTAATTGCTAGTATTTAATTATATCTTTCTCTTTTGTTGTAGTTTGGGGTTGGCCAAAGGTTGCAGTGGATACATGTGAATATCATCATGGAAGAGAGAGAGAATTTTTCACCTCTGAATTCACTGACTGAATATTACCCAATTAAGGAAGCAGACAAAATAGATCAAAGTGGCAATACTCAAATAAATGAAGGAAACCAAGGAACAATGCAGCTGAAAAAGGAAATCTCTCTTCTTAATGGGATTAGCCTAATAGTAGGAAACATGATTGGTTCAGGTATCTTTGTTTCCCCCAAAGGAGTACTCAACTACAGTACATCTTATGGATTGTCACTAGTAATTTGGGCAATTGGTGGGATTTTTTCAGTATTTGGAGCTCTATGTTATGCTGAACTTGGAACCACTATCACTAAATCAGGAGCTAGTTATGCATATATACTGGAGGCCTTTGGAAGCTTCATTGCCTTTATACGTCTGTGGACTTCACTATTGATCATTGAGCCAACCAGCCAGGCAATTATTGCAATAACATTTGCCAACTATATCGTGCAGCCTGTCTTCCCTTCCTGTCAACCTCCTTACATCGCTTGCCGAATTATTGCAGCGGCTTGTATATGTAAGTATTTTATTAACAAAAGTGCTGCCTTGATGTAGGCTTGGGAAAGAAAGGAGTCCATCTAGGCATCAGTTGCAATGATTCAACAGTCAAATATGCTTCCAAAACAGTTAAATTAGTTATGGCAAGATTAATGACAGAAGGAGCAGGGTTGAATTTGTACAGCAGGGCTGTACTTGTTTGAAGACCACTTGAATGCTTGAGATATCCTTAGTCTTGAGTAGCCAGAAATAGGAGCAAGAAAGTCTTGAGCTGTAGGCAGAAAATCTTCTAGCATTCCTAGGATTAGGAATTTCTTAGAGGAACCAACAAGGGCCAGTATATTATTTCCAACTTTGGCCAGCTCTTTGTGTTTCTGGGAATTAGGACATGAATTGGGACATGAAGAAGACAGTGATTCCCTGTTTATCACCAACATCTGCTATGTGGAGAATTTTTTAAAATTATTTTTAATTTTTAATTTTTTTTGGAATAGGAATCTTCCATTTAGTTTTTTAATGGTTAGGAGGAATAGTTTTTTTTTAAAAATCTAGGTTCAGATCTTGAAATCCATATTTCCCCTGAACAACCATGCATACTAACTGGTTGCTATAACAGTGAGAACATTATTTAGTTTGCAACTAAATATAGCCTTTTACAACCTAGGAGCATAAGCCAGAACCTTTGGCCATGCAGCCCACATGTCTCTTGCACTGCAAAATTTTGTCTGCTTAAGATATAACAGGCAGATTTTTGTTTGGCTCTCTCTGTACGTATGCAAGGAGATTAGGCAAGATTACTTACTTGAAGGCTAAGACTGCAAACCTGGCACACTTACTGAAAGTAACTTACTGAAAGTACTATGCACATTCACTGAATATGTATATGAGGAGACTAAGGAACTTTCCAGAAGCATTGGATAATTGTTAGCAGGAAAAATAGTAGGCAAAACAGGTAGATATCCATGCACTTTGACAAGGGTTGTAAATATTCAAAATTTGCAACATCTTTTAGAATGCAGGTGAGAGGCAATAAAGTAGAAGTGCAAAATTATTCATATGAGCTTAGTGGACAATTGTAGTAAGATACAGAAAAACATCTTTTACATTCTGATGTTTGTAATGATTTGCTAGTTCTTGGGCCTTATAGAAAGCTCACAGTAATAAACAGGATACATTACTTATTGTCAAGGTCGCCAGCCTTTTTGGACCAGGAGGCACAACATGGTTGTTATGGGGGGCATAGCATAATGCAACATGGCACCACAACACAAGATTAGAGAAAATACTATCATGGTGATTGTATTTCCATTTGAGAAAGAAATTAACCTGTTGAATTTCTGCCCGGAAAATAAGACAGAAGCAGGAAAAGTGCACTGAAGAGGAGGGGGAAACAGCAGCTCTTTAAGACCCTAAGGATTCCTATTACCTGGTGTCCAAACAACTCACTCATTGGCCATAGAACTGTCTTCACTCATTGGCTATAAATTCCACATTTCACAGAAATCACTTAGAAGGGTATCTGTACATTTTGGTCCATCCCTTTGTTTGTAGGAGGACTTTAGACTTTGTAAAGTCTTTTTTTCAGAGTCTGGGGTCCCTGCCTGGGTTTGCCAGTGAAGGCCTTTGTTGGCACCATGGTCCTTGTAGCCGCTTGGTTGGTGACCCCTGGCTTATTGTGTTTGTTACTATACTTGAGATCATCTCATTATTTTCTCTTACGAAGAGAATAAGCTTTTAACTCTGTGCTGATCTGGATTCATTTCTATAGGCTGTAAAACCTTATTTAGGCTTTAATCCAAATGCACGAGGACACAAACTGTGTAGGGGATGCATGCACCATCCAGATGTGTACTGCCCACTGCACTCCACTCCCGACTTTCACGTTGAATGTATGACAGTTTGAGGATGCACATTTGGCTGAATACACTTAGAATCACCCTTCATATCTTTCTGTTGAATGCACAATGGTTGGGAGTAGAGGGTGTGGCACCACACTCCCTGCACAGTTTGTCCTCTCCTCCTTTGGCTGAATGCTTCACTGGGACTTCAGTGAACTTAGCATGTTTGTCTGGTTGTTTAAGATCTGAAGCTGATAACCATATAACAAAATCAGAAACTATGGTTAAAGCAATACTTCAGCATTTTGTTTGAGTAGAGTTGTGAAGGGTGTGCACAGACAAAAGGCTTACACATATCTTGACTTGTTAAGACAAGCTACAATCATCCAAATATGGCTATTATTGTTCCTTTATTTTCTTGCTCCCCATTTGTGACTTGATTAGATTAACTAAATTCAAAAGTTGTGAATTTCCGCATTTTATTTGTTATTACCCTTACTGTCATGATGTATTTTCTGTTTCTTCATTTGGAGTGCTTTGAATTGGGGCAGCATTAAAAGCTACTTTTTAAGTGGCTGAAATTCAGTGAAACTGGTTTGTCTTTTTTGAGCTTTCTGGGGAACTACACAGTCTGTCAACCTTTTCCTGGCAGTTAGGATTTGAGTGGTTTTACCACCTTGGCTAGAATTAGTGTGGGGCTGAGAAGCACAGATTGGAATGATATATTATTATTATTTGTAAATGAACCCAGGATAGGAAAACATGCGCATAACTCTGGTTGGTGTGGTGGTTTTTTACTCACAAGAAGTCAAGAAAACATTCTTTCCCCAAGTCAGTGGAAACAGTGATGTGTTAGAATATTGACACGATTAAAATAGTTTTTATTTCAGGATACACTCTTTGCCTTGATCTGTGATCTCAGGGGCTAGGAAGGAAAATGCAGTTGTGGATACTAAGTTGCGTAAAAACCAATAAATAAATACTCTTCTGCTATACTGAGACAGAGAGATTTCATCATACTGTTGTTTACTGAGTAGTTTCATAAGTACTTTGTGTTGTCATAAGATACTCCCTGTGTATCTAGGTTGGCTTGTCAAATAGAAAGAACTTGAGTTGTAGGGCATGGTAATAAGTTGAGTAGCCTTTCGAAATGTTACTAGAAGTATCCTTTTCAATTTCAGCTTCTCATAATCTAGAAGTAAACCTGCCTCTCTTTAGTCAATCTCTTCCCATTTCATTGAGCAGTTCAGGACTTGCTGAAAAAAGATGAGAAATTCAGCCATTTTTTCCTGCAGTTTGTTTATAAGCAATTTTTACATTTTTGTGATGGCTGAAAATGTTTTTATTGCTTTCTATTTTTCTGAAATAATCAAGAATATGAGAATTAAGGCATTTCAAATGGTTAAAGGGAAAGGAGCATTTAATTTTGCATTGCCTTTTGCATTGCTTTTTGCTTCTTCATTTCTTAGTAAATGTTTTTTTAATGCCATCAAAATGGTTCGCTTAAGATGTTTCCCTGGACCATGGAACTACCCTTAATTTTTTCTAGCCCTTTAGGTCTAGTGGCTTGGGTATTTTTAACCACTATACTGACAGACTGTGTTGTCAAAGAGTTTTTAAGTGGTGATTCCTATTTTCGATAAGAATGTTGTCATTTAAAATGTGTATTTGTTTGCAACCTTCCTTCATTCCAAAGGTACAAGATTACTCCTAAGATGATAATTAGACTGCAAATTGGGCCAAGAAGTATTTTCATGCCTTCTAAACCCTCTCCTTAGATGTGCATATGTCCTGAAATCCTTTCTGCTTTGCAGTTTGTTGGAAGTTAACCAACTGTTAAATAACAGACAAGTTTTAGTAATAAAACTGTGTCTTTATAAATACAGTTTTTCCTTATCCTGATTTCCTAAGCTTATTTGCTCAAATATGTAATTGTGACATGTTAGCTCTAGCATGGAGAAGAATTTCAAACCAATGACTGATTTTTAAAAGACAAAAACAAAGCACTTTCTAATGCCTCCTTGCTTCCCTTTTTGTCTCCTAGGTCTTCTAACGTTTATAAATTGTGCCTATGTTAAATGGGGAACAAGGGTGCAGGATGCATTCACCTATGCCAAAGTCATTGCCCTTATTGTCATCATCATAACAGGAATTGTTAAACTAAGCCAGGGTAAGATTAATAGCTTAATGTGTTTGTTCTGATCAGAAGAAAAATGTTAAGGAGCACTTACTGGGTTATTGATAAAATTCACAGCAGTTTCAGATCCCTTCAAAAAATAGGAAGCTTCAGGTATGGTATGTTACCAACTTTCTAATTGAACCAACTTCTGCTTATAAAACTAGAACTTGCATCTGTACTCTTAGGTAGGAATGAAGGCAAAATTGAAAATAAAAACCCACAGTAAGATAGTGACTTAACATAAATCTGGGAACTACTTGTGGTTTTACTCTGAAATTTAAAATCATATGTAAAATATACAGGTGTGGAAGCATGGAGGAGCAGCTTCTTAATGCTTTCACAGACACACCAGATGCTCCCCTCCTCCCAATAAAAAATATCTGCATCCTTCTGCAGCTTCATTTTTGTTGTGTTATGTATGCCCTTAAGTTGATAACTACACATGACAAAGTGTTGCATATAGCTGGGCCTTTATTTTACTTAGTCATGGAAATATTAATCTAGTTTTATTCATTGATTTTATTGAAGTTCATTTATATCCCACCTTCTGTACCTCAGTGGCAGAGCACCTGCTTTTCATGTAGAACAGGGTTGGCCAACTCCCAAGAGACTGCGATCTACTCACAGAGTTAAAGACTGGCAGTGATCTACCCCCTTTTTGGGGTTCAGGTCTAACTTGTTGAGCTTATTTTAGGGAGGAGGGAAGGCCCGTTTTTGGGGGGGTGAAGGACCAAAATGTTGAGCTTTTTTTAGAGGAGCCAAAGTTGTTCAGCTTCTTTAGGGGGAGCCACTGATCTACCAGTGATCTACCGGTAGATCACGATCTACCTGTTGGACGTGCCTAATGTAGAAGATCTCATGTGCAATTCTCAGTATCTCTAGATAGGACTGGCAAACATGTCAGCCTGTCAGTCAGTCAGTGTAAGCAAAACTGAGATGGACTGATGCAATAGTCTGCTTTGGTATAAAGCAGTTTCCTATGTTCCATCACAGAACTCAAGGTGGTGCACATCAGCTTCCCAGGTGGCTTACCATCCAGGCACTGACCAGACCCAAATTTATTGGCTTTAACAGATGGCTGCATTAAGTTTCCTTAGACCATGTCCCCTAAGGCATTTTAGGCACTTCAGGCCATTTGTTTTCACCCTTAACAATACTCTATGTACATTTCAAAGTGTCTGCAGGTTTCTCTAAAAACTAAAATTTTCAGTGTATTTTTTGAAAAATTGTTTTTAGCCTTCACTGTTGTAGAAGAATAGCCTCTTTGACACATTCAGAGTAACTGGAACCTGTTTTCTAGTGAAGTGAGTGTTTTAAGACACAGAAGTGGTGCCTGTTGGGACTGGTAATGCAGAAGGCAGCAGGACTAGCAATAGGCGGAGCCAAAGCCAGTGACAGGTGGAGCCAACTAATTCTACTTTTGTTCCCATCCTCCTACCTGCTGAGTTCCACAAAGGCAACACTTGAAACTAAGGCAGAGGAAGTTGGCAGGCAGTGCCACCCCCTGGACTGGTTGTAAGAAGAAGAATAAAAACAGGCAGGTGGAGGCTGGCTGATGGCAGACTGAGGTTGCAGAGGGTAGTACCCCATTTGTCCTAATGGACCAGCCTCTCCTGGGGCACAGCAGTAGTGTCTTTACCAGGCCTTTGTAGATATTTCTCACATTGAGATATTGCTGTTTTAGAAGTAGAAGTTGAATGCACTCTTGGGGATATGGAATTGGTTGTGCAGTTTAGTGGATGCTAACTGGTCCATAGAATGGACAGTTTTGTTTCATGTTATAGGAGAGTACAAAAGGATGGTGTTAGAGGGCTGACACCATGCTATGGCTGCTTATTATCCCAAAGCACACGAACTAGATTCAGGTTTTTCCTTAAGGGATTATATATTACAAGAATGCCACTGCTGAGAAAAAAAGGATACCTTCTTGTTATGGGGTATGGGGAGTTGCTGGGTTGCAGTTTTAGTGACTGGCTATGTTGAATATGAAGGGTGGCGCTGTGGGTTAAACCACAGAGCCTAGGGCTTGCCGATCAGAAGGTCGGCGGTTTGAATCCCCACGACGGAGTGTGCTCCCATTGCTCTGTTCCTGCTCCTGCCAACCTAGCAGTTCGAAAGCACGAAGTGCAAGTAGATAAATAGGTACTGCTCCAGTGGGAAGGTAAACGGTGTTTCCGTGTGCTGCTTTGGTTCCCCAGAAGCGGCTTAGTCATGCTGGCCAAATGACCCGGAAGCTGTACACCAGCTTCCTCAGCCAGTAAAGTGAGATGAGCGCCGCAACCCCAGAGTCATCCATAACTGGACCTAACGGTCAGGGGTACCTTTACCTTTTATGTTGAATATGCCTTGCTACTGCCTTACCAAAATGTAAGTGCCTTGGTTAGTTGAATCTAACCAAGTGGTCTACATGATCTAATGAGTACCTCAGGTTTATGTATGCGTAATTAATTTAAAACAGACATCAATCATCACCACCACCATTATTATTATTATTATTATTATTATTATTATGGTGGTGGTGGCTGATGGTGTGTGTGGGCTTAAACCCCTTAATTTCCAACTCCAAATTGGCTCTGTCTCCTCACCCAAATAACAGTTGCTATCCAAAGAAAGTTGTTAATGTGTACTGTAGACATTGTACATGCAGCTCAGACTCCCTTTGTGTTTTTTTGCAGGCAGGGGTTGCAAAGCAGTTCCTTTGTTCAATGAGGTTAAACACTTTCTAAATAGAAGAGTTTGGTCAGTGTCTTATAAGTGTGTCTTTTCTGTGTTGTTTTTGTTTTTATTAAAGTAAGTTTTTAGATGAAAGAAAACTGGGCTCCCCTGCCCTTCCAATGGCAATTGGCTGTCAGGGTGCGACTGAATAGAATGGAAATAGTGGTGGATAGGTGTTAATTCCCCCCCCCCCATTCCATGATTCTGATGAAGTCTCTCTCACAGAGAGAGAGAGAGAGAGAGAGAGAGAGAGAGAGACAGAGAAAGAGTGCTGTTAACACAGGGAGAGGGAATTATTAAACCTCCCACTGTAGTCTCTGCCCTATCCAGGCTTCTCAAGCAGCAGCTATTTACATTAGAAAAATGTTTGCACATTAATTTATTTAACAAAGTTTATATATCACTTGATTGTAATAGAACCTCAAAGCAGTTTATAGGACAAGAATTGCTTTGATACAGCTAACATCATGTTGAGTTTGGCCCTGAGCTACCCTATGCACCTTTAAGTGTAATACTTCTGTTACATTAACACCAGGTTGATCCCAGAGCCAGTCATATTACGGGCATTTACAAACAGCCTATATGACCTTTATGTGCAGATTGCTGACAAGGGTGCACCTAAAAGCAAAGATCACATAGCACTTTCCTCCTCAGCCATGTTTTTCCTATTGCCTATTGTTCAACTTTACACAACTGAGCTTGCTGAAATATTTTTCCCATGAGCTATGGCATGCTAGCTATTGTAGGTTTATCAGGGTTTTCACCTTTATTATTGATTTTTTAGAACAAGCTTTGTTTCCTGTTTATTTTGGAAGCATTCTTATTATGCTGACTTGAGAAAATAGGAAGTCTGCATTTCTACTATGCCAAACTACATCTGTATTTTAGAAGGACTATATGCCATGTTCTTTCCTTATCCGTTGGGCCTGTGCAGAATAATACATTAATGTTACACAATGTGCTCTTCTGGTGGTATGATTTTTGCTTTTAATATAACCCTTTATCCATCACTGTTCTAACTTGGCTGCTATTCCATCTTCCCAATGCTTTATAAGGAGATAAAGTGGTGAATATGGTGAGAATAAACAGATATGCTGTGATATTCTTAAATATTGAACAGATGTCTAAATGAGACACTGCAATGTTTTTAAAAGCTGCTTTTGCAGTGTTTGCCAAATTAAACCAATTAAGTTTAAAAGCTGCTTTTGTGAAATTGCTTTTATCCAGCTTAAAAACACACTTGGAAAGCATGCCAAATTGGACAATATTAATTAGCTTTTGTAAATGGAAAGCTGCTGTAGTCTAGTAATAGACCTTCTTTAAGTACCTCTATTAATCATCTGTGGGACCCGGGTGGCGCTGTGGGTAAAAGCCTCAGCGCCTAGGACTTGCCGATCGAAAGGTCGGCGGTTCGAATCCCCGCGGTGGGGTGCGCTCCCATCGCTCGGTCCCAGCGCCTGCCAACCTAGCAGTTCGAAAGCACCCCTGGGTGCAAGTAGATAAATAGGGACCGCTTACTAGCGGGAAGGTAAACGGCGTTCCGTGTGCTGCGCTGGCTCGCCAGATGCAGCTTGTCACACTGGCCACGTGACCCGGAAGTGTCTGCGGACAGCGCTGGCTCCCGGCCTCTAGAGTGAGATGAGCGCACAACCCTAGAGTCTGTCAAGACTGGCCCGTATGGGCAGGGGTACCTTTACCTTTACCTTTATTAATCATCTGTATTTTTGTAATTTTGGTTGTCTTAAAACTTTTGAGTGATATGGGCTAAAATATTTCAGTGATGTGGGTTAACAGTTGTTAGGTCAAGACTTACGGATAGCCATCAGACTGTGGCACTGCTCTCATTCAAATGTCAACGTCAATGTCAATTAACCATGGTTAATATTTTTCTGTGAACCTGTAGTTGGTTCGCACTTCATTTCTTCCCAAGCAAAGTGGGAGCAACATGCTGAGCCTTTGCTTAGTGTTATACCTGAACTGGGATCATAGTTTGTTTCCTGACCAAACCAAATATTAGTAGTACAGATAATATTTGAACCTGAGAACCAATCTGTGATGGAGAAACACATTTTGGATGCATTTTTATACATAAAATATCTAGACTCTAGATACCTTGTATATAAAAGATCTTTGGCAAGAGGTGAAGTTGTAATGCCAAGGCTGCCTGCAGTCAGTTTAATTAACTGTGGTTTGAACTGCTGTGAGCCAAGTCTGTCTCTGATAATGCATGTAAATTGGGTATGTATTGAACAAGAGTTCCTCAGAAATAAAGCAATGTGTGTGTTTTGTGTTTTTTTTTATAAAATTTTAAATTTCATGCTTCTTTTTTAAAAAAATTATTTAATCATTTTTTCAATACAAACAACAACCACAAAAAACACATACAACAAAAAACACAATAACAGTAATAACACAATTTAACAATTCAGATTTGAGTACTGATATACCTATAACTACACCTTTTTAACAATAAAGCAATGTTTCTACTAACTGAAATGCCCTTATTTGCTCTAAAGGCAAGCAACAGGGAGATGATATGCAGCCTGGTATATCCATGCAGTAGAATGAGGTGTTTGATTGTCACTGTAGGCTAGGAATACAATTCCTTGAGTGTTCCTTCACGTAAATAAAAAAAAATAAATTCTTTTCAATTAAATTAATAACTTGTCAGGAGACAGTCTAGCCCAGACCGCAAATTGCTATGCTAGTTTTCTGCCTGCTAGTAGCCCCCCCCCCATTTATTTAAATGCAAGGCAGCATTTTAAAATTTTATTCTCTCCCGTCTAGTTATGCCACGTGTGTGAGAGAGGGTGGTAGATCTCACTTTGCTGTCTTCAGAGAGTTTGAGACTTTCTCATTCTTCTTGCCTTTATTTTCCACTAAAGTGTATTAACAGTGCCATCTGGTATGGTTTCCAACACTGTTCTTATTCCTCTACTTTTCCTTTACACACAGGATACTCGGACCACTTTCAGGACTCTTTTGAGGGATCATCTTGGAATCTTGGGGGTATTTCTCTTGCACTTTACTCTGCCTTGTTCTCATACTCAGGTTGGGACACCCTCAATTTTGTAACTGAAGAAATAAAACATCCAGAAAGGTAAATGTTTCTTAAAGCTATTTCACCTTTTTCAGTTTGTTTAAAGTATCTCCTAAGAGTCAATGTAATTAAAAATTCATCTTGAAGTGTGAGAAAACTTTATCTCTAGCTGAAGAAATATTTTACATGGACACAAACAATTCTGAACCTTGACACTACAAAGAGTAACTAACAGAATTTTGAAGCCTGAGAGACATTAAGAAAAGCTTGACTGGCTGTATCAAACTGCACATTGTTTCCAATTTGCAGGATTGACAAAGCTGGACATAGTCGTGGCTGGCCCACCCATGAGACTAGGTGAGGTGACCACCTCAGGTGGCAGGATCCATAGGGGCAGCAGTCCTGGTGCCACCTCTACAGCAGCCTCTTGGAAAACAGGAGGCCCTGCTGGTCTCTTCCTATCCCTGGGGGGGGGGGGGAATTGTGAGGGTTGCCCTCTGGGGTCTCCTGGGTTTCACACCTGCCCAGAATGATTTAGAGCAGGCCCCTTCCCTTCACCCCACAATGGCCCTTGATCTCCACTTCAACCATTGATTAAGGTGGATTTGATTCCCTTCTGCCTTGTATTAGGCCTAGTTCTCATCGATGCAACACTTTGGACTTTTAAATGGGGGCTCATATAACTGAATGACAGCTCCATGCAAAAAGAAGAATCTTTGTGCACTGAAAAGATGGTGCCAGGGAAGAGTGTTGTAGCCTTGCCTTTTTCTATTTATAGCACTGTTTTCAGCATGGAGGAACAGTCACGTAAACTTCTCCCTGCAGTGTGAAGTGGTACAGCCCAAACACCTCTGTGAGAAGTAGGCCACAAAAGTAATGAAAATAAGGCATTTTCTTTAGCTTGTTTTTAATAGAACTCCTAGTTCTCATATGAAGCTTTTATCAGTCCAAACATGATTGTAAATACCTGATATCCCCGTAAGGTAAATAAAGGTAAAGGATCACTGGACAGTTAAGTCCAGTCAAAGGCAGCTATGGGGTGTGACGCTCATCTCGCTTCAGGCCAATGGAGCTGGTGTTTGTCCACAGGCAGCTTTCTGGGTCAAGTGGACAGCATGATTAAACCACTTCTGGTGCAACGGATCACCATGATGGAAGTCAGAGTGCATGGCTGCAGTACCTATTTATTTACTTGCATTGGTAAGCTTTCGAACTGCTAGGCTGGCAGAAGCTGGGGCAGAACGGGAGCTCACCTTGTTGTGCAGATTCAAACTGCTGACCTTCCAATCAGCAAACCCAAAAGACTTAGTGGTTTAGACCACAGCACCACCCGCATCCCTTGTGATAGCCCAGTAGGTATTAGTCAGGATGAAAAGAGTAACAGCTACTTCTAAGTTGTGTGTTTTTGTTTTATTTTGTTTCATTTAACCAGGAACCTGCCTCTAGCTATTGCTGTTTCTATGCCAATTGTGACAATTATCTACATATTGACCAATATAGCATATTATACAGTGCTGGATATTAATGCTGTGCTTTCTAGTGATGCAGTGGCAGTGGTAAGTCTGATATTGCTATTGTTATGTGTGTTTATGCACTTATCTTTGAGTAAGTTGCATCTTGAGCTGTGCAGCCTTTTTATGATTTAGATGACCTAGTTTCTATATGATCTAGAACTTCTGGGCACTGTTTATGGCTAGACTACCTTTTGATTTCTCCAAACTTGTGTGTATACATCCAAGTGAATTGGCGACCGTCATCCAGAATGAAACAAACAACCTTGAAGGATGCAGTTTGGAGGCTTATATATATGTGAAAATGAACCTTCCCCAAGAATTGTTTTCAGTTGGTTGACTGAAATATAATTTGTGCAAAAATAGTAATGCTAAATTTATCAGATTGGATTCAGATTAAGCAACTTTTTCCCAATTTCAATAGTAACTAAAATTAAGTCATGACTTGCAGTCACCATTTGTTTGAATGGGAACTTAGACCAACTAATTTAGTCTGAATTCAACCCTTTAGGGCTGTTAGAAATTGGGGAAATTGGTCACTTGCAAGGACTCAGACCAGCGTAGCAATTCATGGAAAATGTTGTCTTATTTATAATAGAAGAGACTCTGCAGAAATGCTGTCACTTTAGGCAAGACTGGAAGTAGCATGCATGTGGGTTGGACATGTAGAAAGTAAAAATGTTCTGGAGAGAGTCTGCATCAACACTGTAACAGAGTGTGTTCTTGGGCTCTTGCTTCAGGCAAGAGACCCAAGCCAGGTTGGAAGAAGTCGGGGGGGGGGGCATGCATTGCTCTAACCCACTATCTTCCACTCTGACAATGAATGACAGATCCTGTTGCTAAGAATACTACTGGTTTGCAGTTTGGGTAATCATAGGGTGAAATTGGGGAAACCTACTGACAACATCCTGCTTGCTCCCCCACCCCCAGTCTTCTTATACAGTTTATTCTTTGAATTGCATGATATGTTTTGCAACTAATGCACAAAAGGTATTTGAAATATATATTTATTTTATATTCATTCCACTGTTGATCTTTTGACATCTCACCGACTATCTGATTTCTTATCTATTTACTTATGTAGGTATTTAAATGCCTAACATTTTTAGACATCACTATGGGGATGATAGGTTACTTCTCTGCTTTCTTTTCCAAGAACTCAGTTGTGTTAAAGGTCACTCCAATTACTACAGAATCCTATATAGGATATTTACAACTTTTTAATGACATATGAGGGATCTAAGCCTTTTTAGGTCAGCACACTTTACCAAACAAAACTGTTTTTTTAAGGGGGAGTTAAGCTGAGTAGTTAAGTTGTTGTGTCTTAGAACAAGCTTTTTAAATTTTTGGTGTTTTGATCATTCTCTTTAGACTAATCTAGCATAGCATCCCAAATGTAAAATTTCCAGGTTCAAATACACAGCCAGAAGCTTCTTGTAATTTGGCCAAGGTGAAATTCATTGGTGTATGTTGCCTATTTGTGATTTTAATCTTTTTAGTTAGAAGGGTTATTGGAGCTTTAGGTAATCAGATTTCATTATTAATCCATTTAGTACTTTCTGACTGCAATTCAGGAGAAGTTGCGCTCCAGAACTTGTCCAACTGTGCAAGTATGAAACTGGAATTAGGGACACAGTACTTACCTTTTTTTAAAAAAAAATGATATTTATTAAGCATTTTAAAATTACAGAAAAAACAAAGCGACAAAGAAGAAAAAAAACAAGGGAAAAACAAACAGCAATCAAACAATACAAATTGATAAAAATCAAAATCAAAAAACAAAAACAAAACACACAACACATCAAAATAAAAAAACAAAAGTAAACCACAAAAATTTAAAAACAGATCCAATATTCCCAAATCCTTAACTGTCATTGCCTTATTTCATCGACCTCCTCACACCTCCCTTTTTTGTATTCTAGTTATTAATTCTCACAGCACATCCGTCCCATTTTTCAGAATATTCTGTCATTAAATTACCTTAATCTATTTTAACCTTATCTTACTATAAAAAAACCCTAAAACTTAAAACTTAAATCTTATTTATACCAATTTCTCATAACCATAACATATTCTTGCATAGTTCTTTTTAACATTTCTGCTAAAGCCAAATAATTTCGTTCCAACATTTTTCTAATACTCATTAATTTTACAAAACCATCCTAAATAAAAAAAATTTTAAACTTTCTTCCGATCTTCATCCAACGTCTCTTCCTCCTGGTCCCGGGTTTTGTCAGTCCTTTCTATCCCATCCATCTAGTTCATTAACCTGGTAATCTTATGTCCGAGGCCCTTAAGTCTTCCCTTCCGCAGATCTTCTTCATATTTATACCTGTACTTTACTTTGTCTCCTGGTCCTTTCACTCGTGGAAACTCCAACTTGACAGTATTTTTGTCCCTTCTCGACAGATCAGCCCCTTTTCCATAGTCCACACTGAACTCCATGTGGTATTTAAAAGCATGTTTCAAGGTCCCTCCAGAGTTGAGGACCCCACAACCCCAAACTCCTCACGGCCCGTTGCCAGACTTGAAAAGTCAAGACATCCCTGCATAGGGGGTCTATCCAGCCCCCCATCTCCAAGCCAAACAAAACTCTATCTCTCCAAATCTGGCTTTTTCCAAGTTCATTTGTCAGATCCAACAACTCATGTTCCTGCTGGGCCACAGCTCCCTCCATCTCTGCCACCCGAGGTCCAGCAACAACCTCCTCCCTCATCTGATCTGTCAGAGCACACTCCTGAGTTGATTCCTGGGTGGGTTCTATATAGATACCCACTACCTGTCCAAAATTTCTAATCGCAACAGTCATCAAATCCGTCTTCTCATGTAACTGTTCCAATAAAGCACTTGTCTTGCAGAAAGCACACACCAGAGCCTCTGAATACATTGTTATGCAAGGTCAGAAGTCTGTTCCCACGATCTTGATCTGTTTGCAGCTGCGAAGCTCCCCAGTTCAAATTTAATAACAGTTTCACAAGCTCCCTCTAGGGGAAGAACTTCTATTTGTATCAATCTCTTTTCTTTTTCTTTTTTTTTAACAGCAGATCTAACAACAAAGTTTCCTTTTTCAGATATTTTGTCAATATTTGTTCCTTTAAAATGCGAAAGAGAACAATGGAATCACTATGTTTCTCTTCTTTTAACTGTCTGTCAAAAACATTTGTCTATAGTCAATGAACTTCCCAAAAACATCTGTCCTGACACCCCGCTCCCAGGTTCAAGACGGTGGAAAATTACTTTTCTTTACACTCTCTTCTGCAGGTTTAAACAATCCAGAAAAAATCCCCCCTCTTCTCCTGCTTCCGAAGGGGGTTCAGTAGTTTTAGATGATGAAAGTTGATCCTTTACAAACGATTTTCTAAACTCTAGTTTGCCATGTCTTTGCTTTAATCTATCTACAAGAAACGGAAGGCTGACTTCCTGTTTAGACCTTCCCGCTTCAGTGCCAAATTAAGAGGAATTTCTTAATCCAATTTTCCGTTCTACTCACAGATCGTTGTTTAAAGTCCAATTGTCCAAATTTGATCTGCTCACGGGTAGTTGTTTTTGTAGCCAAATTGTCCCAGGAAAAAGGTAGCGCTCTCCGGCAACGGCTGTGCGGATTCGCTCCACGGAAGAAGCAGTTGACTCTCAGCACCGCGCCACTAGCCCCTCTTCGCTCCGGAGCCCATAATTGGGTTCCTTTATGAATTGGGGGGGGCGCGAAAGGTGCCCGCCGAGTCCCATGGTCACAGGCTTCATCCGCCTGTGATTTTTTAAAGGGTCCCCGCTTCGCCGTAGCGAAACAGACCCGTTTTCCGTGGAGCCAGTCCCTCCGGATCAGAGGGAATCCGCCATTACTGATGGCGCCACCCCGGAAGTCCGGGACACAGTACTTATCAAAGCCTTTAATATTCAAAAAGTCATTTTCATTGTTATATTCACATACATTTACATTGTTATATAGAACATCTTACACATTCATGAAATGTACAGTGGTACCTCGGGTTACAGACGTTTCAGGTTACATACGCTTCAAGTTACAGACTCTGCTAACCCAGAAATAGTACCTCGGGTTAAGAACTTTGCTTCAGGGTGAGAACAGAATTTGTGTGGCGGCGGCGCAGCGGCAGTGTCAGGCCCCATTAGCTAAAGTGGTACCTCAGGTTAAGAACAGTTTCAGGTTAAGAACGGACCTCCAGAACAAATTTAATTCTTAACCCAAGGTACCACTGTACTATTTAAATGAAACTGATTGAATATTATTAGGAGCTCCTAATAACATTCACAGTCTCTCTCTTTACTACTACTGTTACTCATTAGGCTTGTTTGAATCACCCAGATTATAGTTAATCCAGTTTATAAATTGTGGTGTTTTCTTTGTGACGATTTCTTTTCAGAATATTTCGCAGAAAGACAAAACCAGCTTCACAGCGTGAACAGGTTTTCTTAAAAGTTATTTGGAATTAAACCTGGCAGATTCCCCCATTAATCTACTGCAATCCTTTAAATACTGAATCCTTTAAATACTGAAATGTGCCTAAAGTACTAACCAAATTAAATACCTAATATCTACAGTATATGGGGTTTTATCTAAGGCTAGTCCTATTCAGAGTAGACCCATTGAAGTTAATGAACATGAGTACCTTAGTGGCGCTGTGGTCTAAACCACAGAGCCTAGGGCTTGCTGATCTGAAGGCTGGCAGTTTGAATCCCCGCGAAGGGGGTAAGCTCCTGTCGTTCGGTCCCAGCTCCTGCCAACCTAGCAGTTCGAAAGCATGTCAAAGTGCAAATATATAAATAGGTACCGCTCTGGTGGGAAGGTAAACAGCATTTCTGTGAGCTGCTCTGGTTCACCAGAAGCGGTTTAGTCATGCTGGCCACATAGTCCGGAAGCTGTCTGTGGACAAACACCGGCTTCCTTGGCCTATAGAGCGAGATGAGCGCCGCAACCCCAGAGTCGTCCGCAATTGGACCTAACGGTCAGGGGTACCTTTACCTTTACCTTAGCTTCATTAATTTAATTGAGTTTACTCTATTGAATACCAACAAGACACAGGAACGAGTTTCATCTAGACACTGATGAGGAGCTAGAGAATATGACAGAAGGCTTCTTCCACCCCATTTTACATATGCAAAATGAAGGCACAGGCATGCCTTTGTTTCTGCAGCTAGCTGAAATTTGAGGCATGGTTTCCTTTTGAAGTCCTATGCTCAAGCTACTAGAAGGCTGGACTATGGTTTGGCAATCTATAGGCTTGCATATTTTATTTTCATCCTTGCCATCAGCTGTGCCAATTTTAGCCCTGATTTCCTTGTTGAATATGCCACTGTGGCATACAAATTGGTGAATTTGGGTTTGTGCTTCACATCTGAAACCAGAACTGGAATGCTCAAGTCTGAGATTTGGCCATTGGTATGACCCAGTCTAATCTCTCTCCATAGTGGATTAAGTGCAGAGGTACTGGTGGCTGCCTGCAAATCATGGTTTAGGTACACATTCCTCGCCCATCTCCCCTTTCAAAATTTGCTTCAAAACACGCATCTTCAATTTGTGATGGATCCTACTAAACACACAAATTGCATCAGTGAGTGTGTAACACAAAATCCATGGCTAACACTGGGAATGGAAGAGATGAAGGAAATTGCTCCAGAAAATGAGGAATGTGGAAGTAGTGTATATTCCAAAGGCTGGCCTCCAATTTCAGTTTCCAAACCATGGTTCACAGGGAACCAGTATATACCTACAACCCTGTATATTAGCCATCCTATTTCCCATGCAGCACTGCTATTGCCTGCTATTCTGCATTCTCTTTTTGGAGAAAAAGAATGGGACATCATTCCTCAAATGTGGAGCAGAAATGCCACAATAGTAGTGAGATTACAGTAGAAGGTATTTTCACTGGATGATAGAGGAAGAGGAAATATTTAATTATGGAGGCATGACTTGGGTGGTGCTGAGGAAAAGCAGTGAAAAATGCAGAGTTGCGGTAAAAATAAGGAAGGTCATCAATGAATTGTAGGTCATTATGAGAGCAGCAACCATAAATTATTTGGGATGTATTTCTTGGTAAAGCTTTCAAACAAGTATATTTCTGTCTCCTTATGCGAAAAGCCACCCTTTCCTTAAACAATTTAATTTGGAGCTACTCAGGAGTCAGACTGTTTTATTGCCTTTTTATAATTTGTGATGCAGCATATTTGCCTAGGGCCCTAGGCAGGGCAAAGAAGCAGAATCATTTAGCAATCTAATTTGTTCAAGATTGCCCACAATTCTCTGTACCTTGGACTTTCTAAAACAGTAAATTCAAATTGAATTTATTTCTGAAATTCAATCTAACAGGACTTGAACTTCAGAGCAGGACACATTTTCCACATCTGCTGATGGGTTGTTTACTCTGTTGTACAGACTGGGTACTTTTTTGACCATATATTTTACAAAGAAATCTCTCTGTGTGTGGAGGTTCAACATGTTCTAATTTTTCTCCCTTCCCTCTTACATTAGACATTTGCTGAGCAAGTATTTGGCATGTTCAGTTGGACAATCCCGATTGCTGTTGCCTTGTCCTGCTTTGGTGGACTCAATGCATCTATTTTGGCATCATCTAGGTAAAGCGTCTAATTTTAGTAATCTGTAAGGCTATACCTACCCCAAAGAGAGAGAGGGGTGGGTGGGTGGGGGAGTTACCATTGTATGCTTGGTATAAATTGTACAGGCTTTCTGAAGATGCTCATGATCTTTATATTCCTGGTTTCAGTGTTTGTCTTCAGGGTTGTTGTTTTTTGGTGTGTGTCCCCCCTTTAAATCAACAGATGTACTTTGTAACTAGCTGTAACAAAACTAACTAGTTGTAACTAGCTGTAACAAAATACTCTGTAACAAACTAGCTGGGATACAAAACTTCACTTCTGCAGTTTTAAGAGCATAAACCAGGGGTCAGCAACCATTTTTCAGCCATGGGCAGGTCCACTGTCCCTCCGACCATGTGGTGGGCCAGACTGTATTTTGGAAAAAAAAATATGAACAAATTCCTATGCCCCACAAATAACCCAGAGATGCATTTTAAACAAAAGCACACATTCTACTCATGTAAAAACACCAGGCAGGCCCCACAAATAATCCAGAGATGCATTTTAAATAAAAGGACACTTTCTACTCATGTAAAAACACACTGATTCCCGGACCGTCTGCAGGCCAGATTGAGAAGGCGATTGGGCCGCATCTGGCCCCCAGCCTTAGGTTGCCTACCCCTGGCATAAACTGTCACAAAGGTACTCTTTCCTTACATACCTTTTCGACTATTGTTCTTAAATTCATCCTTCTACACAGATAAACATGCCTGTAGTCAGTTATAACAGATTCTATTAAGGGTGCAGTTTCAGGAAAGGAAGCAGCTGTACACAGAGTTAGACCTCAGGTCCATCTAGCTCAGTCTTGTCTTATACTGACTAACAGCAGCTCTCTAGGGTTTCAGATAGGAGTATTTTCCCAGTCCTATTTGGAGATGTTGGGAGTGGAATGTAGGATTGTCTGCATGCAAAGCAGGTGCTCTCCTTCTGAGCTATGACCTTTCAAAAGAATCTGCTTGAATCTTGCACAGAAGTTTAGAAAAGGACAAAGGAGGAAAATGCAGCTATGAGTTGGGAGGATTGAAGAGGCTGCCCCGTGTGCAGAAAACAAAATTGGAACCATTTTCAGGGTGGGTAGGAGGGAACAGATACTTGTCGAGACCAAAGCCAGTTTCCTTTTGTTTCCAATCTGAAAATAAGCACCATCTGCATGAATGTTGCTGCTCATTCAACCAAGCAAATACATTTGTATAAAAGGGAAGCAAATGATGTCTAGATTCTGTGATGCATGAAATCTTTCATAACGGTTGCAGTCCTAGACTGTCTTGGCTAATGCTTCAGATCAGACTAGTTGAGCATTGGCTTGGATAAAATAAATCACAGGTTGATGTATTAGCTGCTGCTATTTACTTAATATTAAATATAACTGTCTAATCTGACATCATCATCATCATCATCATCATCATTATTATTGGTAGGCTGTTCTTTGTTGGATCCCGGGAGGGTCATTTGCCTGACCTTTTGTCAATGATCCACATAGGGAGATTTACACCAGTCCCAGCGCTTCTCTTCAACGTAAGTTAACTACTGTGGCTTTTTATACCCCTATAATGGAGTAACTAGATAGACTTTTTAGTTACAGATGTTTCACCTTGTATATACCTGATGAAATGTAGAAACTCTGATGCTCCCTCAGTGTGGACGGTGGACAGAGCTAATAGAACTTATTAAATTTCTTCATTTTGTAACTCACCCTGTCCCTATAAGTTAGAATTGTAAATTGAAACAACATATTCCCTGCTTAACCTCTGGATATTGAATCTCAGCCCAAATTAGATTACGATTTAATTTATGTGCTGCCTTTCCACAAAGGAAATTGTGTTCAAGACTGCTCACAATATACAGTGATCATAACAGCTGTACTTTAAAATTACCAATAAGCATTTCATTAATAAATGGGGCGTGCCATCGGGGGTGGGGGGGTGGGGGTTAAGCTTGGAGCTGCCAGGGGGTAGATGTTGTATCATTGTGATGTAGCCACTTAGCATACCTTTCTGCATGCCTTTGTTGTTCTGAACTGTGCCCATGCAGCACATTCTAAGAATGGGCTGGCTGTGACTGATGGGAGTTGGAGTCCAAAACATCTGGAGGGCTACAGGTTTGAGGATGCTGTGTTATGGTGACACTACCAAAAAAATGAGCAAATGCTGCTAATGACAGAGAATTTTTTAAAAAAAATGCCTCTCTTGAGGTTTTCATGGTATTCATCTCCTTTTTCCTAACAGTGTACCATGACTCTCATATACTTGACTGTAGAAGATGTATTCCAGCTTATTAACTATTTCAGCTTCAGCTATTGGTTCTTTGTGGGACTATCAATTGCTGGGCAACTCTACCTCCGTTGGAAGCAACCAGATCGGCACAGGCCACTCAAGGTGAGAATGATAACGGCTCAAATTCTGTAGTTAATACATTCAGAGACATTACACCAATGCGCCGAGATGAGTAGCCTTGCACTGTGTCATTTGTTGCACTTTCTAGGTAGGCAGAAAGTGGTTCCAGATTGGCATAAGGTGGTTTCTGATGAGAATCTTATGCTTGAAGAGAATAAAAAAGTACAAATTGAAGTGTGACTTGGCTGTTCTTGATTCTAGTTCATTTCTTCTCTTACAGTTGAGCCTGTTTTTCCCAATAGTCTTCTGCATATGCTCAGTATTTCTGGTGGTGGTGCCTCTCTATAGTGACACCATTAATTCCCTGATTGGCATCGGCATTGCACTCTCAGGGATTCCAGTATACTTTGTGGGAGTCTCCTTACCCGTTTCCAAAAGACCACCCTTTGTCAGCAAGATTTTAGGTAAGGTATTTTTTGGGGGGGGGGTTGTTTCTTTTAATGAATGATTAATAGAAGGATCACATAAGTTGTAATTTCAGAAAACTTTTAAGTGGGTGATAGTCATTAAAAGAAAAGAGAAAATGGTTGTGTATTTTTTATGCTTATATATAACAAATATTGTTTTGTAGTACTTAGACCTCATTCTAAGAATGTATTTACCACTGATGCAGCTACCAGTCTCATTTCAGTAAGCTAGTGATTCTAACTGTTGCTGTGTAGGTAGTTACCTGGTTAATTGTTTATTTTACCTCTTGGGCAGGTGCTGTCACTCGAGCCACTCAGCTACTTTGCTACTGTGTTCTGACAGAAATGGATACTTTAGAAGAAAAACTAGAAACCAAATCTATATAAAGATGCAAAAGTGACTAAAAAGGTAAAACAAGATGCTCAAGAAATGATGAATTGACAGAAAACTTCACTGGAATCTGGAATTCTTACTAAACTTGGATTCTTGCCAGATCATACTGTGTCATGATCTAGTGTTTGTTATTTTTTTTTATAAACTGTGATTGAAAAGCCAGTCTTCTCAGGCATAGAACTTGCTATGATTTTCATCTACAGATTCTAAACTTTTCTTTAATAGTGAAATTGAGTGTTGTATTCTAGAGCTCAGAAATAGGCAGCCCAGCAACAGGCTTGATACAAATTCCCAATGGCTGGAGTTTGAAAGGCACCGATAATTCTCCCAATTTATCAACAGTTCAGCTGTTTTGTGTGAAGTAGTCCTTTGTAGATCAATGTTAATGACAAACTATTGCATAAGAGGAGTTGAATTTGTCACTAAAGATCCAGGGACTGGTTCCTTCACCTATAGGACACCGGATGGCAGTTAATGCCCTGAAGCTGCTGTTCTCTCCTTCACATTAAAGTTTAGCTTTTTATTATTAAACAAAGTAAAACTTTTAAGCTTTAGGAAAAGCTGGTAAGTTTTTGTTTTGGGCAATTCAGATTAGAACCCGCACAAGTTAATACAAGCTTGCTCCATCATCCATGAATAACATGTAATTGAAGATGGCAATCGTATCTCCTCTGAATCTCCCCTTAAACAGGCTAAATGTACCAAACTGGCCTCATAAGGCTTGGTTTCCAAACCCTTGGCCATCTTGGTTGCCCTCCTGTGCACATGTTCCAGCTTGTCAATATCCTTTAGCCTGATAATTTGGTAAACTGATTCTCAAAGAAGCTGGATGATCTACGGTTATTCTTGCCTTTCTTTCTATGTAAGAATGTTTCACTGAACTTTGCTGTACCAAAAAAATCAAGGAGCTTTGTATTAGAACTCACTAAAGGACAAAATAGAGAAGCAAGCCTCTCAATTAGTTTGATCCCCCACCCTTTATGGAATTTATGTTTTTAGACTTAATGCTGTTCAATACTGAATTTGTTTGCATGATTGGTTTACAGGCTTGGGGAGGTCAGTTCAGCTGGGAATGCTTTGAGATAAAACTAAGGATGCAATACCCACTTACCCAAATGTAAGTCTAATGAGGCTTACTTATGAGTAGACACTCTGCTATGAAGCTGAAATTCTATGCACTCGTATCTGGACGTATGCTTTGTTGAACATAGTAGGACCGATGAGTAAATACTCATATCATTGCACTGTTCATCTTTTTTACCTGTTGGTGTTTTAAGCTGGAGAACAGGTTCATTAATGGTATGACCTTTCCTTTTCTTTGGGAGTAATCCAGCAGATGGTAGCAATTGGGACAACAGCCATTACAAGCAGCTGCTGCTGCTGCTGCTACCACCTCCTTGTCCTCTCATGCTGCTTGGGGCCAGCTGCTCAGTTTGGACATGGCAGGAACTGAAACAAGGAACTCCTTCAGCAGCAGCATGCTCACCAAACTGTGCACAGCAACTGCTGCAATCGCCTCTTCTCTCACCTTATGATGTCGGAGTCTGGTTGCTAAGTTTAGTGGTGGCAGAGACCACACTGAGCTCCACACCCTCCAGTGGCAGCTACCTGGGCCAGTCTTCCCAGCAACAGTGGTGGTGGGTGTCACCTCTCTCCTTGTGACCCACATGTTTAGTAGTAGCAGGAACCACATCAAAACTTCTCACCAATAGCTTCCTGGGCCAGTGTGCCCAGTTGCCCAGCTTGTAGTGTAGTTGCAGAAGCAGCTGCTTTCTCTCTCATTCCCAATGTTATCTTCTCAGTGTATCAGTGGAGTGTGTGTGCCACTAGCAGTCTTAACTTCCAGCAAGAACTGAGACTGGCTGGCTGGGATAATTGCGGGAAGGCACATCACATGTCAGGGGCTGGCTATGGGAGAGTTGCAGAGGGCCTTCCATGCAACCTTGCTAACCTGTCCTGCTCCTGAAGGCAAGTATCCTACAAAGGATAAAGAGGATGTCTGTATTGTCCACCCCCTCCAACCCACCCACTGCTCACCCATCCCTGCCTGCAAACTGCCATACTTACAGGGGTTTCCTAGTGTTAAATAATAGAAATATATGCAATTGCTGAGGCAAAAACCAAAGGGTTTTGTTTAGAAGTCCTTTGTTACACAGTTTCTGGTTACTTCTACATGGCTAGTTGAACAAAACCCTATCTGCATTTGTTAAATAATAAAAATCCCAGAACTTGACATCGTTGTCTAAATATTAGTTTGAATACTGTAGTGCACAGCCCTATAAGAGGGCAACTATATTGCTGCAGCTTGAGGAAAAATACTGAAATCTCTCAATTCAGATGTCTTATTTGTGACTAAAGGACTTGAACCTGCATTAATAGGCATGTGATTGTGAAAAAAGTGGGGCTTTCCTGCACTGCAGATTTTAATGGTTTAGTGTCACAGCTGGATTTATAATCTGGTCCATTTATCCAGATATTCCTTTGGTGTTTATTTTTTTACCTGCAGAAAATGTGAGAAGTGCTTTGAAGAAGTCCATTCTTTAGATTTAACATAATGATTCAAAATGGACAGTAAACCCAAAATTGGAACAACCCATCTATCCTATTGCTTCTTTAGTAGGTTTGAAACTGGAATAAAGCATTTACTTTTATTTTCAATAAACAGTGACCTATTTGAAACTGTAAAAACATAATCCTTAAAAGCACATACTTTTATTTTATTCCCGTGTGTAAATTTGGCATTCCTTTGTAAAGTTTTCTCTAGGTTATTACACTCCCAACATACTGTTAAAAAGACTGCAAAGGATAGCTCCTGATCTGTCCAACTGATTGTTAATAACAATGGCTGCTTTTATATGATGTCAATGTGTGCTGGAACTTTGTGGGAGGAGGATGAAACTTCCACTATGTGGGAATAAAACGGTGAGACTCTGATACGCCTGCTCCTTTTTGTTTGTGAAGAAAACATGTACACTTAACCATACTACTTTGAATGCATACATATAAGAAAAGTTATATGGGACAGGAAGAATGTCAGTACTGCTGCAGCAGTGTTGCATATGCTTTTGGTTGAGAATTACAAGAAGGGCAGCAGCAGAACTTGGAAGCATAACCGTGCAGGGATATTTAGACTGTATCTTGAGTGTCATGCAAGTATTTCCACTTAATGTGGAAATGAGGAAGCTGAGGAAGAGGATGTTCCGTCATTTTCATCTCCAGCCACCTACCAACCATCTGGAGGCATAACCCCCACCCCCCCACTCCATATTATTTTTAAGACATGCTGCTGTGGGCCTTTGCAGTGCGCTAAGGCTAGCGTTGTTTTGTGTAGGTTGGTTTTATTTATTATTTAGTCTGGTAAAGCTGGTTTTGCTCCGTCCTTGTTTGTTTATTTCTAATACTGAATTTACCCCATGTTTAGTTGAAATGTTTTAGTGTTACTTGAATTTTGCTTTGTACCCTCCCCATCCAAAGTTTAATTGTAGAAAAGCAGCACACAGAGAGCTCCATGCTCAAGCCTTTCTGAAAAAAGGAATTCCAACAGATTTCTTAAAAAATGCTTCTTTGTACCTTTCTTACTACATGAGAGCAATTGGAACTGCAGTTAATTAGGAGCCTGATCCAGTTGGTTACAGATACAGTAGTTACATACATCCAGATACAGATCTCCATGTGTAACAGAAACTTGGATGAGTTCTGTTGTTGTTCATGTTTATATTGGTATCATGGCAACATACACAATCATCCCATTTTATTCTCATAGCAAGCCTACAAGATAAGCTTTATACAGAAGCTCAGCAACACCTATTGTAGTGCACTGGTCCTCTTGTACTGGTATTTGAGTGGTGAGAAAACATGGTATTACTAAATTTTCTGTTGCTTGCCGCAACAGGGGAAAAAACCCTTCACTGTCTAGGAATTATTAGAAAAAGCACCGAAAGCACAGTAAATTGGTACTATTTTTTGATCCAACCCAGCAAAGGAGGTATGTGTGAAAACTCAAGACCTCTAGGGCCCATCTTCACCTGCATCACAATGAAAATGTGGTAGGACTTGAAGCAAGACCAACATTTAAATCCCTGTTGAACAACAGAGCAGTGGACCAGCTCCTTCCAGGGGCCTGTAAACTCATTTAGAATAAGCCATCTTCTCACCTCAATAACTCAGAACATAATGACCCTGTTTTTTCAGGATTCAACTTCAGTTTATTGTCCTGCAACCAGCCTACCACCACCTCTAAGCCCTGGGTCAAGCATCTGCCTCTTCTGAATCAGATGGAAGAGAGATAGAGCTGGGTGTTACCACATATTCGTGACTCCAAAACTCTTGATGACTTGTCAACGATGTCATGTTAGGTTCTGGAGCTAGATGGAAATGGATCCAGATACAGTGGTACCTCAGGATGTGAACGGGATCCATTCTGGAGCCCCGTTCGCATCCTGAAGCAAACGCAACCTGCGGCTGTGTGTCTGCGCGTGTCGCCACTTTCGCGTGTGACGTCATTTTGACCATCTGCGCATGCATGAGTGGCGAAACCCGGAAGTAACGCGTTCCATTACTTCTAGGTCGCTGCGAAGCGCAACCCGAAAGCACTCAACTTCAACCCAAGGTATGACTGTAACCTGTTCTCACAAAACATACCTGAATATGGACTGCCGCCACCCATTCAAGCACCTTTGCTCTAAAAAGGGATATTTGCCACCGGACAATAATTATTAAAACCCAGACCCTACTGAAGGAATGCAATACTGTTTCCCTCAAGGTAGCTGGAACTCCCCAGTCAAACCCAATGCAGCTCATCTTCACCTTACTAGAAAGAAAAACAAGACAAGGAGTCAAACTGTTGGTGTTGTCTACAAACTTCAGACAACTTACCAAACAGTACAGTAATACATTTCGCTGGATTACCAGCAAACTATCTACTTAAAAATACCTACTGGTAAGGGCCATGTCAGAGGGGAAAAAATCAGTCAAAGAAACTATTCAACAAAAGCTGCCTTTTATTTGTATATTAAAGTCAATAGGAACGCCATACTACTCGGTAATCCAATCATACTAAAGTGCAAAGATCAACAATTCACAGAATGAGTAATGGTCTCCTGTCAATCTATGGCAGAAGCTCCATTTATGGCAAGAGATTGAGACCTTGAAAGAGTTGTTCAGAATACATATTTGCTATCTCCATTTTTTCTGCATTTCCAGTTTTACAGTTTTACCTGAAAAACTAAAACATTTCTTATAGATAGGAATTTCTTCTTATTTAACTTCAGAAGAAGCCTTCAAAGATTCCACCATAGTAAAAACTGATATCCATCAAGTTCAGAGATGTCCTACCCACATAGTGTACCATATTATGGAGACAACAGCTGCAAGAATAAGGATTAGATTACTCAGTTTTAGATACATAATTTAAAGTCTCTTGTTTACCCTTGAACAACCAGTGACACTCAGGCTTTCATAAGCACTGCAGCATCCACTGTACATAAGCGGCACGACGTATGTCATGAACTTCCAAATTCACACATAATTAATGTCTTCTGAGCACTAAGGTTCCAGTGTCTACTCGGAATCCAGCTCCTGCAACCCATCATACTCGAATTCCAACAAGACATCAGACTGATATTTTTCCCATGTTCTCCTGATATATCCATTATCTTCATCACTGATGCTTCCATGCTCTGATTCTAGGAGGAAAAAATAATTTGGAAACGTGGGAAAGATTTTACAGGATACAATGATGCTTAGGTTTGCAGTTCTGCCAATGCCCCAGGCACTATATTTTACTCTATTTGCTTATTGTCTCAGATTGCTCATCATCTCGTCATCCACTTCCCAGTTCAAAGTAATTAGAGAAGTGATGGGTCATATTAGACCCATCAAGGTTTTTATATGTGGGCTACTCATTCTCAGGGTAAAACCATAGTTGGTTTCACTTGAGTCTTCTGACACCTAGTTTGGGAGTAATGGGAGTAAAATTAATGGTTAACGCTAACAATTAAAGTGAAACTGCTGACTGGCTTGCCCATCACATCAAATACCTTCATCTTCCCCAGGGAGGAACTCATCTTCATCTGGGTAGTCATTTCGCCAATTGTTCTCATTGTTCTCATCATCCTCATCATCATATATTTCTTCGGCAATGTGATTTTCATCCACCTGCATGTTAAAATTGAAAAGCATTTTCAGAGATGAAAGTCTCCACTGCAACTCACTTGCTAAGCATCAACTAATGCAAAAGTTAGCCATCAGAAATGAAAAGCGATGGATTCCATAAACACCACCACCCCGCTCTAGGTGTTGTTAGACCTGTATGGCCTATGGTCAGATATGTTCCCCTATCCCTGCTGAAACCTGTTTTGTTTATGCCTATTAAGCGTGTGTGTGTGTGTAAAAACCTTTATGCCTTTGAGCAGTTAGCAAATACAGCTTGTGTTTTGCAAGCACGGACAACCTTCCTGAATCTAAGGATTATTCAAGAATGTGAATGAGCAAATCTCACACTGTTCCCTTCTGCCTTATTTGTGACTTGCCAAAAAGTAAAAGTGTTTCTGTCCTCCACTTCAAATGGACCCTTTCCCAGTGAAATTTATAAAACGTTCTGATTTATCCAATTTATTTCAGTTTTATCTAATAAACAGTGTTTGGGAGTTTATTTCAGTTATCAGTCGTAATAATAAATAATAAATAATAAAATTTTATTTATATCCCGCCTAACCCATTTGGATATTCTTGTAAGTCAGTCAAACTAAACCTTGTCTTTAAATGTGATTAGCAATTAAAAATGCTCCCATGTATTTGCTTTTATGCTCTAATGTTGACCTAAATTCACAGTAGGTTCTCATTCTCTTCTTTAGTCCCCTTTGTCACTTATTTGACATTCTTTTCCATTTGCTTACCAGTTCACAATCCTGGGTGTAGGGCTGAACAGACAGTATGTTCTCAATCCAGCATGGAGATGCTGTTTCCATGCAGTAGATGTCATAAACATATTCCTCCTTTAAATTATGCTCTGCTTCTTTACTGTCCGTTATGGTTAAACTCTCACGAATCATTTCAACAGCATTACAGAGAATGGCATCTGAACCCGGTTTCTGTTAGATAGAACACAAGTGTTATAAGCATCTCACTATAAACAGCTAAAAGATAAACTAATATGTGACTTTCAAATTGCTGGTTGAAACCCCTTCAATAATAATAGTTACCTCCTGTTAAATGCAAAAGCAAAATGCAAATTTAACTTTGACTATATTGTGCTGGGGGAAGGAGGATGATACAAACCGCTTGTTTAAAAATGCATGTTCAAAAATATCTGTCTCCCACCTTTCTGCCTCTTACTCATTTAAAAGCATCAATAAGTAGACATAGTCTTGGTGTAACTAGAACACACTGGGCAGTGGATACTTCTTTGCTAAAATCTCAAACAGTAATAGAAGGTAAATGTGACAAATTATAATAATCTATCTAGAATTTTGTTCATTGGATGTTCTCACTAGAGCTGTAAAAGGGCACTAAGGAACAGGCTACTTTGTTTTCTGTTTAGAATACTTGTATCCTGGAGACTCTCAACGCACTTAAGAAAATACAGTAACATCACGTTAAGTGTAATATCAGGAAGAGAAATAACATGGTATCCATATTGTGCCAAGATTATTCTGGCAGCATTCCCTGCCCTGATGTTGCTCTTGTCTACTTAGCAAAGCCCACTGACGTCTTCTGCTGCAGGGGAATGGGGTTAAGCAGATGGAAATGTGCTCAGCCTATGATGGAAGCAAGTGTAAGGTTTACTAATCCACACTGTCTAATGGTTTCCTATAAGTCAGACTTTGTTAACATAAATAACATTTGTCGTTTAATGTCTATTGAAAAGATTTTAAAAGACACATGGTGCCTGTCCCCTTCTTTTTTTCTACTCACCTAGCAATTAGGCTTTCTTCACCACACCACCACCACCCCTCCACCAAAATATACCACAACAGGGAGGCCCTTTAGACCCTACTATTTTGTGTTTTGCATTACTTCGCTGTATCCATGTATATACCTGCAAACTGAGGATTAAATTTCACACAATACACTAAAACAGGTACCTCGGGTTAAGCACTTAATTCGTTCTGGAGGTCTGTTCTTAACCCGAGGTAATATTTCTGGGTTAGCGGAGTCTGTAACCTGAAGCGTATGTAACCTGAAGCGTATGTAACCCGAGGTACCACTGTACCTGTTTCTGAAAGGTGCTAGAACTTATGCTATTCTGCACTGCATCCAACTGCTGACATCTAGTGGTCAACAAGGACTTTACACATTAAGAAACAACTATGACTTCAGGTTACTCAACTTCAAAAGAATGAATCCTGAGTGCACTCTTAAGTGTGCTCTTGATTCTTCTTCTCAGCACAGCTTAAATTGAAGCTGTAGCTGTAAAGGAAGAATATGTGTACTTAGAATGTATATTGAGAATATACTTAGAAGTGTTACTTAGAATAAGAAGTGTACGTAGAAGGAGCTCTAAGGTTCCTCCCCTGTTTTAGTTGAACTTTCCTGTGCCCGACACCATAGATCAGATGTCAAGCCTGTCACAACTGGGTCAGCTGAAAGTTCCCCATCATATTCTAGCTCAATACTGTCAATATTGATTGGCAACAGCTCTCCAAGGATTGAATTTGGGACTTTTTGAATGCAAAGCACATGCTCTACAGCTAAGCTGTGGGCCCTTCATACACACCAAAAGCAATAGGCTATGTACCCAAACAACCCTCACATGTTTAATTGGAAACTGTTTTTGAAACATGAATTAGCAGGTGATTTTAGCTTCAAAAATTGAGCACCCAGAGACTTATGCAAACAGTCTAATACACAGTTACATTGCCAACAAATACACCTGCAAGTAGCATCCTTTTTGTCACTGTCTTGAAATTCTTTGCCTCTCCCAACTAGATTGCCAATTGTGCTAGTCAAAACCACTGGAAAGCATATTAAAAATGCTTGCTTATAAACTTCTCAAATTACTAGACATAAAGATTCAATTCAGATTTCAGGCTAAACAACGATTTAAAAACCCTAAACTATGGTTTGGTGTATTGACTGAACAGAAAACCTTTATTTGAGATTGGCTGATAAAATACAATCAAGTGTCGTGTTTTAGATTTAGGTTTGCTAACCAGAGTTCATGTATGGTTTATCATAATGTTTGCTTCCCCTCCAGGGACCAATTTACCTTGAAAGTGGAATGCTAAGCAGACAAATTGAAAGCAGAGAAGAAACTCAAAACTCTGGTTTACTTATTAAATTTGGAATAAATCAAGCTATGGTTTGGATTCTAAACTATCACTAGCAGTGAACTACAGTCAATTGAACTAGATGATTTTCAAGGTCCTTTCCTATTATGATTCAATTCAAGGTTTGGTGTGATGTCTGAATAGAGTTTGCATTTTTGTATAAACTGCTGTCTTGCTATATTTTAATCCAGAAACTTGACCATTCAGGACTCAATACCAACCTGTAAGTGTGCAGCTGACATACCAGTATCCTTTTCTACATCCTCTTCTTGTTCAATATCAAACAACTGAAATTTTCCACAGGAGTCTGCAATACCATGGCTTTCTTCATGTGTAGTGTCCTTTCTTGCTCCAGAGACCAAATGGTTGCTTTTATTCAACTCCTCCCCATTCGCAGGAAGTACTTCACTTTCTCCATCAGAGAAATTTGGTCGGTGGCTGGCGATTAGACGGTAGCGGCTTTCCTGTCTGCTGGCATACTTGGAAGAACGAAGGTCCTGAATTACTCTCTGGGCACTTCCTAGCGAAGGTCGCAAGAGTTGAGCTGATTTGCTTTTGGTAATGGCTTCTTTTACATACTTCTCAACAGGCTCATCCTGAAGAAAGCAAAAATGCAACTTCAGTTCATGCCTTAAACGCTTGTTATTTTAAAGAACAAATCTACAGCCATAATAAGCAATACACAAACACAAAGAAGACTGTTTGCTTGCTCAGAGCCCAGTTGCTGTGTAGGGAAATGAATATATACAAAACAAAGATAACAGGTAAACAATTCTGTATATTCTGCCAGCATAATCACTACAGAAACATACCTATCTAATTCCAATGCACAGTATATCTTCTCTATGCAACCTGGGGACAATTTGTGCAAAGAAAGCCTGGCTACAAATGACTACATCACAGACTTTGGGAGCCAAAATCCATGTTGTATACCAACCTGTATGTACACTGTTGCTCCAATAGCTCAGTTTTAAAAGGAAAAAAGAATACATTGGGCAAGTGCTTTTTAGAGGGGAAATTGAGAGCAGAGAAATAGTGCAATGTGTGGATTAACCCTTTCCCTGCCACTTTCTCAGAATCATCAGATTACATTTCTTCCAAGAACCGGATTAAAGAAGGATGTACAGTTGAATGGTAGAGATTTACCTCTTAATTCCTTACTCATTTCTAAAGCTAACGTTTGGGACATAGCAGGAAGTCTAGCAACATTGATGTCTACCAGGGCAACCCTATGCATGTCATCTCCAAGCAAACCCCACCAAGCTCAATGGTACTTACATCCCCAAGTAAGTGTGAGCAGAGGACTACTGCTATGATGGCCATGTGCCCTAGTTTACAGAGGACAGTTCTCTACCTGAAGCACTGTCAGCAGACAGACCTCTACTTGAATAGCTAAGTGGTCCAAGACCAGTTTAAAGATAAAGTAATAAGGCAGAGCAGAAGCAGGAGGTAGTGGTCCATCAATAGTTAGTACCTGGACAACATATTAAGCAGATACACAGGGAACCTGGTTACCATTTCCCCCATTATGCGAAGATGCATTTCTATTCAAATTACAGTAATTATTTCCAAATTTGCAACTATACCTATAAATTAACACATGTATGCAGATTTTATGCAGATCAATGCCCTCTGCTTTGGCAAGATGTTAAGCAGCCATCCCAGTCACACCCTGATTCTCTTCCTGCACAATCCTACTCAAAAGCAACTCCACTGAGATGAATGGAACTTAATACCAGGTGAGCTAACATAGCAGAACAACGGGTTACCAACCTTTACCTGGTCACCTGAGGAAACATGCTTGCATTGAGAAAACATGTATTAACACAGGTGGGGGAACTTGTGACCCCCAGATATTGTTGGGCTCCCAACTCCCATCAGCCCCCACAGTCAGTATGGCCAGTGGGGTCATATGATGGGAGTTGTAGACCAGCAGCACCCAGATGGTCACACAAATTCCCCACCCCGATGCACAGGATTGTAAAGCACTTCAACATGTATTAAATATTAGTGTTGAAGAATTATAATCAAATTAATACAGTGGGTCTTCTTTTCTTTTTCACACAAGAACAAACAACAAATTAAACATACACTCAAAACAAATTTGGGTTGTTACATTCACAATCCCTGAAAAGTATTATTTGGAGGGGAGCAGTAGCATTCTTTCCCTAAAATTTAATAATTTTTGTATCACCTAACACCTTAAATGTTTGAGAGATATAGATACAAACAAATAATGGCTTGCCTGTTTGGCATCAGATGGTCCTTAAAAGAAAGAAAAATGTGGTGCAGAGTGAAGAAATGGTTATTAGAGAGATGTCAACAATACTATTAATAATGAGTTCATGATTCCACAAAAGCACAATGAAATACTCAATAATAAGTCCTGGAATACAATCACAGAGTTGGAAAGGACCAGGGGGATCATCATCTAGTCCAACCCCCTGCAATGCAGGAATCTTTTTGCCTAATGTGGTACTTAAACCCACAGCCCTGAGATTAAGACTCCCACGTTCTACCAACTGAGCTATCCTAGGTGCTAAAATCATACTTTGCAGGAACCTGCCAGCTATAAGCATGTCCTTTGACACGAGTCGTGAAAAACCACCATGTAGCTGCACAATCCATAGGTATGGCTTTGCCCCAGGAAACTCGTAGGAGTCTTGCTTTTGAGTAGAACTATACATGACCGCGTTGTTAACTTCACCGCACATGATCTTTATTTTATTTTAGCTACTTTTGATGCCTTTGCCTGAGGCCTAACTTGTTGTTTCTGTGAGTAAAAAGAATTGGACAACTACGACGACCGACAGGCCCAAACAAGCCCAGGCCAGAGCACCGAGTCCTGTTCAACCGCACCTCCGAGGCTACGGTGGCCACCAGCTTGAAAAGATTCTTCTCCACTTCATCCCCGTCCGGTGTGGCAGTGCCTTCCTCCGTCCGCGGCCGCTTACAGGCCAACACCAACGCTTCGGCCGGCACAGCCCCGCCGCGCTTCCTCTTGACGCGCAGCACCGCGGCGCGCTCCATGGCAACCGGACCAGGCCGGGCCGCTCGCAGGGGATGACGGGAAGGAGAGTGAGAAAAGATAGGCGCTGCTTCTCCTTTTCTCTACGCGTACCCGAACCTCCTTCGTTTACGTCACAGCCTCTTGACTCGTGCTCGTCGCTCCGCCTCCCGGATGACGCAAAGGTAGCGTTCATCCCGAGGGCCCAGTCTTCATGGTTGTCAAGTAAAACGCGTGGTTCCATGCGTGGGACAAGAAGTGTGGAATCGTTTTATTTGAGTAGAATTAATTAACAAATAGCAAAAATAACAGTCAGAGACGTTAGTGAGCTTCATGGCCGTTATGTCGTAACATTACATTGTACCTGACATTATGTTATATAAATCTTACATTGATACTTTTAGTTCTCTCCCGCTTTTCAGTGGAGTATAACCAACTATCATGGTCACAAACGCCAGAAATAAAAGGGATATTTGCATAGCACGACGAATTTCCGTACCAAAACCAAGTATAACCTATCAATATTACAAGCTTCCAGCCAACGCAAACGAGTTCACGCTATCCTGAATCTTATTTCCCTAGTGCATTATAAAGAGAATCCGTTTCTCCATAAAAAGGGTTCTTTTTCATGCATATCGATTGATTATATTTCCACTGTGTTTGTTATATTCTTTTTCGCTGCAGTTCTTGAGCTTTTTAGAAAATGAGGGATATACATTTAAAATATTTATTCTGTACAATATTCCATTTAGCTTTCTGCTGCCATCTTGCCCTGCACACGGAGGCATCTAATAGCAACCGGAAGTGTTTAAATTGTTTACTGTTTCTCTCTATGGTGTGCGGTGAAAGCAGAGGTAAATAGTAATGGTGGGGTCCTCCCCCCCCCGCTATTTCCCGTTTTGAGCGCGTTGCATCCTGGGAAGATGGCGGCGCCTAGCGCGTGAGACGAGCATTGACTGACAGGCGGAGGCAAGGTGAGGTATTGGAGTGACCGTTAGAGGCGGGTGGGAAGGCTTGACTGGTTTTTGCGGGGGGAATTTCGAGCTGACGACCCTCAAGTAGAGCGTAGGAGGCTCAGCAGCGCACTCTGTCCTGATTAGGAAGCTCTTGTGCATTCCTGCGCAGAAGTCCTGGCCAAGGGGGCTCCTGAGCATGTCTAGAGTTCATTCTCATTTATTCATTTAAAAGCGTCGCTCCCCAAAAAACAAACAAACACTAAGGCGGGCTCCCAGAGCCCCTTCCAGAGATCAGCCCTTGCTCTCGGACTAGCAATCTGAGATACGTGAACGATTGGAAGGAAGAAGAATTGAAGGAAGGAAGGTGGAAGAGAAAGTAAACTTGGGCTAGTACCTGTAGTTCATAGCTGGTAGTTATTCAGACAAAAGGATCCAGGAGCATGTGCAGAGTTCCCCACTGGGAAAGAAGCCATCCTCTTTATCTCTCCCCCTCTCCCCCAAAAAAGAACCTAAGACTGAAATGGTCATGAGGATATGCAGAGTTTTACCCCAGGGAATTAAGCCAGCCTCCCTCCCTCCAAAAAGAGAACATAAGGGCAAGGATTTAATGTGCAGATGCAGAGTCTTTCCGTCTAACATCCTTCGGACATCCAGTGAAACTGGATATTGGAACATTCGAGACGGATAAAAGGAGTTGCTGCTTCATACAGCACTTAGCAAAACTATGGAGTTTCTCCCGCAGAAAGCGGTGAAGTTCACTAACCTGGATACCTTTCAAAGAGGACTGGACACATTTATGGAGGAGAGGGCTATCAATGGCTCCTAGCCATGATGGCTCAGCTCTGCCTTCACAGTTGGAGGCAGCAATGCTTCTGAATACCAGTGGCTGGAAACCATGTGAAGCAGGAGTGCTCTTGTGCTCGGGTCCTGCTTGAAAGTTTCCCACAGGCATCTGGTTGGGCACTGTGAAACCAGATGGGCCATTGATCTGATCCTTGCAGGCTCTTCTTACATTCTTACGTTTTGTGTTGGAAGCATGTTGCCACTTTAGTAACAGTTTGAGAGTGTTGTGGGCCGCGAGGTCTAGAGTTCTGAAGAGATTACGTTTTCATCCCACCCTTCCAAGAAGCTTGGGATCCACATAACATGTTCTCCTCACCTTCACTAGTTGTATCCCCACAAGAACCCTGTGAAGTAGGTTAGACTAAGAGAGGACAATTGCACCAGGGTCACACAGTGAGCCTGGGTCTTCCTAATTTCAAGTCTAAGACTGTTGTATTTCGTATTGCATATTAGATTGTTTACAGTATGTGACTATAGTGTATCTTAATTTTACAACAAAAGAGTTTTTTAGTACCTTAAGCTCTTTTGCTGCAACTGATTCCCCCTGGAATGTATTTTTACAATAATGGTAAATATTTGTAACATTGTGCGTTAATATGTTTCAGCAGTGGTAGAAGTAGGAACTAGTAAATAAAATGTGTGGAAGCAAAATGAATAAATCAGATTAAGTCCTATGTCCTTTCCTTCTCCACCCTACAAAGAATTCTCACTTCGTCCTCCCCTCTGGGACAAGACTAAGAAACTGTCCGAAAGACCAACGGTTATGTGTCTAAACTTGGAGAAGGTACAACATACCAGATTCTAGTCCTGACTAGGAGTTACAACTAGGAGCTGACTAAGATAGCAGGAATTGATTGATTGAAGTAAGGTGCTTGGTTCAGGTCTCACCTGTTTGCCTTATCTACACAGGAATAGCTTGGTCACCATTACATACTTCTGCATTAAAACAGCATCATTTTTACATGGCAGTCTGGAGTGCCATTCACTTCCAACATACACATGCATACTGCTTTACAAAAGCAGCCACTAAACTTCATGTAATACATTATGATGGCACATGGCAAATTCCTATGGCAGAAGCATTCAAGGCTTAGTTTTGTTAACCACAGCATTTATTTTATGCATTCAAGATTCTTATATCTTGCTATTTTTTTTAATCTGGAGCTCAGGATGGCTAACAATTAATAGATAAGCAATTATACAAAGCAATACTCTAATTTGCACCACAAAGCCATAGCAGCAGCAACTCAACAGCAAATAATAATATCAATAAAACAACACCTAAAAATAATTTATCTCCTTCTAAATGGTAACTTCTTTCCTTTTGCCGTAGTTTTCTGATAATGAATCAAAAGCTAGAGATCATCTGAATAAAAGCGTTCCTCAAAACAACAAACCAGGGCAAGAATGAAGGTTTTTTGTGGAAGAGCCAATCCAACCACTGGAGCGGTGGAGTGGTTGGAGGAAGATGAGAACTATGATTATCATCAGGAAATTGCAAGGTATAGTGGGAGTTGGCTTTTATTTCATGCATTATTGTGACAGGCCAGTGTGTACTCGACATGTTGGATTTAGACCTGATGAGTCCTGGATTCAAATCAATGTGCAGCCACATAAGCATACTGGTTGGCGTTGGGCTCAGCCTAGCATGTTTACCAGATCGTTGTGAGACTGGCAGTGGGGATATGTGTGCTACCTGAGCTCTTGGGGGTGGGGGGTGGGAATAAAAAACTGATAAAAAACTGTGATGAAAATGAAACTTGAATGAAAGAGTGAAAAAAGGTATCTAATAACATCATAAAGTTTTTGTTTGTTTAACAAGGAACTCTTGAGTTCAACACAGTGCTAAAGATGGATTCAAATAACTTTTATATTTCCAAGGAGGAAGTGCTGATTGGTTCTTTGTGCCAGCATCCTTTCGTGCAACCTATGACCTTTGGCACTCGTCACATTCTAATCTACTTAGTCTTTGAAGAGCTTCTCAAATTACTATTTTAAGACTATGACATGTGACAAGGAACATCCCCCCTACCTTTCTTTCTCATGCATGCATACCTTTTTGTTTTAAATCATGGGAGGATGAGACTGTTAATGGCTACTAGTCATGGTAGTTGTGTCAGAGTATCATCATGAATATCTGAGGCAGTATGTCTCTGAATACAGTTGGTTGGGGATCATGAGCAGGAGAGTGCAATAGCACTTGTGTCTTTCGTGTGGTACCCTATAAGCATCTGGTCATCCCATCTGTGAACTGAATGCAGGACTAGATAAGACTTTAGTCCAAGTCAGCAGGGCATTTCTTAAGTTCTGATAAAAGTTCTTCAAAACTCAGAAAATAGCTCACTACTCTGATTTATTTTTTCGGTTGGTTCTAAAATAAAGGTATTGATCCTTCATTCCTTTTAAAATAGGATTGATAGTCTAGAACTGAAGAAAACAAAAAGTGCACATTTAATCTGAGCTTGTTGCAGGATCCCATGTGTTATACTCTATGGCTATCTCCTGACTCTCCTTCAGAAGCTACAGCCTTGTTGTCTTGGACTTTAACTGTATGCAGTTCAAGTGGGGAAAAACTGAACAAAATCCTAGTGGTATATAGCAACAACCCTAACACAGCATGGATCTTACACCTTAGCCCTATGCCTTTGTACTCAGCAGTACATCCCACGCAGCACAAGGGAACTTACTCCAAAGTAAGTTTCCATAGGCTTTCATCCTTTAGTTTCCTGCAGTTAAGGTTCATCTTGTAAATAGCTGGTAATAACCTTTAAAGGGATGACTCACCATTTGTCAAGCCTACAGAAGGAGAAAGCATCCTCAGTTGTACAGCACTTTGCTGGTTGCATATTTTAATAGTAACACTGGTCCTGTTTGTCTGAACTGTTTTTGATCTGTAATCTGAACTCTCTTACAGGTCATGTTATGCAGACATGCTGAATGACAAAGACAGAGTAAGTAATTGTTGTTTTCTTTTTTTAAAAGTTGATTGTTGGGATTCTGAAAGTTGCCTCATTAGCTTCCCTTACCTTGACTTTGTTCCACTGGCTTATAGTACCATAAAATGATAGAATTGTAGAGTTGGAAGGGACCCTGAGGGTCATCCCGTCCAACCCATTGCAATGCAGGATTCTCAACTAAAACATCCATGACAGATGGGCCATCCAACCTCTGCTTAAAAACCTCCAATGAAGGAGAGTCCAACACTTTCTGAGGCATTCCATTCCACTATTGAGCAGCTCTTACTATCAGAACATTCTTCTTTTTTAAAATAATGTTTTTATTTATTTTCATGGTACAGAATATAATTTTTGAGAAAACAATTGTTAAAACAGTAAACAACAAAAAACTTGTCCTGACAAAATTACAGACTTTTATCATGCCACATGTTAAAATTTCATTTGATTAAGAGATAACACCACATTTTCCCGTGAGTGTAGTTGGAATTTTCTTTCTTGTAACTTGAAGTTGTTGTCTTGCTTGTTTCCCATACTCTGTGCATTAGTATAGACACAACTGAAACCATGAGTCATTCCCTCCAACTGCTTCCTTCTTGCAGTTTCTTGCCCCTTTATCAGGTTTTTGTAGCACCGCCTCAGTTTCATGTGAAGCTATTATTCCTGTTACCAGGTGTTCCCCTGTTTTCTGTAGCATTATCTCTCTCCCCCTCAGGATTTAGTTTAAAGCTCTCCTGATCAGGTTTGTGAGACTATTAGCGAACACATTCTTGCCAACTGCTGTGCGGTGCAACCCATCTCTTCCCAGAAGTCCTTTCTCAAGGAAGCGACTTCAGTGTCACAGCCACAGGGTCTTTCTCCCTTTTCCGATGACATATTCCTGGTGGGTCCAAAACTATTTAAGGGGAAACTTACAACACTTTTATTTTTAATGAGTTTGTGGTCTTTCAGCTGCATTTTATATTACTTCTGTGATAGCCCCTTGAGATCAATCTTGCCAACAGTTCCTATTTTCTTACCATCATGAATATGAGATCAAGGCGTTTCCTGTTTGTATAAGTTGCTGCTTTAAGACAGCATAGAATTTTAAAGAGACACATTCAGCTGTGTACTGTTGTTGCAAGTGTAAAAAACAAATGCTTTGAGGTTGGCTTTTCGAGGTTATTTGTTTGATGGATAATTGAGCAAGATGACTAGACTGTTGTAGAAAACAGTCAGTGGTTCAACACTTTATTTTGACTAACACTTTTATTTTAATTTGATTTTAATAGAATGATGTGAAGTTTTAGTGCTAAATTTGGAGAAACAAAGCATAGATTACTTTAAAATGCATTAGTTAGTTGATTAAATTTCCTTTGGATTCTGTCTAGTCATGAGTGCATTTTGATAATGAACCCTCTGTGAACATTTCATCTGCTTATCAAGGGCTTCTGCGATATTCATGTACCCTGCTTTCTTCTTCAATAAAATTCCTTTTCAGATGGCACGATTAAATATTCTTTTAAAGAAGCCCCCAGTGATTCTCAAAAGTGTTTTTTTTTAAATGAACTGTTTCAAAATTAAATCTTGACAAAGCTAAGAGATGTGTTTATTATCTCACTAGCTTTTTTGGGTAGCTGTTCCTTTAATTAATTTTTTAAGAAGGTGACATTTAAAAAAAAAAGATGTCAGGGATCAAAAAGGCCTGTCAGAAATCACTTCCTGAAGGGAATTTTGTCCATCTGTATCGGGCTTTAAACACTTGCAAATTCCCAGGTGTCTCTATTTGAAAAGAGTTGGCAGGAAAAGGATGAAAAATCGTAGGCAAACTAACCATTTCACTTAAAGCAATGCAAAGCAAAGCATCCCAAGCCTCTGCAGCTGTGTATTCCAATATTTAGAGGGTTTAAAAGTTTTATTTAGAATGAAATACTTAAAGAGGATTGGGAAAGAGAGTAATGGGAATATCAGTTGTTCTTAAAGTGCTGGGGCTGCATTCTTGTGAATAGTATTTAGCTTTAGCTTTCCCTCCCTTTAATGTTTTCAGACATTTATCATGGAGATCATATGGAATTTATCAGGCTTCTAATAATTGTACTGCAAACAAAATCTTATGGATCTGCATATTGATCATCCACAGAAAAGATAATGCCTTTTAACCCACGACATTTAAATGCCTGCAGATTCAAATTTATTAACCTTGGAGGGCATGTGTCTCACATTTAAACAAACATTGGTCTTGTTGAAGTAACTGTCAGGTTTGTATTTTTCCACAGAATGCAAAGTATTTTCAGGGTATTCGTGCTGCAGTGGACAGAGTGAAGGAAAGAGGAGACAGAGCCATTGTCCTAGACATTGGGACTGGTACCGGACTCTTGTCTATGATGGCAGCTACAGCCGGGGCAGATTTCTGCTACGCTGTTGAGGTAGGTATTATTGTTCCCCTGTCCCTCGTACCAGATATAAATCAGTTATACAGAAGGCAGATCCTTAAAACAGATTTGTATACAAAATTATATGTGATAGGGGCTAATATTGCTTTGGTCTGTGTGTTTATTCTACAGCCATCTGTACTTTCCTTATGGCTCTCTCTTGTTCCTGAAATGTTGCATTAATATTTAGTGTTTGTTGTCCTTATCGTTGCTAGTAAAGCACAGTGTTCAAGAAACTTCACTTTGGATGGTGCATTTCAGTCTACTTTGTATTCCCCACTCCTTGAAAATGGGGCAAAGCAACCAAGGGATCTCTGAGCTTAATCCAGACTAGCTCTGCTTAATATTGATGCTTAAACTATTCATGATTAATTCATCCCATTGATTTTGATGGGGCTATTCTAAGCATGAGTAGGTCTGGATCACTGTATGGTGTCTTAGGAAAGTTTTAATGTTAGATAGTTAATCAGAGTAATAGTGAAATGAATTTTAGTGCTTTAATTTTAATTTGGGTTTGTTTTTTGCTTTTGAAAAAGCATTGACTCATGAAAGCAGACTTTTTGGTCACTGGTGGTGTGTAGCCATCTGTTTCCCCCCTCAACTTTCATTTCATATTTACATTTTGGCAAGGAGCAGTTCATTTCTGGCAGCTTTGGAGGTGGAAGGCAGTCTTGTTTTGCCAGGGTTCATGCCTTAATTAGGTACACATTTTAACATTGCCAGGAGGTATGTGCTTCATTGGAGGTCTCATCTGTGCTTTTGAGAAGGCAAAGTTAGATTTCTCAGTCTTTGCCAAAGAGCAGACTCTTGGCTCTTATTAGAAACCCAGTTTCTTTCTGTTGCCTAGACCAGTTAAAAATCCCATCCAACTTTTGTATGTATTGGATCTGAAACTGGGCACTAATGGAGTAATCCTATGCATGGCTGCTCAGACATAAACACCATTGAGTTATGTGTATAGGATTGAAGCCTAAGTGATTAGATCTTTTATGCAAGATGATAAAATATAGGCAGGGATTCTTAATATAAAACAGCAGTTGGTTGTTTTCATTTGTTGTGCTAGTTTGTATGCTTAATTTAACTTAGTAGTAGTTTTCAATTGTATTTTTCCCTTATCTGCCCAGGGCACATACATTTATGTTTAAGGTGTGTGATACAAACTATGTAAACAAACACATTTTTAATCTCCTTGGGAAAAGCCACAGACAGGTACTACCCAGTACCTACTAAGTCTTCTATTTAGCAGGATTAAATGTGCTTAAATGTTTATCCTGTGGTAAGTATTTCCCATAACACAATACAGTAATTTTCTGGTGGTGTTTGTACCTTGAATGTAGGTGCCATTAGCTTGGTTGTGTTCTTGAGAGTTGGTGTAGTGTAATGGCTGTGTCTCTGTGCTGTGTCCTAGGAAGTACCTGATTCAAATGTTACTTCAGATCTATCTAAATATAAGGATTATTATACTGCAGGTCTTCAAACCTATGGCTGATACAGCTGTGAAGATAGTGGAGAAAAACGGCTTTAGCGACAAGATAAAGATCATCAACAAGCACTCCACTGAAGTCACAGTGGGGCCTGGTGAGATTAATGTGGACTGTATTCTCATGTTGCATGGAACAAAGGATATCTTTATTTAGTTCTTTGTTTCATTAAAACAAATTGTATGCCATCCTTCAGATATGTTTTTGGGGTGGTTTACATATAATAGAGGCTGGCTTCCTCTGATTTCAAGGAAGGGAGGGGATGAGAAAGAAGAACAGAAAGGTCACAGCTGTATAGAAGAGAACAGAAGCAGTCCTGAGGCCATTCCCTATCTCCTATTTGAGGTGACTTAACATTAGCACAGCAGCCTGCTTTGAAAAAAAAGAGAAAAGAAATAAACCAGCATACTCCTATTTGTCTTGTGCTATGCTTCCTAGATGGAGACATGCAGTGTCGTGCAAACATCCTGATAACAGAGCTTTTTGATACCGAACTGATAGGGGAGGGAGCTTTACCGTCTTATGAGCATGCCCACAGATGTCTTGTACAGGTAAGGAAGTGAGCACTGTTCACAGATGGTGTCATGTAACAGAAATTTTATTCTTGCAAGCTCGCAGATTGATTGTAGCCAATCATTTCTTTGTTTTTGATCGGTTTTGTTACTGTTAGTTTTCACTGAAGATATTCAAAATGACCTTCAAAATTCATAATAGACCTGTCATAATCTGTATCTGTGTTGGTTGCGCATGGCTTAAGAAACAACTAACTTTGAGAAAGCTTTCACACATTTTTGGCACAAAAATGCAAAGTATAGTAAATATATGAGTCTCTGTCCACTTGAGGACAAGCATCATTGAACTCAACAGGAATACCTTCCAAGTAAACATTATGGTATCAGACTGTAAGATAAATAGGAACGCACGTAAAGAGAAGGTTCAAAGGCATTGAAGAGTGGACCTCATATTTACGCCCAGAATCTGAGTTTTATGTGCAGCCTATATATTTTCTAAGAAGTTCACATTTCAGAGCTTGCTTTTATTCCAAGGACATATAATGAACCTTGCTCAGTTTCCTTTCTCTTTGTTTTCAAATGATTAGGAAGGATGTGAGGCAGTGCCTCACAGGGCAACAGTATACGCCCAGTTAGTGGAGTCCCAAAGAATGTGGTCCTGGAACAAGCTATTTCCCATTCATATTCAAGCAGAAGATAGTGAGAAGATTATTGTCTCACCACCAGAAATGGAAAACTGTCCTGGTGCTCCTTCAGTCTATGATATCCAACTGAATCAGGTGTCCTTGCATGACTTCACGCCTCTCAGTGACGTTGTTACAATGTTCAGGTGAGTGCTGCTTTTATGTTATATGTTTAAGCCATTTTGATACTCTGCCTTTTAATCTTCGATTATCAAGGCAGCTTAAAACATCATTTTAAAACAATGCCTCATAAAATAATAACTAATATAACAAAAAATAGTCTGTGGAAAATTCAAAGCAGTAGTAAAATCAAAGCCACACCAGAAACCCACAAAGGCCAAGGAAAACAAATGTTTCTGCTTGGTGGTCTAAAAGCCATCAGATTTGGTGCTAAATGAATGGGTGGTGGGCCCTGGTATCCACCTCATTTCAGCCAATGAGGCCCCTCAAAACCATGTCTCCTTCCTTGAAGAGCTTACTAATGGGATTAATATTGGAGAAGGAGGTCCTTCATATACCCATTTTGCAAGTGGGGTGGGTGGGAACCTATGACCCTCCAAGTGTTGCTAGACTGCAACTATCTTTCCTGGTCATGCTAATGGAGGTTGATGAGTTAGAGCTCCAACAACATCTTGAGGACTATATGTTCCCCACCCCTTATTTAGAGTTTTATAGGTTAAAACTTGCACTCTGAATTGTTCTTGAAGGAAACTGGTAGCTTGTTTGCTTGATGGTTTGTTTGTTTAAGTACTTGTCCTTACACAGACACACCTGTGTATCATATATATTATAAATACATTTAAGAGGGAAGTAGCAAACTCCTAAGATCAAATGGTTGATGGTATATGAAGTTGTTGGTGAGAAGTTGCTGAGCACTTTAATGCATTGTGATGTTTCATTGATGACTGACTGCTGCTGCTCTTGGTCAAAACTGTCAGATGCAGTTTCAATTTCTACAATTTTTAGAAGAGCTCTGTTCAGTTCCATTGTTTATCAATTCTGCTCTGTGTGTATGTTTGTGGTTAGAATCACAATGTTTATTTCTGTCTAACAACCTGAATGAAAATAAGTAGCTATTTAAAATGAACTGATTGCAATTCATTATTTTTCACAGTGTAGATTTCAGTAAGCCAGTAAGCCGAGCCTCTGCCTACTACACAGTACATCTGGAGGCCATAAAGTCGGGCAAAGCCCAAGTGGTCCTGTCCTGGTGGGATATTGACATGGACCCCGCTGGGTCAATAAAATGTACGATGGCCCCATATTGGGTGCAATCCACCTCTGAAGATATCCCGGTAATGTACTGAACCTCTTGTAAATTCTATTGCCTTCCTAACATTTTAATGCTGGCAGATTGAACTAAAACCATATATGTGGGCAGATGTTAATTTGTCCAGCTCTGTAAAATGTGCCATTTTCACTTTTTGGCCTAATTCGAATTTGACTCTGGACATTCACCAAGGGAGGGGAACAGCACCAAGTCCATGTGAAATTCCATACAGGCATCTCATTTGACTTGGGTCACCACCCCCTGTGCAGGCATTGTTAGTATGATAGGCATGAGTGGATGTTGTGTTGTTGTATGCTGACATAGCATGTTTAGAGGCCAGTGATCTAACTTACCCAAGGCACCAGCTGCATGAACGTCTAAATAGTTATGCTTCTGGAATTTTTTGTGCATGTTGTTTGTTGCATCTTAGTTTGACCTTAGTTCATTATTGCTCAGCCTTTAGAGAATGCTGATAAAGATTCTAAAGATTTGTGCTAAACTTTCAGAAGTAAACTAGTTCTCTTAAAATTGTCCAATTCTTGATAATAACGTCTAAGTATATGGCCCCTTGCAGTTTTCTAGCTACTTACTGCCATGCATGGAGTTGTACAAAAATAAACAATGGTCTATGATTGCGGCAGGTTAGTGACTTTAAGTAAGGTTAGGATTCCATTGGATTTGCCATCTCATCTTTTGACTTTTCTAGCATAGAATGCATCAGGGTAGGCAATATGCTTTCTGAAATTCCTAATTTCACTAAAGAAAAGGTATGTTTTTTGACATTGTGGTTATAGAAATGAATGTGAAAGGTGACAGCAGAACATTAAATAAAGGCAGAAGGGTGATGTTAAATCTCCATGAATCCTTTAAACAATAAGAGATTATGTTGCTGTGAATGTTTCCTCATGATTACATTGTAAAACAGGCAGTTCCCAGCATTAAAGCTGTATCAGAGGTAACCTTGAGTGGGGTTGTTTAGGTATGAACAAGCACTGGAGCTTGCCCAAATTGTGTTCTTTATTTCACTCCTTTACTTTCTCCTGTATCACATCCTTTGTGTCACATCCTTGGCACTATATGTCACTTGGTTGTCAGATAGGGATCCTGCCACCATTTGATGTGTTTCTTTCTGTTGAATGCATAAGCATGCACAGCTGTAGCTCAATTGCTTTGCATGCAGGAGGTTCCATGTTTAATCTCTAGCATTTTCAGGTAGGGCTGAGAAAACAGAGTTATCTGCATTATCCCATTGCCATTTACTGTTTGGTTTTTTTATCCCACACAATCCATTTTTATTTTGAATTACTAATTGTCTGCCCCTTTTCCATTTTGTTTAAACCTTTCCAGTGGAGAGATCATTGGATGCAGTGCGTCTATTTCCTTCCAAATGAAGAACTTGTTCTCCAGGGCCAGAGTGTGGGCCTGACTGCCTTTCATGATGACTACTCTGTGTGGTATAAGCTTCAAAAAGGCAGGTAACTAAAGATAGGAGGCAGAAAGGGATACTCATGGATTGAACAAAGACTGTCAGGCTGGGATAGTTTGTTTTCTCAGTGAATGTAAGTTGGGGAGGGTTACTCTCCCAGTCCATGAATGGCCATAGGTGTTGTACCAGGCATAGCTGGTAAAAACCATTTATAATGTAAACATTATCTGGGGCAAACAGAAATGAGTTGGTTTCATTCATTCAAATGTTTTTAGAAATGAAGACGCCACAACTGCTATCCAAGTTGAAAGTCCTGTGTGTAGGTGTCAGGCCCACCTGTTGTGGAATAGGCCACGGTTTGGAGAACTCAACGATCAGAATCGAACAGCGCAGTATTTACAGGCTCTGCAGAAAGTGAGTAAGATTTCCCAAATCCAATATGGTATCTTCTTGCCTCAATCTCTGCTCATTAGGCATCACTTCACTGAATTTGGGTGAAGAGCTGTGTACATGCCTGCTTCTTTTTTTAGCTTATTAGAAGAGATGGTGAGTCACAAAGCCAGCATACTGTTTTGCTTATTCACTGTTGATACTTGATGTACCTCCCGTTGCAGGGAATTCTGTATGGTTTTTAATGCAATGGACCAATACAGCTATCATTCTGGAAAGCAAGTGAAAGTAATTTCTTTCTAACTTTAGTGTGCAGTGCACATGAGAACAAAGCAGAAGTCCACCAATTTGTTTTTAAATAGCTGGGGAAAACCATACAACCTGGTAAACGAACAAAAAACAAAATCAGATTATATTTATTAAATAAAATACTGCCTTTTCCATTTGTTCTGTAACTACGTAGAAATGCCAGGATGAGCAACAACAAAATGAACAGGAAGGTAGGAACTCTGATGGGACAGAATAATGGGGCAACTGCAGGAGATGTTGGGGGCTGCAAGTTGCCTACCTGTGACTTAAGAATTTAAATCTCTTGTAGTGTCTGTTGTAGAGTCTAAAGATATGCCTGTTAAGACCTTGCCTATCTTGAGATGCTATGAGAGTTGCTAAAATCTCTCTAAGCAATACAGATAAAATAAAAATCTACAAGGAACCAAGGACCAGGTTGTTTTTCTTTTTAAAAAAATCATTTATAATTATTTGATTTTTAAAGTGATGCTTGGGAACATTTTTTTGTTTAATGATACAAACTTGTAAAAACATAGATTTAACTATACAAGCCTAATTTAGAGGTTGAGTTTTCCAGTTAGAGCAAGTATAGTGTTGAACAGCATATTTGATCAGCAAGCCTGTCAGCTAAGTTTGTCCTTCGGTTCCATCTGGTTGCCCTGTCCTCTGCACTTGAAGTAAATCTTCTTTCTAAGTCTTTTGTGCTATCTTTTCATCACCTAATGACTGAAATATGGTGATTCATTGATAAAATTCCACAGCTCCATTGCTTAGCCTTAGTTATAGCGAATTTATGTATGTATGTCTGGCAAAGTGGGTTTTATCTCACACCAGTGAATGCCATAATAAATCTCTGTGACAATTTAAAAGGCACCTTTCCTGAATTGTATAATGGACTAACGTGGGTGGAGGGCGTGGAGAGGAGAATGTGACTGTGAAGCTGGGTCATAATTTGCCAGGCATGGATTACACAGAACCAGCATTTTGTCAGCACTGGATGTAAAAACCTTACAAACAATTTTTAATCCTTCCCAACTATTAGGGCAAGAGTAGTAGCGTCCTCAGTCAACATGTCCAATGGTCAGGGATGATGGGAGTTGTAGTCCAAAACATGTGGAGGGAACCATTTTGGCTATCTTTGTGTTAGAATATGATGGTGGGATCCTTAAATAGCATAGAGAGGACTGTTAGACCAGAACTTCAGGAAGCCTTCTGCCTACAACACCCAATTTCTTTGAATGGAGATTGAAGGCGTGTGTTTCTGTTGGCTACTTTTACCAGTTCTTGAAAACCACAGTTGCTCAAGTATCAGTTCCTGGAAACCACAGGAGGGGCCAATGCTGTGACATTCAGGTCTTGCATGAGGGTTTCCCACAGGCATCTTATTGGCCACTGTAAGAACAGGATGCTGGAATAGATGGGCCACTGGCCTAATTCAATAGGCTCTTCTTGGGTTCCTATGTACTCTTTCAAAAACTGCTTTGTTTTTCACTTTCCTTCATGACCTGACTTGGCTAACTGGATCATGTCTTGGTGTAAAATGAAAAAGAATGTGGATTTAAAAATTGAGTCCATAAATATGTATAGTGACAATGTTTTGTGGGATTCCTCTCACAAGTATTTACCTTTCTAATGTAAAACATGCATCCTTTGCCTTAAAATGTCATGAATTCTACTTGAAACATGGAGATTTTAGACAGCCTTTGGGATGCAACAATGCTTAGTAATTTCAAACAAGCGAATGTGTCAGTCCTTAATCAGTGACCTTTTGCATCTGGAAAGGAGGAAATTGCTGACAGCTTGTCTTTTCGCTCTGAAGGTTCTGAAGCCAGACAGTGTTTGCCTCAGCATCAGTGATGGCAGCCTCCTTCCTGTGCTGGCTCACCATCTTGGAGCAAAAGAGGTACAACCCCATCCCCAGTCATTGAAATGTTTGCTATTTTTAATATGTACTGACTCTTTTATTCCTTTATACATTTTTTTAAATTTTATGTTATGTTATATCTATTTATCTTCAGTGCTTTTCCTTAAGAGCTGTCTGTGGCATTTATTTGGTCTTCCATAACTCTTCTGAGCACTGAAATTGCTTCACCCAGTCTCATTTGCGGCCTTGCATTTGCCCATGCCCATCCCTTGTTAGTCTTGTTTCTCTTGGAACAGCCTTCTCTGTGTTGCATCCATTACTGGCAAAATTTAGCTTGTAAGTTCCTTGGGTACAGACCTGTTACTGCTATCAGTATACATTTAGTTTTGCAGAGTATGTTACTCATGATAACAGTTATCCAGCTGACTGACTGGAGTAGAATTCTTAATCCCCTAGGTCCTGCTAAGTTATGTAGATAGATAGATAAAATTTATTCGCATTAGCCAACGGCCTTAGCAACATAAAACAAGCAATATATACAGTTAAAAAGACAACAGTGGGTAAAAAGGGCAATCAAATGACCAAGATTATTGTTCAGATAGTGGCCCTTAATCTCATTGCACCCTCGATAAACCTAGCAACCTTTGCTGTTGTCTGATCATTTTGATCTGATAAAAGAAAGAACAATGTGGTCACAGATGGGCGGCCTGGGATAGTAAGTAAGAGTGGGGTGATGATCTCATTCCTCAGATCTTTATAAAGGGGACAGGACAGGACAGGTATAGCTCAGTGGCAGAACATTTGACTGCTAAGTTATATAATGGAATGGGCCATGCCATGCAGTATTTGTGCATGTTTATATATTTATGTATTTAATTATTTTATCAAGATTACTTAAGTAGATCGCTGCTTATTTGAGCAGTTAATTGCTATACAGGACATTCTTGATGTTCTTTGTAAGTCTTGCTCTTGAGTCGTTATTGGCTGCTTGCAAAGTGGAGCAGGGCAACAGACCACACATAACCAAGGGGTGTTACACCAATCAGAATGGAAGGGAGAGCGTCATTCAAGGATAGGAGTTTCCCCAGTGAATCACCAGTGTGGTCCTTTCATTGCTCATGGGACAGGTATTCCTTCCCAAATTTCCACCCAAAATTGCAGGTCTGATTAAGCCAGTGTATTCTGTTCTTCTTCTAGGTGTTTACACTGGAGAGCTCTGCAGTTTCTCATTCACTCATGCAGAAAGTAAGTAATGAATATTGGAGTCATATCTGCATGCAACTGCTGTCTTATGTTTATTACTCCTTCTGTTTATTTTGTTTTCTTTTGTAATGGCAAAAGTGCCTGCCCACTATGAAAGTAGAGAATTTTAGTTACCCAAAATAAGTCATTTTACATTTCAGAATGTTTTTGCGTTACATAGTTAGGAAGAGGTTTCATTCTTGGACAGCAGTAAAAAACAAAACACTAAGACCTTTCTTCTTTTCTTTTTCATAAAAAAGATTTTTAATGCCAATCATCTAGAAGATAAAATTAAAATAATAGAGAAACATCCTGAATTGTTGATCTCTTCAGATCTTGAAGATAAAAAGGTAAGATAACTAAATGTCTGTGCGACCAAAACATTTTACTCTTTGAGAGGATAAGCTTTATCAAACAAAGCATGTCAAGAGGTATTTCCCACATTAGCTGGCCGCTGAAGTTGTATGCAATATATAAAAGTTAAGTAGTAGCTCCACTACTGGCCTTTAGAGTTGTGAGGTAGTTCACACATAAACGGAAACCTTGGTTTGACACTTCTTGAACAAGTATTCAGGAGCTTTGTGGCTCTACACCATGGTTTGATCTCTGAACCCACTCAGTATGTTGGGCAAGACTGAGAAGATACAATTACCTCTTCCAGATTGACTGGCAGTTTAGTTTTTGTGTTTGTTATGGCTTTTATAGCTAAACAAATAAAAATACTACTACTACTACTACAAAAATGTGTTAAGGGCTTTCTGTGTTCACTCAAGCTCCAAAGTGCTGTGAAATTGCGGCTGTTACGGGCCATACCATTTATAGATGCATTACGTAGGCAATATGTCATGGTATGAGTTTAGTTCAATCTTTACCATCATCTTAGAGCTGGCTGACAGGCTGGCAGTGGCAAACCCAGGTCCTGAATTTGCAGGTTCACTGGAATTGACACACGGAGTCCATGCAACTGAAGCTACCATTCTGCATTGCATGTACCCAACTGGCAGCCAATCCCACCTATGCAGAATGACAGACTTGGAAGGCCTGCCAAATGGTACGAAGTGTGGTCTGGCACCCTGTTGCCCATCTGAGCCTCTTGTATGTTTTCCCCCACCCCAAGGTATCACTTTTGATTGGTGAACCCTTCTTCTCTACGAGCTTGTTGCCATGGCACAATTTATATTTCTGGTACGCCCGGACAGCCCTGGCAAGCCACCTGACAAGCGATGTGACTGTCCTGCCCCAGTCTGCTTCACTTCACATGATGATTGTGGAATTCAAGGTAACAAAACTATGTCTGGTTTCTGTTTTGCCCCCAGGGCAGTGTGGGTGGGTTTAGTTACAATACTATGCTTTGTTTATTTGAAAAAACTTGCACTTCATCATTTAGCCAAACAGTCTTACAGATTGCAGCTACAAAATCAGTAGTAAGATAGTTCCTTGGACTTACACTCTAAAAAGACATGACACACAAGAAAAAAGAGAAGAGGGGGAAATGATCAGTTCCTAATAATACACGTTCCTCAAGGTACAATTCATTATCTGGTTTTTATTAGTTTGCAACATTTTTCTTTAGTCCTTGAGTGGTTTTTATCTTGATATATTAGAGTTTATTTTTGGAGTGGTTTTAATATACCGTGGATAAGTGTGTTTGACATTCTGGTCGTTTGACATTCTGTTTCTTTGAAACAATTTAATTCTCAAAATATAGCTGTCATATTTCTGGGAGTGATGAAATGTACAGTTTTGATCCAATTTCTCATGTTTTAATTTAATTTAATTTTAAAACCCTGAACAATAACATTGTGTCCCCTCCTTTTCTTTCCCCCTAGGACTTGTGGCGAATCCGCAGCCCGTGTGGTACCTGTGAAGGGTTTGATGTGCATATTATGGATGAGATGATAAAGGTTAGACTATCCTCCCTGTGTGTTGGATAAAAGCCAATTGAATTAGAGATGTGGTTGTAGGTAAATTGCTTGTAATTGTGGTTCTAGCCAACCTGTGCTTTAAATGGGACATACAGTACAGGAATGGTCTTCTGGCTCATGACAGGGTTTTTGGAGGCCAGACCCCATCAACCACAATGTCATTTCTGCCCACCCCCAAGCTAAAGAATCTGGCAGGCATGAAACAAGCAGCGGCACTTTGTTGGTTTTTGGCATGTTTTCTCATTTAAGGGCTGAGAGGGGATCTGGCCAGCTGAGAGGCACGCTTTGTGGCAATCACACTGACAAGGCATAGGCAGTGTAACCACCCCTCTCATCACAGCACAGCCCTTCCCAGCACTTTCAATGAGAGGGTGCTGCTGAACATTGCTCAAGTCACCACACATGGAATGAGGAGGCACCCCAAAAGTCTCTGATAACACAGAGCTCTCTGACTCTTCCTCTCATTTAGCAATGGGAGACACACTGACAAGAGCAGAAGCTGGGCTTGGCCCATGACACTTGCCCAGCTAAAGTGGGATAGCAAGTTGCAAAAACTGAATCAAGCAGGAGTTGTGTCTGGTTCATTGCCTGCCAGTTGGTCATCCTCTGATAATAAGATTTGATTCCTTCATAAAATGTAGCTTAGTTTCTTTAAACATAATTTTCTCTTACGTCATTTTCAATAGCTAGGAAATGTAGTATTGGATCAAATCATGGCTGACGTACCATTTATTTGGCAGCCTGACTGCACTGGCTTCCAATTAGTGTTTGGGCCCAATTCAAAGTGCTGGTTTTGACCAATAAATCCTTCAAATGGATCAGGACCACTTCTTCCCATATGAACCACCCTGGACCCTCCAATCATCATCTGAGGCCCTTCTTCATGTGCCTTCTCTGTGAGAGGTCCAGAGGGGAGCAACATAAGAGCAGGCCTTTTCCGTATTGGCTCTTCACTTCTGGAATGCGCTCCCAAAGGAGGTTTGCCTTTGGCTAATTAAAAAATCTATGGCCTTTGACGGATTTGTTCGTTATTATGCTATATATGTATTTGTTTTTGTATTTTAGACTGCCCTGTGATCTTCAGAAATAAATAGATAGATAGATAGATAGATAGATAGATAGATAGATAATAAAGTGTGTCTCTTGTAAGCATGACTAAGTCTGGATTCTAGCCATAGCTTCTTATCCTAGTTCTGAGTAGGTGATTTTTTCCCCTTCAGGTTAGCTTGTTATAACAACCCCTCCTTCCTCCTCCCACAATCTGAGCAGCTCTGATGAAATCTGTAGCTTTCCAGGCATGACCTTTTCTTCATTTATTTACTTATTATTGAGTCATCTATCTGCTCAAAGGAACCTGAGGTGATATTCAACATTTTAAAACCCAATACAAATCATTAAAATACAAACCTTACATCTAACAATGTAATTAAAAAGCATATATACACACCCCATTAAAATAGTACAAATGCCTAGTATTAAAAATGCAGCAACAGAACAAATAGAGGGCCAATTAAATAAAATCAGCCACAAACAATAGAAAACAGTTCCAGTAGCAATCCCACAGGAGACAAAAGCTAGCAGACAAATAAAGGTCCAATGATGTTACTTAAAATACTGAATACTCCCACAAGAACTTTTATACCACATCCTTCTTATGAAAAAAATGAATGTTTGCAAGTCTTCAGCCTTCATTGTTCGAAAGCACAGGACCAATTAACTTAATTGCAAAAAATGTGTAGTTATTTGAAAGCACTACTTAGAAATGTCTGGGATGACAAGCTTAATGAGTTGTGCTAGCAGCTGCAAAGCTATAGCAAAGATTGTTGTAAAAAGGAAAATAGACTTGAACGTAGTTGCAGAGAATAGAATTTATCAATTTAATTAAAAACAAACTCGCCTTATTCCCATATACACAGTCTGAGAATTTTGTAGCATGTCCTGGACAGAGAGAGCTGTGGGTTTGATTCTGCACGTTCATTCATTTAGTGCCTAGTCCAGCACTTTGCAGTATCCATCTCTGTCATCCATAAAATATAATACTTTACCTAGCCCAGATGTCATCCTAGAGAACAAATGCTAAGTTTGTAGAATATTTGGCCATTATGATGAATAAACACATACACTCCAAATGGCAGAATCTGCTGAGTTTTCACCTGGCAATTGGTTGTTTTGACTCTTGGTATGTTCTTAGCTGGGCTAATAGCTTACCAGAGAATTCCTGGTTCTGTAAATGAGTGAAATGTCTCTCTTCTTCACTTTAGAAGTGAAATAAATGTTACTGTCTTGACTTGGTAAAATTTAATCTTGCCTCAGCACGTCAATGCTCTCTGAATATTTTAAATGAATACCTTATCTGTGAATATTCTAGCACTTCAATGCTTCCCTTTTTGTTTTCTTCCATAGAACTCCTTGGACTTCAGGGAGTCAAGGGAAGCAGAACCTCACCCACTGTGGGAATACCCTTGCAAATCAATATCCAATCCACTGAAAATTTTGATATTTGACTTCCATCAAACTGTGCCAGAACACACTATCAAGAACGAAGGCATCATAAATCTGACAAAGTGAGTATCACCAAGAGAAAATGTGCAAGCCCTGTTCAGGACTGTGGCCACTGTAGCTCAGTCTTCTTTCTTTTCCATGCAGAATGCCCCAGGTTCCATTCCCAGCACCTCCAGGTAGGACTGGGAAATATCCATGTGAGAAACTCTGGAGAACCACTGTCAGTGTAGAAAATGGACAAATGTCCTAACTCAGTATAAAACAACTTCCTATGTTCCTAAAAGTGCAGCAGAATGGCTAAGAATCGTGCCATTACTTCACTGGGTAGCCTTAGTTCTCTCTAGACCTCATATCTACAAATATAATATTGACCAACTTTGTGAAATTGTAAGGATTGCACTAAGGTGATATCTGAGGCACATTGAATACTCTAGAAGCACTAAGTGCATGCAAAGTCAAGTATCATTATTAACACACTTGATATCGCTAGAACTAGCATCTGTTCCAGTCTAGTTTTTGGATGGAAACTGCCCAGGTCACCCTGGCGGATCTTTGATGGAAACAGACAGGGGAATATGTCCCTCTTAATTCTCCTGGATCTCTCTTTGTGTTTTAATAGCCATAAACCATGATATCATTCCTCACTGACTTGCCTGGTTGGAACCACATGCTTTTTAACATCCCCATGAATTTAGTGCCTGAGCCAGTATTAGCAATATGCCAAGCACGCTCAGCTTTACCAAACATTTAAAAAAATCCCAGGGAATTGGTGGGTGCTCTGAAAAACAACCATAAAATTGGGACAGCATGACTGGATGACAAAGGAGGAGGAGGGGAAATTTCAGGGTCTAGAAATCAAAAGCAATAAACAAACATAATAAATAGACCCCATTATTTCAAGGGAAGTAACTTGGTATAAGATTGGGAGCTGAAATCAGATGGGTGTTTGAGATTTTAGAGCAACAGCATATACATATCACTTTTACATTTAATAATGCTTTTTTCTGAAGAAAACCTTTGTGGTTCTATAATTTGCTTAATAATAATTAACATATTTCATGTATGAGATAACATACTGCTCTTAATGAATAATGTATAAATTACATTTCAACATATGACTGAATCAATTTATAATGACGTTTATTTCTCGTCTCCAAATATAGCCATCTGTTCCCTGGCTGATCATTTCTTTCTCAACCAGCGCACAGTATGTGGTGTTACCACTGAACCAAATTATGGTGTTATCATTGTACCAGCTGTAAAGTATTGGAACATCCTGTGCAGTAAAGATCAATATTTGTCTCTAGCATGATTCTTGTTTAAACATCAGATGTAGATTTTTCAGACTGTATCATATAGCTTGTGCTAGCAAACAAGTCAATCACATCAGTTACACATGAGATATTTAAGCTAAGACCAAAATAGTAGATATTTGCGTTAAAGTCTGAATCTTAAAATGAAAGACAGACTGCAGAAGAAGCTGGGTCCCACTTCACGAGTTATACTAAGCCAAACCATGGCTTAGCATGCATGTGGAAACGTGCAGGCTCCTGGAGAAGAAATTGCAAGCTTGTGGTTTAGCTTTCAGACAAACTACTATCTTGTAACTAAGGTTTGTTCTATGATTTACAGCTTGTAGTTTGTCTGGAAGAGCTAAACCATGAGCCCAGCTTCAGGTGACACACTAAGCCAAACCACTGCAGCATTAACTCACTGCAGCAGCAAAAAGACTGGGGAGGTGAAAAATGGCTGCAGTCTCCTCTCCAGGAGCCCACATGTTGGCTCATTCATGCTATGTCATGGTTTGACTTAATATAGGCATGAAAGAGGGCAGAAAGATCCTGCTTCAGGTCTTTAATGTGTTACTGCAGTTACTGTCCTATACGCATCGTTTTGGTTCCTGCAAGAAATTTCGCTTGCTTACTACATCCATCTGCCAGCTGATGGAAGTTTCAGGCTCCCATAGGTGTAACATTCATGCTCTTTCATCTCTCTGGCCTAGGCTGCTTCCGAGAAGGAAAGAGACTATTCATATTTCAAAAAGAATTTGTGCGTATGTCAGTGTGCTGGTGTTCTTCAAAGTTAGCAGAAAATCAATACTTGAGGCTTTCTTTCTTTCTAGGACTGGGAAGAGCCATGGAGCTGTTCTGTGGATGGAATATCACCTGACACCCAGCATTTCTATTACCACAGGGCTTGTGCAGGTTTCAAATGAAAAAGTATGCTTAATTCTCTTTCATCTTCACTCTGCTCCATGGGGGGGGGGGTGAGGGAGAAGAATGTTAATCTGAGTGATTCACTTCTATCTCATGGTTTGGGACATTTTTTGGACTTAATCAGTCTTCTGTCTTCTCTGAAATGCTAGGCAAATTTATTTATTTACATATTTTTTCTACCGCCTTTCAGATTTCATCTCAAGGTGCTGTACAGCACATTAAATAATTTTAAACCATAAGAATCAATAAAAATCCAGAAAACGATAAAAAGGCCAGAGCAATCCAGGTCAAATTAAGCCATGGTACCATATGCTGGAGTCAAACAACAGCAAAAGCCTGGGAACAGAAGTGGTCTCCAAATCTCATTAATTCTGGCACCTGACTTTGGTGATGGTGGAGATGGTTCTATAGGGAAGACACCTCCACAGAGAAGGCTTCTTCTGATTGCCAACATTTATAAATGTTGTAAATCTGAATTCACAATTTTTCAGTGGAAACGGTGTGCTTGGATACTACCATAGACTCACTTTTGAAGTTTAGAAGCCTCATTGGAAACATGTATAAACTATAATTCATTTGTATCTTTCAGTAGTATGACATCTGTCAGAGCTATTATAGGATTGCTATGTTCCATTTTTAGTTAACACACTAGGCTCAAGATTTTGCTGCCAAGCCAGAGCATAGGGGAAATTCCCCCACTAGTCTTTTTTAAAAAGTGTAGCTTCTGTGTGTATGTTGTAATTCTTACAGTCTGATCCAAGCATATGTACTCAGAAGTGAAACCTTGTGTGTGCAATACAATGTAAATTTATATAGGACTGCAGACTTAGAAATCTTGGAGGTAATCAAGTAACTGGCATTCCAGTTCAGCCCAGTTTCCTCTATTGCAAAGAGCAAAACAATTTGCATTACCAAGTTATGCACCAGATGTCAGAAGTCCTAGTGGCCTAGTCTGAAGGCCTATGAGACCACCAACTTGTGGAGATTGGTGCAGCAGTTCCCTGAATGTATGGAATTCAGACTTCATTGATCATAACAACACATTCTGTTATGAATCAGCATGCTGATATCCTAAAGTAAAGTGATTGCTGTTGGTCTTGACAAATTAGCATACTGTATTTTTTTTATCAGAGCTGATTATTTTTCTTCTGCTTGTTTCTGCAGGGCTATTGTCAATGGACTCCCCACTGCAAACAGGCTGTGTTTTTCTTCAGTTCAGATACTGGGTCAGAACCTCCCATTGATAACCCCTCTGCAGTTGCATACACTCTAAGCTTCAACCCAAAGACAGGCAATGTTATCATGGATTTTAAGCTCTTGGATTAATGTGGCAGCTTTCCAATCAAAAACCTTCCTGTTCCCCCTCCCCCCCCCCACTCAATTCTTTTTTGACCAGATCTTAATAAATATATCAAGAGATAGCTATGATGGGCTTCTCTTCTCTTCTTTTGGGTTACAGCAACTATTACTGACCCCCCAGGCATTGTCTGAAGGTTATACACATGCAGCCATGTTGCTAAAGTGTAAGCTGGTATGGCTCTGGTTCATGCCTGGATGGGAGATTACTTGCGAAATCCTATATATGCCGGCTAAATGTAAAGCTTTAAAAATGATGCCTGAATCAGGTTATGAATAGTAATAATGCTATATTCAGATATAATCATACTGATGAGACTGCTTCAGATTGTTTCCCCTTGTTACTGTGAGGACTGAATCATTGACAGCTGCAGCTTCAGAAGATTCCCTTGTTGCTTTCTAGGAACCAAGCTTGTTCTTCCATCCTATTGTTGCTGGTCTGGCTGGTGTCCTCACAGTTTCCTCCTTTAGCCAGACTGTGATGGCATCATCTTTACATGAGCCAAGAAAAATTCCTTCAAGTGTTGGTATATAAAGAAGACTACAATGAAGTTTTACAAACTTGCATGCACAAGGTTTCCAATTTCAAGCCCCAGTAACTTCAATTGAGAAGACTATAGGAAGTAAAAGGTAGGAATGATCATTGTCTGAAACCCTGGCTGGGTGTGGTATACCAATGCCCTGACTTGTGGCAAGGCTGATTCAATAGGTTCAGTTTCTGGGGATCACTTCCCTTCATTTGCCGAAAATCTCTGCATGTTTGCTATGGAACCTCAGCACATTGTATGAAATCTAATAGCATGTCCTAGGGTGCAGACTAAATCCATTTAGGCCGCTGGCCCAGAACATACCAAGTACACCCCACTGGCCACAAATTGCACAGGTGGATCAGTCAGAGATGACAAGCATGTGCCTCCATGCCCATCCCTAATTACCGATCTTCTCTTTAGAAATGTCTGCTGGGTCACAGTTGAAAACTACTGCTATAATGATAGGCAGCAGTTGAGATAATTGTTGAAGACCTTGAGTGTCTATCCTTTCTGTGAGCCACTAGAGGGCGCTAAAGCCTTTGCCCACTTAATCAACAGCATCAGGGAGGTGTTTTTGTGTGCGATATCAAAAGGATACACAATTTTATTGAAAAGCTATTTAGATGGTAACCAACTCCTTTCCAGAACCATCGGTAGAAAATAGGAAATGTGTCTTTATTTTATCACTGAAGAATTGATGCTTTTGAATTATGGTGCTGGAGGAGGCTCTTGAGAGTCCCATGGACTGCAAGAAGATCAAACGCATCCATTCTTAAGGAAATCAGCCCTGAGTGCTCACTGGAAGGACAGATCGTGAAGCTGAGGCTCCAATACTTTGGCCACCTCATGAGAAGAGAAGACTCCCTGGAAAAGACCCTGATGTTGGGAAAGATGGAGGGCACAAGGAGAAGGGGACGACAGAGGAGAAGATGGTTGGATAGTGTTCTCGAAGCTACCAGCATGAGTTTGACCAAACTGTGGGAGACAGTGGAAGACAGGAGTGCCTGGCGTGCTCTGGTCCATAGGGTCACAAAGAGTCGGACACGACTAAACGACTAAACAACAACTAATAGTGAACTCATTCTCTGAGTGAATCCTTTTTGTAGCATAAGCCATCCACACAAGGAGGAATGGGAATGCAGCATAGTTTGCAGAAATACAAAAATTATTTGGGGGAAGCCCAGAGGGTTAGGGCTGGGCTCATTGACTGTTGTGGTGTGTGGGAATGGAGTATCCTAGAAAAGGGTTACTGGCTTACTGGAACCCTGAACAGGAATACTCTGCATGGCAACATTTTGTTGCAAGTCCCACTTGTTTTTAAATAATTAAACTACTATGAACCTATAAAGGTAAAGGTACCCCTGCCCGTACGGGTCAGTCGTGTCCGACTCTAGGGTTATGCGCCCATCTCACTTAAGAGGCCGGGGGCCAGGGCTGTCCGGAGACACTTCCGGGTCACGTGGCCAGCGTGACGAAGCTGCTCTGGCGAGCCGGCACCAGCTCAGCACACGGAAACGGCGTTTACCTTCCCGCTAGAAAGCGGTCCCTATTTATCTACTTGCACTTAAGAGTGCTTTCGAACTGCTAGGTGGGCAGGAGCTGGGACCGAACAACGGGAGCTCACCCCGCCACGGGGATTCGAACCGCTGACCATGCGATCGGCAAGCCCTAGGCGCTGAGGTTTTACCCACAGCGCCACCCGCATTCTGCCTATGAACCTATAGGCATGCCTAAAGTGCCACTTCTGATGAAGCTCACTGGGTGACCCTGGGCCCAGTCACCATCTCACTCTAACCTGCCTCACAGGATTTTTTGTAAGGATACATTTAAAGGAGCAGAAAGATATAGGATTATAAAATGCCCCCCAGCCACTCCCCCCCCATGAATGGGGAAACGCACCTACATCACCCACTGCTATGCTCACACACAGAAGGAAGCTGTTTGCACCCTTCCTCTGTTCAGAACTGGCATCCAGCGAAATGTGGGCATGCTTCAGGGGGCATATTCCATGTAGGCAGTCCTTGCATTGTGGATTTTTGAGGGGATATTTACTGAGACATTTCCTGGCACCATAAGAGGTACTACTAGCAGGCACATTGGTGCCTGTGATTGCAGCATGGGTGACCCATCCTCTTAAAAGCTTGGGAGAATCCTTTGTGGTGCCCCGCAAAGCAGCTTCCAGTTCATATTCTGTTGAGTCATAAACACAAAGCAGAAAGAAATAGGACTTTTTACAGTTGTGCTCCCCTCTTTCACTATTACCACTGAACAGCAGTGTGTTTGTCACAATGCAGCAGTGAATGTATGAGCCGGTCCCTTTCTCGGTGATATGTACAAGGTTTTGTTCTGATGCTGCAGAACAAGTGCTGGTTAATGTTCAACGTGTATATCTGTAAGGCAAATTCCATTTTAGTTCAGTGAATAAGGGTGCTCGGACATCAATACTGGCTATGCTAATGACCCCAACCATTAGCCTGAGCTCATCTGGATTCTGGTTCTTCATCCTGAGCTGTGTAAGTGCTTTGGGGGAAGCTATATGCTTTCTCAACATCTATGAGTTTAGGGCTTAGAAGACCTTTGCCTGTAAATGAGGCACATCATCTTAGATGTATGTGTTAATTAAGGATAGGCGAATGCCTCTTTTTGATTAATGGGTGTTCTGTCTTACCAAGACACTCAGAAACACAAAAACTGAGCAACTTATCTCAAGGCCCGGCTCCCTCTCCTCAGTTGCAACCTGAGATCTTGTCCCCGATTGGTTTGGATTGTACACCTCTGTCCCTTTTGACCCTCTTTTACTGCCTTTGAACTTGACCCTTGAAGCACAAACCTGGCTCTGCCTGATTTGGATCAACAGCAAGCTACCTACCCCTTCTGTTTTTTTTTTTTTAAATGATATTTATTAAGGTTTCAATAAAAGATTAAACAGAAAAACATAAACGAAAAATACACAATTCAAAAAAGCACAATACATAGTCCAAAAAAAAAGAAAAAAAAGAACAAAGAAAAAACAAAATACAAGACAAAAAGAACAATTAAAAACAATATCACCTTTTCATTTCCATCTTTAAATTTACTTGTTTTCTGGACCTCCTCATACCTCCCTCTTTTGTATTCCAGTTCAAATTGTTTGTCCAGCAATTTCTTTCCCTCTTTTTTAATTCCAATCTTTAATCTTAATATAATATAACATTAAAATTTTACCTCTTAAAAGCCAAATTTCCATTTCCTTAAACTTCTTTAATCCTAATCCTTAATCTTAGTTTATCTATAACTTTAAATCCTGTACAGCTGGAAACCACTTATTTTCAATCCAACATCACTCTAACATTCTTTAATTTTGCAGTGTTTCTGTAGATAATCTTTGAATTTCTTCCAATCTTCCTCCACCGACTCTTCTCCCTGGTCACGGATTCTACCAGTCATTTCTGCCAGTTCCATATAGTCCATTAGTTTCATCTGCCATTCCTCCAGTGTGGGAAGTTCTTGTGTCTTCCAATACCTTGCAATGAGTATTCTTGCTGCTGTTGTTGCATACATAAAGAAAGTTCTATCCTTTTTTATCACCATTTGGCCGACTATGCCCAGGAGAAAGGCCTCTGGTTTCTTGGGGAAGGTATATTTGAATACCTTTTTTAATTCATTATATATCATTTCCCAGAAAGCCTTAATCTTTGGGCACGTCCACCAAAGATGGAAAAATGTACCTTCAGTTTCTTTACATTTCCAACATGATAGATAGATAGGGCAAATGATAGATTTTTGCAAGCTTGACTGGGGTTATGTACCACCTGTATATCATTTTCATAATATTCTCTCTTGCTACCTACCCCTTCTGTCCCCCAAACTCAACCACCTGGGACAGATCCTTGCTGAGCCATGACAGATTAGCAGTACATCCTAAAAAATATGAATCATTTGTTTCAACATGAATGGTTCAAAAGCAATAATAATTGCAATGCCCCCAACTTTCACATTCATCAAAATCCTCTGAAAGATCTGCATTTTAGGGCCAGTCCTACCATTAAACAAAGTGAGGCAGCTGCCTTAGGTCAGTAGAATACAAAAAAGGAGGGGGCATGCTTGATCGGTGCTGTTAGCAATAATTACTTGCAAATAAACATTCATGAGTGCACTTGAAGCTCCTGATTCTTCTTTTGCAGGATGCCTGACATCACATATAACATCATTTGTGAGTCAGGTGGGTTTGGTGTTAAGGGAAATTGCCTCACGGACCAAATTAGGACCCTGGACCAGAGGTATCCTACCACTGCCCAGGATATAAAGCTAGCACTGTTCTTTGAACACCCCCATATAAGACCACTTAGGAGGCTGGTTTAATTCCCAAGAATGAACATTTGTGGTCTTGGGGGGCCTCCTTTATTGAAAGCTGAAGTGCTCAAGTCAGGCATTTTGACTGTAAATGGGATACTAGCAATACTGAAAGCAGCAGCTAGGGAGATGTTGTCTTGTCTCACAAGATGTGTGTGTTTGTGTGTGTAAGAGAGAGCTCATTAAAAACAACAACGTCCTGTGCA